CAATTGAGCAACGCAGTCAAGTACACTCAATTACATAGTTACAGTCAGCGGCACTAAGTCAAATTGACTTATTGCAGTTATACTGCAAAACCCTAGGGTTCCAAAAGCGTACCCCGGTGTAGGCGAATAAAAAATTTGGTGGTTTTGGGTTCTGGCACACTTCCGCCAAAAAAGCGCCGTAAGACTTCGATTCGCTCAGCCAACCACATACGCCTACGCGCTCCGTTTGTTAGCGCCATCCGGGTGATCGAGCAAAGTTGCCGTTGGGCACCGTCCTTGGCAGTGCGGCCCGAACGACGGCAACGACAAGCTGATTAATAGATCAAACCACTCCATTACACTCCCTTTCCTCTCCCAAAGTGGTCACTATCTGAACCAAGAGATTTCCCTCAAAATCCTACAATCCTCCAGCCGCCCAAGTTCCAACATGATGCTCGCCAACCCCGCTAGCACCCTCACCCAACCCCTGCCACCCTGCCAACACCACTCTGAGCCGGACCCAAGCCCGGTCTCAGACGATCCGCTCCAAGTGCTCTACAACTCCCTCGCAGACCTGAACCTGACCACATCAGACAACACCAACACAACCAATACCGGCGATCCCTGGCAACCCGCCATATGTACCAGTACCGGTCCTGCCGCTGTCAATCCATCCCTCGATTCCCAAGCCACAACACCGAACCCATCCACCACTCCCCAAGAGCTCATAAAGGTCAGCCCGCTCTTCCCGCCCGGCGACAACGTCCTGTTCGCCCACTCATCCTTCTTTCGCCGCCACAAGACCTGGGACCTGCCCACACCAACCCAGGTCAGGCTGGAGGCAGCCCGACTGGGTATTGTAGCGCCAACAGCAGCGTCTCCTGAACAAGGCAGCCCTCCCCACCTTGTCCCCTTCCCCGCGCTCGGGCTGCTGGTCAAGTACGGGACCGAGGACGTGGTCTCAGCTGCCGAAGGCAAGGCGCTTATCCTGTTGCGCGGGGTTTTGAGTCCTGAGGGATCCTGGTTGGGGGAGGTCGTGCCCGAGGTGTTTGGCTGGCGGGCCGATGGCAGGGAGAGATTTGTCTATCTGAGCCTGTCGGGAGGCAATGGAGAGGGGCTGACGACTTTGGAGGAACGGTGGGCTGGCATGTGGGATGGGGAGAAGAGGGAGGTGAGTAATCAGCTGAGAGAAATTGTCCGGGCTTGGAGGCGGATGAGGCAGGGGACAGTGGGGTTCGTGGGTGAGTAGCACAACTTTGTTGCTCAAAGTTGCCTTCTTCCTCCAGTACAAATCTGCTGACCGACTTGATTTCAAGGAAGCGTTGATAACACCCCGTTGATGGATCAAGTTTTTCGGGGCTGCGAGAAGGCTACTGGCGTGAAACCCGGTCCGTTTCCCTCGGTGGCAGCGTTCCACGTTTATTTGGTGAGGAGCGGGCATATCTCGGCTGGTAGTATGGTTCGATACATGCCACACCATATCTTCCCGAATGAAGTCCCCATTGTGTTTACACACGGCGGTCTCCATCCACGGAACATAATAGTCTCGGCAGGGCCATACCCGCGTGTGGTCTCGATACTGGGCTGGGAGCAGGCCGGATGGTACCCTGCTTATTGGGAATTGTGTAAGGCCAGATGGGAGTCCTCCAGTCGCGGGAAACTTGGGGACTGGGAGGCTGAATATCTGCCACGAATCCTGGATGTCGAGGAATTACGATCCGAGATTTGCGGGTGGAGTGTCGGCCCCCTCTGTCAGTATTGGGATTATTTTGTCGGTCTGATCCATTATTCGACGGCATGAGGGCATCTGCGTCTTTAGCAATTAGCAGTAGACGAATACAGGTCGACCAAACCCTAGATTATCTCAACTCAAGGAAGACTGATTTTTGGAAGGAGTCTGAGGACCAAGGAGTTAACGCGAGTGCGGGCAAGAGCAGAGAAGCTCAGCTATCAGCTCCCTTGCCCTGTTGCCGACTTGCAAAGTCCGTCGAGAGGGTTGCAGTAGCACAGCGATAGGGAAACAATCCCTCACTGGAATACCCAGCCAAAATGCTCCGGCACGCTCGATGCAAATTGGAGGCCTTCTGTGTCCTAAAATAATCTGTTAGTCGCCATCCTCCCCAGAGCCCGTCGTGATAACAAAACGTACCATGTAGTCCCAATCTTCCAAGCCTAACTCGGGCAAGACAACACCTCCTACCCCATCTCCACCCTGTTCCATCCCCAGCGTGTCCACAACTCCCTCCAGGAAGGCTGCACCCTCCTCCACAGCCTTCTCAGCCGCCTCGAGTATGAGCCTTGCGATCTCACCATCGCGCAAGCCTTTCCTCAGCCCTTCCACCTGCGCATCGATCATGCAAGCAACAAGATACCCCTTTACATTGGTCTCACCGGCCAGGATGGCCTTCCACGACCAAACCTTGAACTCGTGCAGCACACCGGACAAATCCGGCCTACAAGTAAGCGCCCCAGCAGATCCCAACAGCACCTTATGAACCGACCCAAGGCTCCCTTCTTCCTCGCGCAGCTGGGTCTTTAACTCAATGGCGATTGCTACACACGCTTGCACGGCCACAGTGCGGAAAAAGCCCGACCCGGAGACCGCCATGCGGCAGAGCATATCGTTTTCATCCTCAGGGGAGGGGTAACATGAAGAAGGATCCAGCGGTGAGGGGAACACGGCGCGCCACAGCTTCAGCGCCGAGTCGACCGTTACCTTCCGGGAGAAGGCAAAGGTTGCGTCCGAGAGGGATAGAGCGAAGAAGGGTACGTGGAGGGCCATGAAGTAACGCTGGAGAAGGAGCTCCAGCATGCGGAATTGGAAAGCAGACGGCGAGAGGCCGGTGCCGCTGGGGGCCGCTGTTGTCTTGCAGGTTTGCAAGATTCGGCTGAGCGTCTTGTACGCGGTGCGGAGATCGGCATCAAGTCGGAGCGTTTCGGGGTACGTGCCACACGAGGAGAGGTCGTTGAGATACTTTGCGATAGCTAATCGCTGCGGGAGAGTGACGCGCAAAGCGATGGCTACCGTTGTCTGGGTGAAGTGATCTGGGGGTTTTGCGGCCACGGGTTCGTCCGTCACCTCCAGCTGCTCATCATCAAAGTTGCCCGGCGGGTCCGTGTCGAAATCTGCAAGCCCAACCAATGGCGGGCCACCCGAATTGAGGCTTGAGTGTACCGCCATCTCTAGGATAGTGTTCCACAGTCGCCTGCGCAACTCGGCGGTTAGCGGTGTGATGGTCCTAGGCCCCAGGCTTGCAGGATCTCGGTGCAGACCCATGTATATGGCCATGCGTATGGTCGACCCTAGCGACGCCCACACCATATCCTCGCCTATGCCTGTCGCGTCGCGGGCGAGGAGCAGCAGGAGGCTGGTTTGTAAGGTGGGAATGTTTAGATGGTGCTTGAACTCGGGTGCTGAGAGCCAAGTTTGCGCTTCGTACACCCATCTCACAGCTGAGGTGCGCAGGGTGAAGGTTGAGTCGTAGGTTGCCGCGCCGATGGCTAGGACGAGCTTGAGCTGAACGAGAAAGCTAGGATCGACGTTGCCGCCAGGGTCCCAAACCGCCGCGTAGTCCCGCCTGAAGGTGGGAATGTGGAGGACCCGGTAGATGGCTTCGTGGGTTTGAAGATATCTCTCGACGAGCGCATCTGCAATGTCTTTCCTGGGGAGCTCAGGTGTTGGCGGGCACGGCCAGGGGGGTGCTCGACGCGATTTGATGTATTTGGAGAGGGTTTTGCACCGTTTTTCAGTCACAAACGCTTTTGACGTTTCCTTGTGAGATTCCATGACTTCAAAGATCTCATATAGCTACTGGTTGTTGAGTTATCTGCGAGCAATGCCGGTGCATGTAGTAGGGAGTAGGTACGGACAAGCTTACGTTTGTCATGACATTGGCCCAGTGGCTTTGGCCAAACAGGCGTGTCTTGTGTGTGATGCTACGGATGATTGCACCGGGCTGATCTGCCGAGCGGTGCTCAGCATGGAAGTAGACCGTCCTAGACAGACAGACTGTCTTAGTCTCGACTCGGGAGTTCCTGGTCATAGTCGAAGCCGGCGATTGGGCCGTGCTGGGAGCCGCCGACAGCCACGGCTCGGCGGGCAGTGTTCGGCTGTCAGTGGGCACCGTGGGCGCCAGAATCGTGCTGGAGGGCGTCAAGGGGGGCACTGCGGTTGCGGTTGAGGATGCAGCGGCCCGAGGGATGCCGAGTTTTCGCGGCCGAGACGGCGCATCTCTGTAAGCACAGGTGACATTTCCAGATTTTGTGCAGTTGCCGCATGGCGTTTCTCTGTCGCATTTGATTTTGCGCTTTCTGCACAGAATGCAGGAGCTATTGTCATTTTTGTGGATCGTTAGCCAAGCAACTTGGATATTCACAGATAACTTGGGAAAGAGCTGAGAGCCCGACATACACCGCCGGCCGTCTTCGCAATCGAGGTGCTGGCTCCATCTTCGGAGCGTCGGCCCTTTTCGGTGGCGGTTTCGAGCTGTGGTTCGAAGAGGGAAGCAAGTGGAAGAGTTGAAAACCACGACGTTATCTCCGTGAAATATGCCGAGACCGAAGCCGAATTTCCCGGCTGGAGTTCGAACTTCGAGCCGGGGGGCAGTGCATAGGTACCGTACGGATACATACTGTGTAGAACTCCCGACAGGGTCCTGGTCCCAGATTTCAGCAAAAAGATGCTCTCGACACTGAGAAAAGCTAACGCAAGAAAGAGAACATGCAATAAAACCCTAATCCTGGCTTTATTCCAATCCTCTCTGCAGAAAAAGAGCGTTTTGATGCAGAAACCCGATTCGGGTTGACCCTGCCGCTTTACACAAGTAAGTCAGGCGCTACCGAGCAAACCAGGCGTGCCATGGGGGGCATTGTATGTACTGTACTCCGTACTGTATGTATGTACAGAGACTTCAGTGCAGTTTGGGTGGTGGGGCCATACCTACCCCTAACCCTTAGTGTACAGGATAAAGGCTTGGCCACTCGTTAGTGCAAGACTTACGACAGGGCGACTGGTCAGGACCTTGAAAAGATGCATCTCAAGGCCTTGAAGCCTAACGTTAATTCAACGCAGATAATTAGATCACTTAGAACTACTGATAATACTCGCTTTGTATCTAAGGTATCTCATTCATAGGAAGGAAAAATAGGTAGACACTTTTACGTTGAGATATATGAGTTCTTCGGGTCGGCCGCAGTCTGGAAGTCACAGACTAGCTAACGGCCCTACCTGTTACGGACTACGGAGTCCAATGCCTCAGTAAACCTCAGTTTACATAGGTACTCCCTGAAACCTGAAAACCTCCTACTGGTTTACAGCTGGACGCATCGCATTTGAGTTTGCGTCAGGGACAATTTTTCGGGCCAGGTCAGTCGCCAATTCAACGTGTACGGAGTCACGAACGACACCCATGACCTCCGGACTTAAATAGACATGGGCATGGCCATGCGATCCGTTGTCTCTTTGTTTGGACTCCCGCTCAAAGACTCGTCGTTAGCCAAGTGCGGTGGGTTATTGCGAACATAAATCTTTAGCGGCATCATATGCTCAGCTTGTGATGTAGCACTTGGGGCTAGGCAAAGGTCGCGGCGTCCTAGGGGCTAGGGTCTGTTCATGGGAACATGCGAGGGAGGACGTCGTCCTATACCCGAGTACATCTGTGGGGATTCATTGGGCTGAGTGTATTCTTTGCTAGCCTAAGGTAGTTTATACCTACTGCATCTTCGAAGTCAGGTTTCATCGGGTTTAAGGGGATGGGGTCGAAGTCGTGTATGCAGTCCCACAAGATTAGTGGTTCAGCGGTCTCTTTCCAAGCCAATCCTTAGGCCGTTGCATTTGAAGCTATACAACCTCTAAGCCTTGCTAGCGTAACGATATTATACACGTCTATTATGAAGGTAATTCCCTATACAATCATCAGGCGCCGCTCTGCTACTAGTTGGGTGCGTTATTCAGATCCTTAAGACCGTCGACGGCAGGTAAGCTGTTATGATATGACTGGCAAGACTGGCAATTATCTTGCTCCTCTTTAAGTTTCAGTCCCCAGGTCTAATTCAAAATAACAGCACTGTATTATCTCCATTCAGTCCGGTGTCCGCAAGAGTGTGATGAATCTTGGCCCCGCCTCCGGATCATTTGACCACTTCTCTCAATAACTCAAGGCAGGCACGACCAACTCTCAGCACTGTTTTGTTTTGCGTTTGTTTTGCCCTTCCATTTTCCGGAGGTCATTTCTTTTCCCTCTTCATCCCACAAAGAAACCAGCTTCAGTCGTTCACTAAACCACCTTTCCATCACCGTTACCGTCAAGATGGACCTAATCGTCGATCATAAAGAGTTCCCTATCCGGGTATCTAAGATCTCACGCCCAAGTGTTCAAACGTTAAGCAAAGTTCATCGGTACTGGAGAAATGCCGAAGATGAAGGCTATTTGGAGCGATTCTGGCCGGAAGGAAACAACTACGCGGACTGGATACCCACCATCCGCAGAATCCTAACTGCGCACCTGCCCGAACTCGCTAGCGCCGAGATCACCTATTTCGCGGCGGGCACCTTCCATCGCCTCTACCGCATTGCCAACCCCGACTCATCTCATGTCTGGCTCTTCCGCGTTGCGATACCCGCCGATCCTGTCTTCAAAACCGAGAGTGAGGTGGCCACCATGGAATATGTGCGGCGGCACACATCGTTACCCGTCCCCCGCGTGCTCGCCTTCTCCTCGAGCGACAATAACGAGCTGGGGTACGAATGGATCCTCATGGAGATGCTTCCAGGCGTTTCGCTCCGCAGCGTTTGGGGGGACATGCCTTACGATGCCAAAGTGCAGCTCTTCGTCGAGCTGGCGGGATATGTGAACGAACTCCTTGCGTTACGATTCAGCAAGCTCGGCAATATTTACTTTGCCGACGTTGTCGGAAAGCTGTTCCCGCAAGAAGTTTCTCCGTCACGCAAGCCCACTAACAACATGAATACAGTTGACGTCGACATTGGTCCTAACTGCGATTTTGTCGTTGGTCGCACAGTTTCCCAGGAATTTTTCTTCGAGAAGCGCGTGCATCTTAACGCGTCCCGAGGTCCTTTTCAGACTTCGCGGGAGTGGTTTCAGGCTCGGCTTGAGCTGCTCGGGAAGCGACTTCAAAACCTGTCTGTCTATCCAGAGGCGAGCTACTACTGCGAAAACGATCGAGAACTGGAGAAAAATTGGAATCGGATCGACAAGCTTTTTTACCAACTGAAACGGCTTGTACCGCGTCTTGTCCGACGCAAAAACGGGCCTGAAGACGTCGGGGTGCTCTGGCATGATGACCTCTCGGAACATAACTTGCTCGTCGACCCCACAACATTCAAGCTCACCGGTGTGATCGACTGGGAGTCTGTCGGCGTTGTGCCATCTTTCGAATGCCGTGGTGGACTGCCAGCTTGCTTGTCAGACAGGGACAACAAACCGGCGCCACTAGTACTCATAGCACGAGGAGAGGACTCCGGATATATCTACGATAAGGAGACGAAGAAGCTCCGGAACGAGGCAGAGCAGCGAAAGCTTCGGGAGGTGTACCTGAGCTCTGCTCTGCCCCTTTACGATGACACGTCTATGGCAGTGCAGTGGAGGGCAAAAGCGAAGCAGTCGCTTTCACGCCAGCTGGAGATCGGCAGTTTCCAACACCGACCTTGGGCGACGGAACAGTGGATGATCGAGAACGGTTTCATCAAGAAGACCTCAGCCAGCATCGGCGGCGACCTTGAGGGGACTGGAACGAACTACTCCGACACAAACCTGAGCTCGATCCTTACCGGACGCAATGGAGCGCTTGGCACCCATAGAGCATTCCTGTAGACATGACAACTGGACTTCCATGGGCGTGAAGAGCATCATTCTGCCCAGACGCGTATCTATCTATCTCATTCCGGAGCTACGCTCAAGGCAGCAACGCTCTCGAGAGAACTCACTTCCTTGGAGGCACCGCAACCTATGGTCGGCGCTGGTGCGATAACTTCACAGCACCTACTTTGTTGACCAGCTTCCCCAATTCATTTCTTTATCACCTCTGCTCTCATAACCCCTTTGCTAGTCACGCAAGTTGCCAGTGCCTTGCGATGCCACCGGATGCCTGCACACAGAGTGCTACATCACTAGCATAGTCTGAGATAGCGAGTACAATACGTCCATCATGCTGCATATCTCGCTGTGTCGCTTGACACCCTTCGAGTCCATTGGAGCAAATCAGTTGTTCGGCGATAGTGGCATGGGAAGCCCATGAATAGGACGATAATGTGATTGCCATGGGGCAATCCTAGCACAGAAGAGCTGTGGTTTGGCTCAGTTCGCTGAGTCAGGCAACCCTTCTGCTTTGTGTGTTCTAATCGCTATCTGACCCTGAACGCTCCCCATTACTCGTCCCTTTCTCCTGTTCTTGATCATCATCATCTTCTTCTTCTTCCTTCTCCTCCTCTTCTTCCTCCTCTTCTTCCTCCATCTCCTCGTCCTCGTTCTCATCGTGCTCATGTCGTCCCAAAGACTGCACCACGAAACGCCCTTCCTCCCGATCCCGTTTCCACCCCTGCTGCTCCCATAGAAAAGCAGGGTGAATCGGCGCCGCCGGTGGTGTTGATGATAAGGGCCCATTCACCGCCTTATCTCTCCTCGACGCGTACTCCTGCCCTAAGCTATCAACCCCTCGTTCAACGTTTCGAGAGCCGTTACTCCCCCATGCCTGTGCCAAATTCTTCACTTCAGCCCGCAACGCACCGAGTTCCTCGGCGTGCCGTTTCTCTGACTCGGCCAGGGCCCCCTCCAGCTCAGTCACCCGCCCGCCGAGGCGGTGGCAGCGGTCTTCGAGCAGGGACACGCGTCGGTGCAAGTGCTCCACCTCATCATTGAGCCCACGCAGGTTACTGCTGCTGGTAGCACTACCGCTGGCATTACCATTGCTACTGCTGCTGCTGGGCCCGGGAATTGTACGCTTGGGGCGGGAGTCTGTTTCTGTTGGGGCAAACCGTGGGGCGCGGTAAGCGGCGGAGCCCCGCTCCGGCCCCGGGCGAAGGTCGAACGCATCGAGATGTGAGGCCTGTGTCTGCGGCTGGTGTCGGTTTGTCGGGAGAGGGTGGCGGGCGGCAGGCTTTTCCGAGGGAGTTACCGGAGTTGCCGATTTGGTAAAGGAGGGAGTATCGGCTGAAGCGCTGAGCTTTCGCTTCTTTGGTTCGGCTTGTTGTCGAGATCCGCCGGGGTCGGCTTCGCAGACCAGTCGCGTGCCTCCGCCTCGCCGCATAGCGTGAACGTTCGGCCTGACTTCGGGGATGAGGTCGCGCTCGACCAGGTTGCCATCCTCGTCAAGCGGCCGAAACGTGCAGGCCAGCGCTGAAAGTTTCTGGGCCAGCTGAGTTCCCCCGTGTTAGCTTCTGGGCTTGTAGTCGGGGGGAACGATACTGTACCGGATTGTTTTCATCCTTGCCAAATGCCGCCTTGTACAAGCGGTCAAACTCTTGAACGCGTGCTTCGACGCTTTGCGCTACCTGCATCAGGTCAGTCGCGGGCGGAGACCGCGGATGGTAAGTACGTCTTGACGACGGCTGACCGGTTCACATTTCCTCCCTCTGATGCTGCAAAACACGCAGTGAGTTGTGGTGCCGTTTCCTACTTAGTGGTAAATCAGTAAAGTGTGGGAAAAGGTAGCGAAGGGCAGACGTACTCTCAAACTGACAGAGAATCATGCCGCCATTTCTCTCGTCAATCTCGCGTTGCGACGGCAGAGTCAGCCATTTCAGCTTGTCCCACAGGCAGTGGCGGCATGAGACGGGCCTCTCGCGAAGAAACTCGGCGGGAAGCTCTCTGAGACGCTGGCGCCTGGATTTATCCCGTTGCGATGCGACTGACGGTCCAGTCGACATGCTCTCTCCACGTAGGATGATGAGCTTGCGAAACTGACGGGAGGCAGAGGCAACCCTCAATTCTCAAAAGCCAGCGATGCGGGTAGCGACAGCCGAACAGGTCAGGTGCACCGTGCTGCGCTTATGAAAATGGCTTTGTTCCATCCGACATACAGTTTGAAGTGAGATACTGAAAGCAATGTGGGTTCGCGTAGAAAATGCGAGTTTTGAATTGAAGCTGGTTGGCGCGATGTGGGAAATGAGGTTGACGAGGTGAAGGCTGAAGCATTGGTCGCTCTTGAGTCTTGACGTTCTGGCCCCTGGCCCTCTGGGTGGCTGGGGGCCGTGCTCTGATTAGTTAGGGTTAGGGTTGGCTTGCAGCCTCCCTTTCACCACCTCATGTCGAATTGTCGAGCACCTCGTCTCAGTTCATAGGTACCAGTGATGCACTAATGGCACAGGAATTTTGGGTATACCAAATGACAGGTAGCCTTCCATTGGTGTCCGGATAAGGTAAGTCAGTCAATTTAAAGCGTGCTTCGCAACCTTGAAGTTCAATTGCCTGTGAACATCACTCCTATTCAGATCATTCCTACCCGAGGTACGTACCTTACAAGTTACAAAGTGATGTATGTTGCACTGGTATATGTTAGTGCTGTGTGATGTAGACCTTCATTAAGAACTTGCCAAGGTAAATGATAGACTAAAATCATGATGCAGTACTTGGGTACTCTCTTCTAGTTCTGTTAGCAGGGATCCCGGGGCAACTGAACTCAGTTTTGAGAGAAGCCGCGTCCATGTGATGGACATAGGCAGAATGGAACAAGCGAGAGAAAAGGTTATTGCAAATATGAATGATGAACAGATTATTGGAACGAGCTAGCTATTGACGATTTGGTACCTGGCAGCCGGTCCTTCCCACAACCCCGAGCCATCAGGCGAGTAAGGTCTGTGTAATGACACCAAACAACCTGCCCAAGACATCCGCTAAGTGCTAGCCCATAAACGAGAAGAAGAATATATTGCCTTCCGAAATCCCAACATCTCCCAGGCCAGACCACCACTGTTTCCGTTTGTCAGACAGGCCCATTGAGTCAACTTGTTCCATTTGCCTGGAGGTGAACTGTGGAAACTACCATCCCTAAGGGCCCTTGTATCTCCGTTACAGAACCTTAATGCACTGGGCAGCGACGTTGACGAGGCCTTGCTGTTGATAGGGTGTACTATCAGTATACTGTATCGCAATATCCAACCCCGTTTAAGCGCGGAATATCTGGCAATGCCTCTTACCTGGACGACCGAGTTGTCGCAGCAGAATGACTGGCCTGTGCAACTGGAGCCGAGGACGTTCACGTTGCAGATGAGGTTGAGAAGGCCGGCGTTGCAGCAGTAAAGGGACTGCTCCACCGAGCAGATGTTGGTCTCGCCGCCCGGGCAGTTCGGGCAAGGGGCTGCGGCTGCGGTCATGGCAACGGCCAGCACGGTGAAGATGGCGGAGAGCTGCATTTTGACGGTGGGAGTATTTAGATTTTGGAAGATGGAAGGAGGTGAGGCTCTTGGACTTTGAGGGGGCTTTGGAGTCTTAGTCTTGGGCGGTGCTGAGCATGGAAGTGAACTCAAGTCCTGAAGGTAGACGAGGAGGGAGGGTTATATAGACGTTTCCATCGGATTCGGCCCCTTATCTTGCCCTCCGTTGCCACGGGTACCCGCATCGCAGCTCTAGGTGTAGCCCTTCCAAAGTTTGCAAGGTGCCTAATGAGGTCATGGCCGTCATGGTGTAGCAGTTTTCTCACTTCCCCCTCCTAAGTTTCGGTCTTGGTAATACGAATTATGTAAATGTGAGAACACTGCAACCTGAATCCAAGCCTGTTCCTCTTTCCATGACATGGCTGGCCAAGCTGAAGCATCACAGTTCTCTCTGAGAACGCACTAGGAGCCATCCTCGCCTGCCCTACTGTTGCCGGGTCTGAGCCTGAGACTTGACTCGGAGACTTTCTTCCTAGTGAATTGCTTGCATAAGGGGACATGCATGATAGTCGCAATATCAATTTGGGCTGCGTACTCGAGTCCAGTCTCTGACACCGCTCAAAATCCCACCAGGATGGCTCCCGTCTGTAGGTGCGCTTAGCTGCTATCGTATTTCCCCTTCCTGTCGTGTCCCGCCAGTGCCGAAAAACGGCCTGTTGTGACTGGCTACTCCTGACTCATCCGAAACCGCCAGTCAACAAAATCGACAATATCCGCGGATTACTGCAGAACCAGGCTGTGCGGCTGGGCTGCCCTCAGGGTGCCTGCCTGGCAGTGCCTGCTGCCTTATATGTCACTAATGGATCGTGATTGGAGTATATGATGGCCAAAGGCTTCATTCAGGAGTCTGGCCGTCGGTAGGCAACTGGTCGTGCAACCATCGGGCAGTATGCAGCTCTCCATATAGCTTCCGCTCCATTCCACCGATGATGACACGGCAACATGCATGCGGCTGTCAATAAGGCCCTGGCTCCTTGCCATGTCAGGAACGTGGATGCCGTTGCCCGGACCGCCGGTAAGAGCCGGCGAATCAGAAGGATAGGTAGGCTCCATCTGAAGCCACCTCTTACTAGTACCTCAGGCTAAGAGTTGAGGACATCGACCCTATTAAGCGGACCGACTCAACATTGAACAGCTTGGTACAACACCTTCATTCCCAGGCCGTGTGGTTAGCGTACAGGGTACTAGTAATTTGACCTCCTCACCGTGCTTCATGCTAGGAACCGGACTGGACAATGCAGATATGGAATCCTACCTAGGTAAGCCACATGCTAGTAGCAGCCTGTCTTCGGCTTAAAGTTTGACTCGATATCTCTGTCTTCAGTCGGCTGGAGATTGGGAAATCCTCCGAGGATGACTCGTTCCACGACTTCGGGTCTATGCAGGCCGGTGTGAGGGTGAAACTGCCTTATGATCGAAGGCTGCCGAAGACTCGGATGTGTCCCTGGTTGCGGGCCACGCCGCAGATTGCGGTCGTGCAGCATCCAACGCAGATGATCCCACAGCCAGAGTCTAAGTGAGTACTAGTTTAGTAGCGTGCTTGCTGCATTGGCATCATCGACCATGTCAGCCACTGGCAGCCCCCCGTCCGCCAGGGGCCGCTTCAGGAAAAGGCAAAGTCCGTTGGCTTTCCAAAAGCACAAGCTTGGAGAAACTGTAACTCAGACGTACTTGACCGCCATCTCATACACTGAGATGATGGCACGCCCGTCGGCAATTTTCTTGGTCTGTTCATCCCCTGGCTCATCATTCGTATGCTGGGGCCCGATGGAGATCATCTCTACCTGCCCATCGACCTGAGCATCGCCTGTTGTCCCCGTCATTGCTGTAGCAACAAACGCTTCTCTGTAACCGGTCGGCGCAAAGCCCAGCGTTTCAAAAGTCCTCTTGCCGGAGGGAGTAGCTGTGATGGCTGCATCCGAATCACGGTTACAGTTAGTATATGTTCCGAAACGCAAACGAGAAAGACATGATCATACCCGAGATTCCAACAACTTGCCAGTCCCGCTTCGCCCGGGCCCGGCGCAGCACCTCTCCCAAAGCAAACCCCGCAAACCCTGTCCGAACTGACGCTTCCTCCGTCGACACAGCTGAAGTGGACACAGACTTTGGCCTAGAGGAAGGAAACCGCTCAACATGGTAGACATGCAACCCTACCTCTGCCACCTCTCCTGTAGTATGTAGACCTGATACCGGGGGAAACATGCTCCAAGCTTCAATATCCTGCTCCTTCAGCCTCCCATCAAGCAGCTTCTCCCAGAACACACGTCGGAGTGGTAGCACAATAATGACGCCATACACGTCGCCCAGATCGCTAGCAGCAGCAGCAGTGGTGCTGGATGATCTCTCGTTCCTTAAACTGAAGCCGATAGACAACTCAGGATACGCAGCGACCCAGCTGCACAGGCGCTCATACGAGAGAGCAACAGGATACATATCCTGGTCTGACGCATAGACGGCGCGGAGAACCTCGTCGCTTATGGGAGTCGCCTCAAGCAGATTCAGGTCCATCGCGTTTTGTTCAGTGTGAAATGAGAGAGTAAGGTATTTTTAAGGTAGGTTAGTAGTTCAGGTAGACAAAGTAACTTGGAAGGCGCATCTATGATTTGAGTGAGGTCTTCAAGGTTCAAACAAATCCGAACTTGGTTCCCCATGTTTGATTGTTAGTTCCGGATTCCACCCCGCTCAACCTTGCCTTATAGGGCATAGTACAGATGTCTCCCCCACAGCCTACAGGAGACAGTGCCCGAGCCCCGGAGTGCCGTAAATCAGTCAAACTCGGGTACTCTTGATTCTTGAACTTCGATGCACCCTGGCGAGCTTTGGAGACTCTAGGAACTTCGATCAGGAGAAGTATGAGCTATAATTATGGTTTTTTCTGTCTATTGGAATCCTGCTATACTCGAAGCGCCACGCTAACGAACAGACAAAGATCACCTTTCAGAAGTGCGGGGTCCTCCATTTACAACCACAAGCAATGGCCTGGGATGATCCCATAATTCCACCAGTTCCTCCACATGTGGTCAAGGACGTTGCGCACGATTGCGTTGGGAGTGCCGCTGGATTTGGATGCAGCCATCGATGCTCCCGTTCCAGAGGTTTGCGCTACAATGGAAGAACGATTTAAGAACTATGACATGGATCGTGTTACTCATGTTGTGATACAGTGAGCTCTGAACATGGCCATTTTGTTTGGGCGCATTGGCATGAGGCTGACCAGGATACGGATAGAGTGTCCATCAATCGACAGATTCAGATTTTCCGGTGCATCGGCTACCAATACGACTGGGACTATCCCGGCCCTTTTGGCATTTCCTTGGAAAGATGGTGGCCAAGGCCGTGTATGACGATGAGACCGAGCTTCGCGAACTCAATTTTGTTGCTATAGGCCGGCGTGAGTTCGTCGCTTTCACGACGTCCATGTGGAGGGCTGCCGAAGAACCTGAAGCGAGGACGGAAGCACAGAACGAAGGAGATAAGGCAGAAACGATGCCACAGGCCACTGAACTACCGCCGCTTAACGTCATCGAGGTGAACTTTAAGAAGCCGCAGCCAGGGCAACCAATCGAATTAGCTTGGACACCTGCCAGAGGCTTGTTCACCGCCAAAATCAGACAATGTAGGTCAGGGCGCATCGGGTGTGCTGGAAGACAAACTAACCCTCAGGCGACATAGGGAACGAGCGCCGAGCCGCTGAAAATGATGAACTGCACAAGTGCATGGCTAAAGCAGCAGAGTAAACGGGCAGTCCAGTTCTAACCAAGGACATTATCAAGAGAGGTTGCTGGTGATGGATGGGGTGTCTTTGGTTTCCAGACGGCACGTTATCACAAATAAGTATCAGACTCCAGCATCATAAAGAATTCGGCAGCAGGACGACTCTTCGATAGTGCGACGCAAGTTTTCTACAGATGAAAGCTCTTGAGCCAAGGAGAAGCAAAAATTGAATCAAAAATTGAATCAAAAAGCTTGCCCACTACCAGATTTGAACTGATGACCTCGTCATTACTAGATATTACTAGTGACGCGCGACTACCGCTGCGCCAAGCGGGCTTGTTGGGATGTTGGATGATTAGTCATCACCGAGAGTCGCTTGAGTAGGGGTGACTGGAGACTTCCGATCGCGGGCTGCCGGTTGGCTTTGGTCCGGACTCACCCAAGAGACTGTTTTATCACTAGAATTGAGCGGAAAACCAATCCTATGAGCGGGGGCTAAGACCACAACCTCCAACTGAACCTAGAGAAAGGAAAGGTGCTGCTAGTGGATGGTTTATAACTCTGAAAGTCGTATCTCCAGCCCTTCCCCTTTCCTCGGCGTGCAGATAGTTTGTGACGTGAACGTTATGGACTGACCGGTCGGCGTTGAGGCTCCATGCTCGAGTCTAGCACACGGCCCGAACCCTCCTCAGCTGGCGGGGGTAGTGGGCCCAAGAGCCCTAACGTTGGGGCCCCGCGCTTACAAATGCAGGGACAAATGCAAGGGACAGAACCAACAACTGCCAACCGGGCGTGCAATTGCATCCAAACTCCAATCCAGTGCATTGATCAGTGTATCCGACTCTACCTTACGCATATCTGCCTCTGTTGGATTATCAAAAGATTTTGTCTTACTGCTCGCTGGTAGCTGACCTGAAGCCATCTAGGCTTTCAAGTCTTAGCTCAACGGGCTCGGCAATCTGCGCGGGGGGATGGCAAGACAGACGCTGGCCTCCAATCTGTAAGGGTCCCAGCTCTCAGGATACGACAGAATTCGACATCTCCATGAGTGGTCCTGGTGACCGAGATCAGACCTGAGGCGATTTCCCACTTGTGCCAAGATCGGTGTACTGCGGCACATGGCTCCCCTGAAACCCACGGGGTTCGGTGGTTCCGTGGGTATCGTTAGGTATTGTACAGTACTCCGTACCTTACATACCAATCGTAGCCCGCAGTGTTTACCTGCAACGCAAGAGAGGGTATACATACACACTACCGGTAAGGAGATTACGATTTGGGGGCCAGGTCTGAATCACAACTTGAAAAGGCCTTACTGGGCAAGCCCGCAGAACCATTTCTTAAAAGTTGGGGGCCAGTTCATCAATGTCGCAATTTATAATGTCTTGAAGCTCAAGCTGACGGACGGCATCGCTGTGCCTAACCCCTGCTGCGAACCTGAAATGGACTCCAGGGCGCCAAGATCTTAGCGATGGTACTTGACGGACCTCCCTGCTCTCCTCTTTTCCTGAAATTCCAGGTTGTTGTTATTATGCTGACGGTGGATTTTCTTTTGGCTGCGTGCGGACCTTAACCTCCCAATCCCCTCGGCGTACAGCCGTTGCCTTGATGTTGTAACTTGTACGACACAGGCCGCAACGAAACCCGATGAAGCTCTCACCAGCATCATTATTAGCCTATGCCTCGCTGGCGCGGCTAACATATGCTCAGGCGCGTAAATGCTACTTTCCGAACGGTGAGGTGTCGATAGAGGACCACCCCTGTGATCCAGCCGCCGACGAGAGCGTGTGCTGCGGCCCTCCGTCCGACACTGGCGGCGCCTGTCTGTCCAACAAGCTTTGCTACTCTCCAAAGACGGGGAGGACCAGCCGGGGATCATGTACAGACGCGGACTGGTCGTCGCCTGCTTGCCTGAATTTCTGCACAGGTGAGTAACACTAGGACCAGGGTAACCGTATGCAATCACGTACTAATGCTCCCCGACAGTGCCGTTGAACGCAGGGCACGAAGTTCTGCCTTGCTCCAACGTCACCGGAACCGATTCCTACTGTTGTCACAAAGATAATGTGGAGACGGGAAACTGCTGTTCTTGGCCGGCTCTACGCAAGGAGTTTGGGGTTTCGCCGCCATTTACATGGGCTGTGTGGGTTGCTTCGGAAACAGGCTTTGTGGTTGCAACGCCTCTGTCGACGTCGACATCGACATCAACGGCGTCCTCTTCAATCGCTTCATCGAGTGCCTCGATCAGTCCATCCCCTCCACCGCAGTCTAGTAGTACGACCAGCACAAGCAATGGACTGCCGGCACAGGCCACATCAGGGAGCTCTGACCCGGGTCAGGTATCAGCCACTGCTCAATCACCAGGATTGACTACCGGGGCCCAAGCTGGTATTGGGGTGGGAGCAGCGATCGGTGCCCTCTTGATCGCGGCCTTGGCCTACATACTCTGGAAGCTGAACCGGACCAACAAGTTGATGGAGGAAGCCCTGCGGCAGCAATGGATGGCAGAGCAGAGCCAGGTTGCAGCCGGGCAAGCAAAGACAGAGTTGCCAGGACAGTGGACGGGGCACGAATTATCCGCGACGGATCCACCAAGTTACGAATTGCCCGCGGAGCATCATTATCTACGTTGACCCTGCATCGTTCAGGAGCTCGTCTGTATACTTTGTGCATGTTTACTTTATTTTCTTCCTCACCTTTGGGCAGCGGGCCTGGGTAAACTTCTTGAGATACCCCCGTTCCATCAGCACTTAGCCGTTACACGACTCGGAATATGCCATAATTCAAGCCGGCGACGAAACACCGACCTAGGGAACCCTAAGAACATAGTCACAGCCTAGAGGAGGGATTCAGTGGAGTAGTATTTGTTAGGTGCGTTGGTGGCCCGAGGCAATAGCTAGTACATGTACTAGCATAAGTCACGAAAATGTAAAATATGTATTGAGTCGAGGCCAGCCTTACTTACAGTGATGTGGCTTGGGACTGCGGTTAGGCCTGACCGGGGACGGGGGTACAGTATAAGCCAGGAGAAGCGAGCTCACTGGCGGTGCTAGCCTCGTTGTCGTATCATGCGTCCCCGTCCTCGTCCCCGTCCTCGCCCTCGTCGTCATCCTCGTCATCACTAGCAGCGACCAGCCCTTGTGCCTCCTCCGAAGGCAGAATGCGAGGAAACCACCCAAACTGGCCGAAATCTACCATGAGCTCGCCCAGCGCGCCCGTCGTGACGGTCACGCCCTCGGCTTCGAGCGCTGCAGCTTGGTTGCGTGCCCCCGAAGGCTGTGATCTATCATGGCATGGGAACAATGTCTCTGTTAGCCAGTCCCATACACAATCCAGTAGGTCCTGGTAGCATGTTGTGGAATGGGCAGAAAAAGATGGTGGCCAGGGTGGAGCGAACTTGAACAACTAATAAACAGGTGAGCGCATACCGAGGAGAAATCACGCCCTTTGCATTGATCACTCGCTGCCAGGGGACGTTGTCGTGGTTGAAGCGGGCCGTGGGGTCCGAGGGGAGGTGCTTGAGGCATACACCTACTTGCCGCGGACGTTGAGCTGGAAGGTTTGTTAGTGAGAACTGGACTGTGAATAATCAGCGCAGGGCGGAATGGCCGCCGACGTACGCGTTCCAACTAGCTTGGCGATATGCGCATAGCTGGTTACTTTGCCTCGAGGTATTTCCTGTACAGCGCTGTACACTGCGTGGAAGAAGGCTTGCGCCTCGTCGGAGCGGGGCATGTTTACGTATCTTGAGCCAAGTTGGCGGGTTTACGGCTTGCACAGATGACGAGAGAGCTCGATAGCGGGAGCATCAAAGAGGGGGACGCTTGTCGTGTCAAGGGCAGGGCGCTAGCATTCCTGAACCAAATGCATGAGTCTGGGATGAGGTATCCGGCTGAATAACGAGTCATCTTATATTGTCAGATGATCATCGTATTTGAGAGCGAACAACATCAGCCAGGGCTTTCGACACTGCTCTGGAAATCTAAGCACATTGTATTGATGAGCAAAAATGGATGCACCCGGGATCGAACCGGGGACCTTTCACAGTAGCGCATCTTGGTCAATGCGAAGCGAAAATCATACCACTAGACCATGCACCCTTTCATGTGGTGACTGTTTCGGTCAAAAATATGCATTATATGACAATATGTGGGAGTGAAGGATTACCGAAATGCACAGGTTCGTTTGTCATGTAGGGGAGGCAGACAGAGTTGCGGGAAACAGAAAGTACAAAGCATTCATTGCGGTGTTCATTGCTGAGAGGAACGGACTGAGCCGAAAGGGGTCCTCCTCTGTATTCATGATGTTCATGATGGGTAAGGTACAAGTACCTATGAAGAACCCTTAGCATATGTTCTGTCTCCTATCTAGAACTAGGGATACTGCCCTGCCTATCCAGTTGGATGTCAAAAGCAAGAGACTGGGAATAGATGTCCTCTCTCTCTCCTTGAAAGTGAAACCCCGGAGCCGCAGGAGATAGACGACAGTCACAGAACCGTCAGGCATCCGGCCCAAAAAACCTCCTTGGCCAGATATTCATACCGACCTTGATACCTCCCTCAACCGGCAAACCTGCATGTAGCGTTCTGGCATCCCCAGTCCCATTCGGTAGCAAGTTGACCCAGAACAGCGCGTTCCCAGGGATAGGCTTAAACGCCAGCCCGCCATCCTCGTGCTCTCTCCACAGCACCTCTCCCTCACCCCCGCCCCCACCACTACCGCCGCCACCCTCAATCGGTTTGATCAAAGGGAACCACGTCTCCCCAGACCCTTGGGTAACATTATCCGCCTGCAGCACCACAAACAGCGTCGCGACGCGGTTATACAACCTCCTCCTGCCCACAGCAGCATCCTCGTCCGTGATGCGCGGGCGCTTGAACCAGTCGTGATGCGGGTCAAATTTCTGTCCCGGCGTGTACCGGACCATCTGGGCCGGGCCCATCTCGTCGCGGCCAGGCAAGAGGAGGGTGCCAAGAAACGAGGCCGCGCGGCCCAGCACGCACGACACCGCCTTGTCGTCCGGCGGCAGCGGCGCGCTGTGCGAGGTGCGCGCTTGCGAGGGAGAATCGCCGTTCCCGCTGCCCGTCACGGGCGACTGGATGAGGAGCGGAGTGCCGGCGGCGATGATATCGGCGCGTTCCGAGGGCGGGATGAAATTGTGGATCAGGATCAGCAGCGGGTTGAGGGAGATTAGTTGGGCTGTGTACGCATGCTGGGGGCAGCTGTGTTCCGCTGGCGCTGCTGGGGGGGTTGATAGAACGGGGATCGGGATATGGACTTGTAATCTGGGGATGAGGATGCTCAGGAAGAGTGGCCCATAGTACGCGCTGAGGGCTACTGTGGCAGAGATGGTGAGAAGTTGAAGAGTTCCGGTCATGGTGAGGGCGTTGCTTCTGGCATCGCAACGGGGAATGGTGTGAAGATAAGTTGACCGAATGAGGCTTTGTCGATGAAGCCAGAGTGTGACTTGTAGATCGGCCTTTCCATGAGCCGCAGCTCCGGGTAAAGAGTTGGTACCATTGGTGCGGTGGACGAACTTTCATGAAGTTACATTAGCCTGATCTTCCTCATATTTACCACGCCACAGGTAACTGAAGCCTCAACCGAGACCACAGCATCGCCACAGTCAAGGCCGTGGAGCAAGAGAGCTTATGGCACGATCTTGTAGCGTCCATGGCGATGTGTTCTGCTCACTGATAGGGCAACAGTCAGGAATCTGAGAATTAGCTAGGAACGAGGTCGTACTGTATGCGCTACTGCGTGGCCGTTGACGTCCCCTAGATTATGGTGACTGTTAGCGTCAGCGTGGTGTTAGGTATGCAAGGGTCGACATGGGGAAGCTGGAGGGTAGTGAAGGGGTGAGCAGCTTGGATGTACTGTAACAGGGGAGACCCTAAGAGGGACTGAGACAACAGGTGCAGATGCCCGTATGCCGACACTGTCTCCTGGACCACATACGACTTCCAAGACTCAACGCAAACACTCAGCACGCTGAAAAGCTTGTATTGCTCGCATAATTCCCTCGCCTTTCCACTGACATCTAAGCGTTTCATATCCACATGCTTCATCCCCTCCCTTGCGGCTCAGGATCCTCGCCATTGTGTGCGCCATAACCAAAACTCCAAAAGCAAACGGCCTCAGCAGTGAGCACAAATTATACACAAGAATGGAAAAGGCTGTCAGCATGTACAGCTCTACCGCTGTAAGGATAAAGAGGGAAAGGGGGTAGCAGGTATCCACAGTCCCACGCCGGACAAGCATCAGTCATACCATGGCATGTCATACCGAGGAAGGATGCCATCGCTCACCCGAGAGCCTGGTTCATTTCATCTGTCAGACCAACATCCGGCATACGGCGCAGAGACAACTCGTGCCCCCCTACATCAAAGGCAGGGCAAGGGTGCGGAGACAAGTCAGAGACTCCGACCAACAGCCACATCAAAACCAAAAACAGGATCCGAAAGTCAGGCCGTCACCCCAATAGATATAAAGGTATCCAACCAATGCTGAGAAAATCCGCTATCGCTACAGTCAATGTGAAGCTAGACTGTTTATGCTGGCTAACCTCCTACAGACAAGCGAGCCGGTCCAGCAAAAGGATTACAACACAACCACCAACTCCGTTTTCGAGCTTTTCCTGGAACCACAGCACCCCCCGCCCATCCTCAAGAACCCCAGGAAAAGCAGAGCCAGTGGTGGGGTATATGAACAAGAATCAAATGCATCCAGGCAGAAGCGTAGTCATCTTCGATGAGCGTCCAGACGTACAAATAACAATGACGACATGGGAAAGGGCGACAACGGGCCGAGCCGATGGGGCCCAAGAGCCTTTTAATGTATCCTCTCACTCGTCGACGGCGTACAACATTATCCTTCGCAGGAGTGTGGTCTGGTTGCGCAACAATGCTCGCACACCAAAGGTTCCTGACGGGGTGACATACAACAGGGAAATGGGAAGCGAAAAGCGTCAAGCCGTCCAAGCGTCAAGCAGAAAGTGAGATTAACAATCAACAATATGGGGTATCATAAGAAGCATTCGAAGTGCGGGTCGTATTGTAACTTTGCGTAGGGGTATCGCCGGGACGCGTGAATGTGGGCGACGGACGGGCCAGGGGAAATGGATCGAGTGAAAGCCATCTCAGATCTGGGGGGACAGGTTGTGGCTTGTGTTGTTGCTTCTTATCCACCCAAACATGCCGCCGCCCGTAGCTGCGGGGGCGGTGGTGGGGGACGTATCAACGACGGAGCGCAATTGTTGAGCCTCTCGGGGCTCGAGCAGCAGACTCTTGCGGTAGTGAGTCGCCTGCGCATTAGAGCCTGCTTTGTCCTTTTCCCTGACACGTTCAATCTCGGAATTGAGCCACTCTTGAAGGTGGGGCAATTCTGTCAGACGGTAAGGGATCTGGAACCGTTGGAGCTCACTAATGATCTTGGCCGTGCGAGTATGCTTGTCAAAATTGATGACAGTCAGGCCCGTGTCGCTGGTTTTGGTAGCCGGATTGCCCACGTCCACGAATGTGAGGTCGGTAAGAAACATGCCGAGAAAGGGTAAGCAGGGCGGTACCTGGTCGTGGAGCTGGGCGCGAAGAACTTTGTAATTCTGGTTGATATCCACACTGGCTTGCAGCGACTTGAGCATCTCTTTCCGCTTCACGCTGACGCTATCCCACGTTATTTTTAGGCGTTTGATGCTCGTGTCAGTGAGGGCACAGGTGATAGCCATGAGAGCATCGTAGTTATGGAGTAGTGAGCACTGGTTTGCGATTTTGATCCAGTGCTTGATGGCCAGAGCTCGTTTCTTGACCTCCTCATAGTACAAGATGCTGTCGGCGACGAGGTTCGACAGGCTGGTGGTGAATGATGACATCGCCTTGACATTGGGTGCACCGATGCCTCCGAGTTTAGTCCACTTTGAGCCGAGTAGTTCTTCAGGCGTGATTGAGCAAAAGAGCCCCATTTGCTTGATCGTCAGCTGCCGGGCCAGTTCGAGAGGATCAAAGTCCAGGATGGACGGGGAGCTGGACCCTGCTTTCCAGTTTGCTAACATGTTGAGCTGGCTTCTTGTTATGACGGGGGATGGAAGTGGCGTGTCGGCGGGGAGGTAGTGAGCGGTAGAGGTGCTCGCCTTTCCCATAGATGAGACGAGCCGCGGCACCAGGGTACCGCCGCTTAGCGATACCTTCTCGGCTAGCTCAAACAGCCGCTTGCCGGCTTGGGGAAGCGCAGCGGTAAGCTTTACCTCGGCAAACTCCTTGATCATGGGAAGTGCGTCGCGGTCCGTCTCGTCGCGCCAATGGGATTCCAACCAACCCTTGAAGACATTGTACGTCCTGAGCCGCACAGGTACCGCAACATGTGGGGCTTCCCCAGCGTAGTCGAAGCGGTCGATGAGAGCCTCCGCAAGGTTGACAGGGGTGCAGAAGAGCCGGAAGGTGAGATAAAAGGTCGATACAAACATAGCGTCAGGGGTCGATTCGTGGGTTGTGAGACGTTCTACTAGGGCGGCTAATGAACCACCAGTCACTTGCCCCTCCTTATTGAACATCAATTCATGGGCGTATGTCCTCTCGAGTAGTTTCGACTCGACATCGTCTACTTCCTCGGTCTGCGCCGAACTCTCAGCCACGCTCAGATTTGATATCGAGGGCTGATTTCTCGGGCCTTGCGTTATATCGGGAGTCGTTGCGCGAGTCGAGCTCTGGGAGACGATACTCGATTCGGAGTCTCGGCTGAGATAAGTCCTGCCGGAGCCGGAGCTCAAGGTAGTGATGCTCTCAGTCCGGAATGAATGGAATTCCGAGTCTTGCGTAGCGGAATGCTGTGTCGGACTGTAATTATCGGTTGATGGTGGCGACGTAGAGATCTTCGGAAGCTGCGTCAAGTCCCCGCGAACTGAAGAGGCTGTTGAAACCACACTGAAAGCAGTTGTGACGTGCGAGGATTGTTGTGCTGTTGGTCTGTTGGGATATGGCGCTGGCTGCTCTGTAACAGGCGAGGCAACTTGAGGAACTTCGGGAAGCGGCTTGTCAATCGAGAGAGTCGGCTCGGATGTGATTGCGGGCGCGGCCGTGGAGGTTACTGTCGAAACGCTGAGCGCTTCGGACGCGGTCGACTCGGCTATGCTTTCCAACTCGGAGCCATTAAACCTGTCCTTCTCTTCGGAAAAGCAGTCCAATGCGGAGAGATCGAAGTTGATACCTAGGTTGCCGCCGTCGAATTCGAACTCGAAATCGCCAATGCGTTCGATCACCCATCTTGCCTTTGCTACGCACTCCCCAGTAGCCTTGACGCATCCAGTCGCCGCCCCCAACAAGCGTCCGTTGTCCTGTGGCACGATTACGTCCTCTTCCACTTCCGGCCCGGGATTTGTGAGAATATCGCGTGCTGTGTGGACAAGACCCATGATGCGATCGTACATGGTGATTCGAGACTGCTCCAGAGCATCCATGCTCATTGAGGATTGAGCGCAGACAATATCAACCACAAACAGTAGTTCACCGCCCGAGGTAGCAGACTGCTTAATTGCCAGAGCGAGGCTAGGACGTGACTGAGACTGAAGCTGCAGCCGACCGATAAAGGAGCCTAGGTGTGAGAGGAAAATGTCATGGCATGTGTTGAGACGCTCAGAGACCAAGTTTTGTGGACGCAAGACGGATGAAAACCCCGCCAAGCTGACTCGGTGGGAAACGGTTGAGGACAATCGGTTTGTTTGCACCTGACTGCACTGGGACAATCGGCGGACATCTATGGTCTGCAGGTGAATTGAAGACAAACGGTCGTTCGCGGCTGTGGTGTCTTGTGCAACCTCACTCGCCGCAAGTGGCGCCGTGTCGGTTGCGTCGTTGTTTTCGCCCGATCGGGAGCCTGCGTCAGGAGTCGGTTCCTCAGTCGAGTCGAAGGCCGCCGATTCGGCAGGTGGCGTTAGCGGAGCATAGGCTTCCTCGAGCAGCGTTGTCAATATAGTCACTGTGGGTACCCGCAACTTCCGATCCTCGTCCAAGATATCCAGGAATCTCACTCCTTTAACGATGATTTTGAACGCTCTCAGAATCATCTCATCCACAATGTCATTAATGTCCTCCTGGCCGGGAATCCGCTGAGCATCCTGCAGTCTCTTTGCGGTCTTGACCAGAGACGACAACTCTGATAACAGCGATTTCCGGCTCCTTCGGAGTCCATCGTGTCGCTGAACGAGGGGTGATTCTCTTGTTAGACAGTCCGTCCGCTCCTGTGTGACATGTTAGAGTCCATGGCTCCGGGGGAGTGTTCCCGTGGCACAACCCACAAGTAGATAGCGGACGCCCGCAATGATACCCTTCATGAACTCCTGGCTGCCAAACGTCTCGTCGGTGACTGAGGTGCTTCGCATCAGGTCCCAAAAGTTAAGCAACGCCTTAAGCAAGCTCCTCATTTCTTCGGGATTGTAGGCATCGCAGTAGTTGGTAGGCAGCCATCCTCTCGCGCCAGTGAGCAACAGAGTGCCATCGGCCCAGCCGTTCGTATGGATAGAATGAACCAGGACAACATCACCCTCATTCAATGGAAGCGTTACCGTCGAGTCTGTCATAACAGGGCTCGGCTGAAAGGGGTAGAAGGCCCTCAAAAAGTTGTGAAAGACGGGTTCGCTGTCGGAGTGAACATTATGGTCCTCTTGCGCGCCATTGGGTGTGGCTGGCGGCGTCATTTGCGTGTCGGAAAAGCCATTAGAAGAAGAGTCGGCCTGATCTGAGCCCCTGCTGCGTGATGTCCCTCTTGATTTCTGTATCGTTAACGGAGCCACTTGCAAGCTCGTCCTCATGCCTCGGCCGCTCAGCGTTGCCATTGCCCTCGGACACTCCTTCACCCACCATAGGCCACGGATTTAGGGCTTAACTTGGATCAAAGCCCACGGCCGGTTGTCCGGGTCAGTCCTTTCCTGTAGCGCGGGGGTTCAGCCAGGATTCGACGCGTTTCCGGCGTGGTTCCCCTTCTGTTATTCAGCTGAAGAAATCAAGATCGACCTCCGCGCCCGCCAGGCGCCAACAGTCCGTGGGAACCAGAATGTTCCCGTTCGAATGCTAAGAAAGCTCGAGCGCCGTTCCTTTTTGTGTCGTTGACGGTAAGGTTATCCTCGAGACTAGAGCGTAACAGCGGTCAGCTTGACGCGGGGAGTTGGTTGTTTTGATACCGAGGCCAGGTGCCCATCAGAAGAATGTAGGGAGGGTGACATGCTTGGGACAGGCGCGTTCTAGGAATGCTAGAGGCATGGGAGGTGACCATGACGCAGAACACACAGTAGCCGCATGCCAGGGGGTGCCCTGTACCACTGGGTTTCGGCCATGGTGATCAAGGTCATAGCAAGACGGAGTACAAGAACTGTAGGTGAGGTCTTGGTGACGCACAAGCGACCGACGGCTCCATACCTTATTGTCGGCCAATTGATAGACGCGGGCGGCCAAGATTGAAGCGACCGGCTCGAATAGCTGGGTTGGAACTGCAGTCGTGAAGGGGAAGGACACAGAAACCTCAGCGCTGCTGGTTGTGCTCGGTGCAAAGACGTCGAGGCGTCTCCGACGATTCAATCGCCCCGGCTCCAGGTCAAACAAGCCGTAGCCGATCACCGGTTCTCGCAGAGGGGAGGATCCGGGCAATTGATATGGTTGTCCAGCTTTGCTTTTTGCTACGCATCTAGCAGGAGTAGTAGCATTGGTTGTCGAGTGTCAATGCCCGCTCTTCTCGCGACCTGTGCGACGAAACTGAACAAGGGGGCGACGGACAGCGATGTTTACACGTAGAGGCGCGGGAAGGGATAGCCCGCGATGCTCAGATGTCTGTCGGACAGATGGTGCGTTGCTCTGCAGTGAAGGTGGAGGTGGAGCATCCGACAATTCCTGAAGAGAATGGAAGGGAAACGACGAGACAAGCAGTCCAATGCTTCGCTGTGCAGTGTGCACCGACGCTGATGTTCAAGTTGCTCTCGCAACTGCAGTGGACCTCCCTCCCTTGGTCGCATTTTGGTGCCCTGCGTAGCTGCACTCGCGGTTCTGTGTGGCAGGGTTTCCTGCAGTATTTTTTTTCGATACCGTGTCTTGCCCGTTACAGGACGAAGTACCTAGGGATTGTGCATGTCGGCTCGTGCAGATGGCACCCAGCACACGGTCATTGCAGCGAATCAGAGCTCAGGAAGCCAACCGGGTCCCAGTGGGACATTGCCCCGGTTGAACTCTGCGTTATCGCACGGTACGGGGCTACTGTAGCTTGCCCAGGAAGGTGCGACGGGTTGAGTTAGCAGCGCCGCTTGTGTGCAGGCCATGGACCCGGGAGGGAGGCGCGAGACAGTCGAGAAACCTGGACGCAGATGCCTCAACACAGAGCGTCGAAGAGCATCCCTAGATCACAAGGCAAGCGACGGACAATACACGTGTACCTTAGGTACGGAGATAATTGTAGTTGCGCCGTCATTGACTGGATTTTGCTAACACCACACCGTACTCTGGCCAGCACCCCTTGTGTCTCGTGGTTCGATTTGACGTCTGACACATTGGAACCTGATTTGCTTTTGGTTGGCTTGAGCTCTGAACAAGAAGCACGGGCTTCGAGCACTGCTCTTGCGGGACAAATACGTGTACACATGTATTGACTGTATGTACAGTACAATACATACAGAGTAATAAAGCGTTCATTTTAGGGTCCAGAACGGGATGTCCGGAGGCACAGATATGGACTGAGCGAGAGACGCTAACGTTGATGGGTCTGTGCTCCCAACCTTAAGTGGCGCAAACCGTTGAAATTTCGAGATTGACACCACCTGCCGGCCGAAATATTTACCCAAATGCATTGTACGGAGGTAGTGCATGTATGTATGTACAGCTCTGCTCATCTCCATCCAGCGAATCCCATTGAATTCACAATGCGTAGGCAAACACTACGGGCATGTTGGGGTAAGTTGCTTCCCATAGAATGTCCAGCAGCCAGCCTCCTGGGTCGGTCCAAGAGGATCGAACCAGGAGTGTTTTGGGTGGCCCCTGTTTAACTTTGGGGTGCTTCGATGGGAGAAAATGGCCAGCCTCTGTCGCCATGGTCAGATCCGACGGTCACCTTGACTACACAGTCGCGTTAGTGTACCCTGTAGACATACATCATATGGAACTCATGATCGCCACTACCACTGCGAACACCTAGATGGACCACACGTGGACTTAGTGTACACTATGTGCGTTTTCACGGGTGCGCGCTGTATCCATCTTTCGTGCAGGAAAAGCAAGCTCTATGGGACGCCAATCGCACCGAAATGGGACTCGAGGCTGACTGCAGTCTGCAGTTCGGACCACGCTATGCATTGACATCACGTCCTAACAATGGAAGTGCCCCTGTCATGCCCAACGATGGATGCGCTCACCATCAAGGTCAAGGTCAAAAGTCGGGGTCCGGACTCGGAGGCTCGTAGAACCAACCAGGCGTTCCCACCAGGCGTTCCCGCATCCCCCACGCTGCAGGTCCAGATAAGATTCTCATCCGTATCCGGTATCCACCGACTCCTCGAAGGGAACCAATGCCCCCCTGAGGCCCCTATGCTTGGCGCCTCCGCACCAGGTCGCCGACGTTGGGTTGTTTCTAGTGTACACACTTTTTATTACCCACGCTGCCGACATTGTGAGCATCCGTTTCAATGCCGAATCCGGGTTTCTGTCTGCGGAGACAACCACTCTCAAGGTTCTCTCCCCGTATCGACACGTGAAATTGAGAAAATGACACAATTGTTGGTGTCGGCAGTTCGACACCGAGGGTTGTGGAGAAACAGGAGACCCTAGTAGCGCCGCAAAGCCACAAATGATGCTTCTTCCATCGCCCTCTCTTCGCTACACGTATCCGTCCCTCGTGCTGCGCTGCGAAGTAAAGATGATCGCCGTCTCTATGTATCGAAACCGGTTAGCGCAAGAGTCCACCGTCCATTGCATTCTGGCGCCCTCTGCTGACTGTGTGATCCGTAACTACACTGTGTACGCTCCAACACTTCTTCGCCTCACTACAAGAGAAAACAGGCGAGTTCAGCACGTGGCCGACCCAAAGACGCGGCTACTCGAGAGGAGAGTTTCCAGGAGCCATTTGCCACAGTACGAGTTACATACATACCTTGGCGGTTACTCGGCGAGGCTGAACCCGGCCCGGTGCGTAATTACATACCTGAGTTACAGTACAACAACCTTGCTCGAGGCTCAGTGGAGATTGTCTCAGGGAGCCGGATTCGAGATTTTGCGGCGTCGGGCCTGCGCCAGGCCACGCCCGATCGGGACGACAGTCTGAGAAACATTGGACGAAGCGTGAGGTGTTTCGCAAGAGAACAGTTGGGAAGAGAAAGGCCCGAAGGGGATGTTTCGCAGTGGCTTCGTACAACATTCATACCGGTACTCACGAAGTTCAATAACTGTCAGCTTTGGCTGTTCTGCCCAGACTAACGTACCCACGGACTGTGAAATACCCCTGTATGTACCTCCGTATGTACTGTACACTTACATACCCACGGAAGAGTCGAGACTGTTAACAAGTGGAGACAATATCGCGACATTTTAGCTGTTCTTTTAGCGCATTGAGGCGTGGTTTGATGCTGTCGGCATTCTCTCGGGAAGAAACACGCCAGTCATCAGTCGCTTTGCCGATTTGGTTTTGGGCATTTCTCTGGCTCCAAGCGCCTCCCTTTTCCTATCCACCTCAGTGCCTCGCAACTTGCAGGACAGATGGCATTCATGCTGTACAGTCCGAGAGCAACATTTCGGCGCCGCACAGCCTAGAAGCGGGGTCGGGGAAGTTTGCTGCTGGCACTGAGATGTCTGATTGTTGACTGAGAGAGCCTCATCGCTGTCACCAGTGACCACCACGTGCAGGCTATCCGTTTCGCTCCTTTCTCCGTTCCAGGCCCGCCTGGTGCCGATCATGGCCTGTCGATCGGCTGAATGGGCGCCTACAGGAAGCTCACCTCAACAGATGGGATATCTGTTTCGCTGAATGCTACACTACTTACATACTTACACTTGACTCCCGCGTTCCCGTCACAGCAGCTTTCACAATCACCCGACAGGACGGTTTGGCGATCCCTTCTGCATATCACGGCACACGACATATCGGCATCTCTGTGAGTGGTCGTTGTGGTAAATGGCAGAATCACAGAGAGCTGCCGTTCCAGACTTCCAGTGCACGGGGATAGTCACCATTATTGTTTTCCACTCCCAGATGCTTTGCTCATGCCGACATTACCTATGTTGATATCCCCTTGGTCAAACTGAACCACCACTACTCATTAGTGTAGATAGGATGGAGGAGTTCCAGGTTGATGAAACTTCTGGAGGGTTTTTTAGATAATATCCAAAAGACTGTCAGTCCGATCTCCCGCCTACCGCCTCACGGTTGTCCTTATTCACCTGAATACCGAGACTGTGTCCAACTCAAGGCCGTTTAACACTTCCATATACTCTGTACCTCAACCTTGGTTCCCCCAACTATTCCCTCCATTATTCCAAAGTGGAGAAGACGGCGTGATCTGCTTCATTCGTTCCATTGCGGCGTCGATGGCAGCCTGGTCTACGGGCTCCCCTTGAGTGGCACGGAAGTTTGCCAACAGTATTTCTTGTTCGTCGTAAAGCTCCGGCCAATCAACTGAAGATGAGACGCAGTGGCGCGGTTTGAGACCTTCATTTGGCTCACGCTCATGGCGGTCGCGAAAAATATGGTAGCGGGTCATCGAGTCCCATGGATCATATCGCCATCTGTTCTCTCGTGTAGGATGCATGGGAATCGGGCAATCAGAGCCGTCCGATGGCCCTAAGAGAAAGCTAATCAAGGCATCGTATTGTTTGGGTGTAGGCGGGTAGATGGTGCGAGGGCCCTTAAAGCGTGCTGGATGCAGAAACACATCCCTACACTGCGAGGAGTAAGAATACAAGCGTCGGAGCTTCAGGATCGGCATGACGAACTGACCTCAGTGCCCAACTCGCCGCGGTCAAAGATGACAACACCGCCGAATATCTTCGCTTCGGCCCAATAGCCGACGATATCGGCTATCCCGTCAGGGTACTGATGATGGGCTAGATAGCTGCGGTGGTAGAAAGGGGTCGGGGCGATAAATTCACCAGGCCTTGGAGGCTTAGTACGGTGGGAATCTCGCCATTCCTCGTACAAGCTATGCTTATGCACGCCATCATCGAGGTTATAAAGATGGACTGCGATTTGGTGGCAAGATACGGCCAAGAAGTTCAATGAGCCTCAGCTCGAACGTTTTGGTTCCGGGATGAGTGTTTTGGAAAGCGTTGAGGAGCTATGCAAAGGTATTAGAATCAACACAATGGTAGGGCATACAGAAGATTGCGACTTGCCGCGGTGGGAAATGTCAAGGATAAGGGGTCAACTGTGTCCCTGAAATCCCTTGTCCTTCTAAGAACACCAGGACATAGCGAGGTATGATTCAGTTCAAAGACCGGGTTTCCTCTCTTGAAAATGTGGAATTCAAGAAAGGACGATTCGGTTGGGAGGCCATCGAGGATCTCCGAATAGGCAAACTCTGCGACGTGTGTCGACAAAATCCTTGCCAGCGACTGCTTAAATGGGCCGGCATGGTCACTGTCTAGAAGCGGCAGATTACCGGCGTTTGGGGAGCTGCCCATGGCTACAAGCGAAGAGTAAGAAGGAGAACTCAAGCACGATGATGTATACTAGTACCTTCAGGTTGTTCAGGCATTGACCTCGAAGAGCAGGCAGCAAGCACCTGACTGATCATTCACCGGATTGGTGGAGATGCGCCTAGCCAGATACAGGTAACGGTCATGGTCTTACTTTTGTACCAGCTTAGCCGACGTCCTGCCATTGATGAGAGTGATGCACGTCACAGTTTCCATCATTTCGGACTTCGGAGACCGCAAGACCGCCGCTTCTCGTGCCTTCAATTTCTCAAGCTGACACGGGCTCTGTCCCACGCTGCGTTACGTTGCATAACTACTCCGTACAAAAATCCGGGCCAATTCCAAGGCTCTGTTCCTCACCAAGCGACCTGCGCAATTGACTGCTCGCTTTTTACCCATAACCATCACGCTGGTACAGTAGCTTGTGGCGAGAGTCAATGATGGTGCATCATGTGAAGTTAGTGGCATTGAGATTTGAAACTGCCACGGGGAGAGAGAGGAGAGAGGGATGGAAGAAGGAGGAAGGGGGGGTTTATACTGGCGCGAAGCAGTAAGGCCAGGCTGGACTTACCTCCATTTGTGGGCATTGAGGCTGGATAACGGCAAGAGCGAGCGCTCCAGTCCACCTCTGGAGCTGGTAATTGCCTACATTAAGTAGGTAGATAGGTAAATAAGGTAGTGATAAAGGAAGCCGCCTCGTGTCCGGTACCTGAATTAGCAAAGTTATGAGCCATTCAAGTTTGGGCACGCGCTCTTCGGATCACAACACTCTTGTTCTATTACGGATCCTTGATCAATCGAGACATTTCCGGCTTTCGGCGCCGGAGCGGGGCCTTGACGCGAGCTCCACTCCGACCGTTTCCGGGATTTGTCCGGGCTTGGGCCTTGGGGTGTGAAGGGGGGCGGGAAGTGCTCAGCGGGCTTCCATCGGCTTCAACCACCGGTCGTGATCGTTTGGATGTTCCGGGAAGGACAAGTACCTACCTAAGGTTGATCATACCTGGTTCTGAAAGCGATTTGCAACCGTCGCGAATCATTAAGTAAGGCCGACATTGTTAACAGCACTTTGAGTCCGTATATCATAGGAGCAAGATGTTTGACTGTTTGACTGGGTGATGTCAACGGCGCAGCCCATCTCTTGCATTTATTTGCCATTTGCACTTCGAGACGGGCCAATTGCACTCGGATGGAGGTGAGGCAGACTGCGATGGCTTTCTTTTTCGTCATTCACCTGGCACACTCGGACCATCGTGCCACCCGACAATAGAGCGTTTCACGGCAAGGGCAGAGAGTGTCAGAGCTCGCAGCTGCCCCTCTCTTCCTCATCGAAAAAGTAACCTCGCTTGAAGTGAGCTATACTTTTTTCACCCCCTATTGCTGTCCGTGCGCCCGATATCTCGGGCCAAGGATGGGGGTTCGCACATCGCTCGATATTATTATCAGTGTGATACACCAATGGAGGCAGGTACTACGAAGTATTTGTTTGCTTTTCGCTTGAAAATGAACATGTAACGTAGGTGGTAGGTAAGGTATGTATGTACCTGGCAACACCCAACTTAAGTCCGACGGGTACACTACAACCAGCACAGGTATTCAGGGGCAGCATCTGTCCCATTCAATCCACTCAACTGATGGTTTCTTTTTGACCTGATTTGTTAACCAAGGAAAACCGCTCCTGGAGAGCGTCTGCCCCACCCATCCATCCATGATCCAACTCAAGGTTCGGAACGGACGGGATCTCGCCCGTCCCGTGGACGCCAGATGGCAGAATGCAACCCCCATCTAGTTAACTTATACTAGGGATGTACATACATAGTGTAGATTGAGCACCGTGGGATAACCATAAGCGGGAAATACATTTGTGATGTGATGGGAGCACGGTTCCTGCATCATCTTTCCCGCCGCGGTCTGAGCCGAGCCAACAAGTTCCTCTCTCGTCCCGAATCTCCAATAAGGGAAAAATATACATGCCCAGCCAACATGTGCAGACCATTAACATGCGGGGAATCGAGTAAGGTACGTGGTCTGGTTTAATCGATCTTGTCCCGCAAGTATCACATCCGTCCCCTTTCTCTTCCTTACCTGAGATTCCCTCCTTCATCCGCAAACGGCCGCTCCTCGTTTGACTTTCCACATTCAGCCAATGTGTTGGCCAGCGTCGATCTTAGGGCGTCACAGTAATTGCCAGAGGTAACGTTAAGCGGGCTGCGTCAGTGGCAAGAACAGAGAACGAGGGGGGGATGGTTGTCTAATACGATAATGAGTGTGAGCCTGGGCCGGTAGAGTAGGAGGTGTTGTACATGTAAGCGAAGACTGAAAGACGACAAGCACGGTTACTGGTTTAGATCGGTACCGACGTACATGAAGGCAGTCTTCATGCTGCTGCGTTGCTTTGAAGGACTTTGAACGTGCATCTCGAAGTGGTACTGTAAAGAGCTAAAGATAAGTACTAGTAGGTAGGTACCTAGCAGAGAGAGGGACCCCGGACCCCCGGGGTCTCTGATACTTGGGTCTGGCTCTTGACATCAAGTTCGATGCAAGCGAGGAGGACGCTAATGACAACATCATGTCAACATGTGTCCTATAGGAACACCTGCTTGTAGCAATGCTTCATCATGCTGTTACTGGTTTCCTAGTCGCTTGCATGATCTCGAAGTCAATGTCAAGCTGAACTCAGTAAAGATGCTAGTAGTCTCAGAGACTCGTCCTCTCCCTACTATCAAGTAGTGAATATAGAGATCTCTACGACTATATAACTCACATTGCAAATATGCTCTTCTACTAAATCGATGCACGACTTCTACGGCCGAGGTGAATAGGTACGACTTCTCACCAGAGATGCCCCTCTAGCTTGGACATCAATGATGCTGTGCTGCTATGCCACGGGGCAGGCTAGACCAAAGTGATCTGCTCCGCTCTCCACCGCCCGTCCCAGAATGCCTCTCCGTCCATAAACCCGTGCAGATAACCTTCTCCAACTAGCCAATACTTGCCATTCGCAGCCTTGCGGAGGACATGTGGCACTTTGGCTCCTTGGAAAATGCACACCAGGTCGCCCGCCGCTGAGTCCGGCGGGACCAGCGTCATGAATCCCCTCCTCGTGACGGCAAACTGCCGTCGCAACACCGTACTCCCGAGCAGCAACCCTATCCGTTTCTCGTTGATTGCAACCAACGCTGACTTGTCGCCTTCCAATGCCTTGTGGAAGGCTTGGACCTGGTCGTCTGACATGGCTATGTGTTCGCCGCCCTCCAAGAACCCGTCCAGCATGAACGCGTACATAAGCACAACACGTTTCAACGTGCTGTCCTCGATGTTTCTGAAGTCGAATGCTCGTACGTACAGCTCCTCCATTGCCTTTGTGAGCTCGAGGGCTTGTGTACTGCTGCCCGTCCCGCCCCCGCCGCTCCTGAAAAGAGCGTTGTGGAGCTCGTTGCGTGCCCAGTAGGGCAGATTGGTGACGGCTGCAAGTTCGCAGAACAGTTTTTCACGATCGTTGAGAAGCTCCGGAGTGACATAGTCGCGGATGGTGCCTACTTCTTCGGGGATTTGCAGGAGTTTCTCCAAGGTATTGATCGTGTCCTCGGCCGACACCCCGGGATTTTTCGCGCTCTGCATCGCGGGGATTTGGAGTGCGGCAAGGAGCTCCGGATTAGAAGCAGCACCTGGTCCCTCCAAAATGGCCTTCCAATGTCGTTCGTTGCTGTCCATGAATGCCTTCAGGTAGTTGCCATGCGCTGGGTCTGCAGGGTAGGACGCGAGCGATTTGTTGCCGAGGCACGTCCGCCAAAACGCTTCCCATCGCGACTGGCCGTTGAAGTATGTCTGCGCGCATCGTGATTCGATAAGGCTCTGCGCCTCTCGCAGGCGAGCCACATCGTGGAGCATCAGCTCCGCTGCTTTTTTCTCCTCGCGAGAGCCAATCTCGCCGAGCCCTCTGAATTGGCTTATGTCTCCGGGTCTAAGCTCAGTGATGGCGCTAATCTCATCAATCAATATGCCACGAATGGCAACCTCATTGCTAGTCTGAATGTCTGAGAAGGACGGCCTGAGTCCGCCACCCGCCACGTACGGTGCGTAGGAATAAAGGGAACGGGGCATCGGAGGGTCGAGTTGAGAAATCAGTTGAAAATCAGGGATCCAACTCGGCCAGTCAGGACTTTCCCTTGCTCGAGCAATTCCGGCCATGGATAGTATCATCAGGGACGTGGGCTGGGCCATGGAGTGCAGTGTTGTTTCCTTGAAAACATCAAGCGTGGGTCTTTTATAATCCGGCACGAGGGCATGGTCCTTCACAGCTGTGCTGATACCATGAAAGGCAAAAACGTGGTCTAGCCCGAGTGTTGCTTGGGAGATGCTGAAATTGATTAAGATCTGGTCTAGAGGCCACTTGATGCCTGCTTGGTAGTCCGCTCGCAACCTCTCGATTGACTGGATTTGATGAATGGCTCGGAATGGCGGCGTCGCCATGCCCTCGGACTGGTCCAGTTTCTGCAGCAGACCACTGGCAGACTCGTCCTTGAGCGAGCTGACGATGGGTGCAAACAATCCCCAGTCGAACCACCTACCGCCGTAGAAGATGTCGACCTGGTGCGATACCACAATCTCCTGCACAATCCACACGCGCGACCAGTAGGGATTCTCAAGCATCCGCTTCAGGGCCGCCCACTTGGGGTTACCGTCTCTGATTCTCTTCAACCCGAATTGAGCGACAGTGACATCGAGATCGGACCGTCCGTTACCATTCTCGGCCATCATATCCATCAAGAAAATATAAGCGAAACAGGCCGCCGCCCAGGCGTCCGTCGCTTTGTCGAGCCAGATGAAGGTCCGTGTCACCCTGTCGTAAATGTCCCGCATCAGGCCGGCCTGCTGGTTCTTGTCGTCCTTGTCGTCTTGGTTGATGCAAATAGCATCGATCCACATCAGCCGCGTCCGCCAGACTGACGCCCGTCCCCAAAGGATGTCGTAGGCGCTCGCAGGGATTGGTAGTACCTTCCCATCAATCTCGACGATCCTCGTCCTTTCACCGCTTCCCCACCGGTACGAGACGGCCTCATAGCTGGCGGGATTGTCTGTATCGAGCTGATAGTTAACAAGCGAGAAGCTCAATCCGAAAAGCCGAGGCTGGATCTTGAGCAAACGGATTGTCCTTGGCGATGTAATCTTTTGGTACCGGTAGAGCGGAGCATTGGGTTCGAGACGCCGCCTCAAAGCCGTCGACTTGATCCAGATGGGGTACATCCGACGTACCGCCACAAGAGCAACCAGTCTCCAGTCGTATCGGAAATAGACAGCGGCCGCGGCCATTACCCACGAGGTAAGATCCCGTCTCCAAAGTCCTGAAAGCACGAGTGGAATGGTCTCGGCCCATGCCCACTTGAAGGCCAACACTGCCGGCTTGTAGACGTAGTGGCTGTATGTAGGGTTGAGCAGCATTCCAAGGGCAGCAGGCACAAGATACGCAGCGACCGTACTGATCCCTTTCCCAGGGGAAAACAACCCGAAATCTCTGCGCAGCGTAGGACCATCGCGGACCGCCGCTGTGCAGATGGCTAGAAGAGCGGCCCGAATATTCGGCTGGCTCCAAACGAACAATCCCTGAGCTCCAAGATACAACCCTAGCGAGACGGCGGAAGGAAGGGTGTAGATGCGATCGACCATGGACAAGAATCCCATGGAGCCCAGGACCTCCAGACATGATGTAGCGAACGCCGTCCACAACGTCGTCAACGGCACAGGCCGAGATACGCCATCTCCTTCGGTCGACGGCGACATGATTGACGTCGTCGAGTCCAAGATATTCTGTCCGGCTGGCTGATGGAGAATCGCAGACAAGTTTCGCGACGCAGCAATCAATCATCGATTCATCATCGAGCATTCGTTTGCTTTGAGCTCGGAGTGGGGTAAAGCGAAATCAATCATGTCCGTTAGAGCCTGAATAGAATCTCTTAGAAGAGTAGAAATCGCATCGATAGCGCGTCTCGGTGCGCCACCAATCTTCAGCCGCACTCCACGGCTGTGCGTTGCGTGGGAGTACTTCCCATCAACTACTCGCTAGCGCCAGCACGAAGAATCTTCTCAGTTAGCTAAGATATGTTGTTAGCTGAATCCTCAAGTATCACATCAAGAAAGGAAGATACCTCAGTAACCAGCTGCCCAATGCCGGCCTCCCCCAAGTCCTTCCCAAGGTCAAGGTATTCATGTCGCAACGCTCGAAATAGACAGGAATTTGTTTCACGACGGGATGAAAGCTGGGGAATCTGGGAATGGCTCTGGGACCAGAAATCGCTATAGTGTCGGTCTGACAAAGCAGACACGAACAACGGGGCCTGCTTGGCCTGTGGTATTAAAAGAATTGCAACGATTATACGCAACCATGATCCGTGCAGTTACTCCCCAGATACCACCCAGTCATTTACAGCATACGCCTCGAAATCAAACCGTCTCCTCCTTCGTAACCTTGTCCATAGTAACTGCCGTGGGCGCCACGTCTTCAACAGTCTCATCGCTGAACTTGAGATCCTCCTCGAGCGAGACCGTGTCCTTGATCCTGAGCCAGATGACCGGGGCGGCAATGACGAGGGCGGCGCCAAGAAGGCCCCACTGCGCGAAGGTCGATAAATATTAGTATTGAGCTGCCTTCCATGGAATAGATGCGGACAAACAACATACCGTGGCACCAAACATGGTGTTGAAGGGCGTCTTCAAGCCGTCCAATCTCCAGAACACAGCAGCGCCAGCCGACTGGATGCCCTTGTAGAAACCGGTAAGGTTGGCGGCCTTGCGGCCCGAGTTGCTCAGCGCCCCCATGTACCTGGCGCAGAGCTGTCAGTTACCTGCCGACGCTACCGCAGAGAAAAGAGCTACATACCAGTAGATGCAAGTCTGCCACGCGGCATCGAAAAAGCCGTAGAACATGTACAGGAACATAGGCCCGATGTACAGCTCGCCGCCCATCGACCAGTCGACCGTCTGGTAGCCCGAATTCTTGTCTTCGGTAATCTCACGAGGGACCTGCTTCACCTGCCAGGCCCAGCCGCCGCCCCAGATGACAAAGGTCAAGCAGAACAGCGCTGCGAAGCTGGCCTTGGCGCGGATAGAGCGGCGCAGCCCCTTGAAGTCGAGGGCATAGCCGAAGGCAAGGGAGCCGAGGATCTGGCTCAACCAGTACAGTGTGTTGTTGAGGGCGCGGGTCCGGGTGTTGAAGTGAGCGGCGTTCATATCGTTCGTCTGATAAGTGTAGAAGACGTTGGAGGCGAAGAACATGGGGAACAGCAGCACAATCCAGGGTGACTGAGTGATCGTCTGAAAAAGACCCACGAGCTCGGTCTTCCAGCTCGGGTTCTTCATCAGGATGACCTTGCTGCCGTCGCTCCGGCGAATACTGTCCGCGTTGCAAAGGGTCAAGGATAGTAGGGCGCCGAGAACCATCAGCACTAGGAAGCCGATATAGGTGCCGTCGGTGACGGTGGAGCTGCCGGTGGCGTTGATGTTCTGGCCGAGCGGCACCAATGAACCTATCACTGCACCAAGGTTGAAGATCACCCAGAAGTACGAAATGTACCGCCCCTTCTTGTCCTCCGGCGGGTAGCTCATCATGATGGCTCCCTGGGCCGTCCACAGCAGACCGGCGCAGATGCCGAGGAAGGCTCCAGCGAAGACAACAAAGCCGTGGTTTTGGTTGTGGTTGTAAGAGAGGAAGCTGGCGGCATAGACGCTGTATCCGAGACCGCCAAAGGCGAGGGTGGCCTTGACGCCAAGCATGTTGGCGAGAGTGCCGGAGAAGAAGCCGACCACGGCGAAGGTCGAGTACAGGGCGGTGTTGGCGTCATTCTGGGCGGTTGCATCCACCTGGCCGCCGCCGCCGAGACCAGTCAAGGCATTGAACATGCCGGGGCAGAGAAAGCAGACGAAGGCGACCATGATGAGTTGGACGATGGGCGATGCGAACCAAACTTCCTTCTTGCCGATCTTGACTCCTTTGTACATCCATCCTTCGGGACGCGGTGCCGGCTCGACGGGAGCTGCGACGGGACTCACGGGAGAGGTGAGCTCCGCGGCCGGAGCTGCCTTTTCGTCGGCCATTGTGGAATTGGTTTCGCCGAGGGGTAGGCGCGTGTCAGGGTTCGTATCAAATTGGTCTCGATTAAGATCTGGGGAAACCTCCAAGCACTGGGCGGCCGACAAGAGAAAAGAAAACGGGGCGCGAGAGAAGGAGAGATGAGACGATGTCGGAAAATGATCAATGGCAGTCAAACTGTCAATTATTATTGCCTGTCGCCGGCACTTTTGGCGCCGCACGGCTAATAAAGATTGGTTGGGGTGCAGCGCACTAAGGGTGTAGCGTACCGGTCGTTTTCACTGCTTTTGAGTTTTGATGCGATGACTTGAGTAAACGGGGCGGCGCGGATGTAACGCTACCGCGACAGGGTGCGGAGGAACGAGCGGGCCTTTTTAGGTTGCAACGCTGGTTCCTATTCGCAGCTCGTTATCGCCTCCAATGTGGTTGAACTTTTGAATTTTGAACATTAGCTGCCCAGGCCCTCAAGTTTGCACAAGCTGATTGCAGTGATAGGGACGTTATGGAATGGAGTGGTTGCACCGCTCCCCAAACGACCTGAGAGATGGCGGGAGCAACTCAAGTCAGATGTGAACGCGCTCCCGAGCTAACGTACCTACTGTACTGCAGAGAGCGCATACAGCTTAGAACTGGCACCTTCGTATCTGACTGTCCTAAAAATCCAGTCTGCCAATTGACCGTTCAGTGGGAAGGAAAGGTCACGGCTATCGCTGCGATAAGATGTCTGGTTGGCACCGGACCGAATGCACCCAGGGAAGCAACCAGTTGATTGGCACCCTATGAATGGGTCTTTCCCCGCCGACGTTTGGCGCGCCGCATGAAAGAGCGACGGTGATTGGCTCAGACCTCGCTGGGAGTTCTGTTTTGGAAGGAGCTGGGACAAGCACGAGAACAAGCTCTTGCCATCAACCTCCCCACCATCCTCAAGCCAAGCCCGCCGTGCAGCGCGGAGGTCCCATTCCCCGCCCGAAGGAACGGTGTGGGCCAGGTCTCGACCATGTAACGTTTCCTGCCGGATAAGATTACACTTCTATCGGCAACCAGCGTTGCGATAATCTGGACGGAACGAACAGCAAAGAAAAACGACAATCGCACGTCCAAACCACAGATCTGGTCAAGTGAGCTGCAACCTGGAAGCGCCTTGAACTGCTTCCCCACATCGCTTTCCGAGTACCAGGTCTTTCGCGATCCATGTCATGTTACCCGGCCATCGACCAGTCGATGGTGCTGCAAGGGCGTGTTCTGATGGACATCTTGGGCACGTGTGCACATCCAGGTTGGCGCTGTCTCGCATCTCACTCCAAACCAGCGCCTTGGTGTAACCGTCCATCTCGAGGAATTGGTGGCTAGCGCTGAAATATCACCGTCGCGACCTTCGGAAAGCAACTATGCAACTAGGTATAACTTTAGGTAACACATGCATTTTCGGGAATCTCAATGCCATCTGTCGACTGCTAGAAGCGCTCACGTGACTGCAGTATTCTCCAGATACCGGTACCCTTAAGAGTCGCCTCGTACGGATCGCACAAGGGCAGCATTGCCTCGAGAGTGAGTTGCACTCTGCAGCGGCCAATGTGACACCGTTCCCCTGAGCCATCGCCGTGCCAGCTCTGCAGTCCTTGGTACGATATCCTCAGGACCACATGGGCAGATGTTAAAACCCTCGCCGTTTGGGCTTGGAAGCCGCGTTTCGCGCAAGCTCGGGAGATGATCTTTGTTTGCCGCTTCCTGCCAGCGGGGACACCCGCCCTCACACGTGGCCGTGAGAGATGAACGCTTAGGCCTTGCCTGGCAAGCCGTACATTTAGTACCAAATTGTTTGTTCAATGATCCGTTGATTGAGGGTTCGCAGGGAGAAGCATTCCCAGTCGTTGAGAGCGAATGGAGGGAGACGGTGCACTGCTCTCATGCAACATCGAATGTTTGGCTCTTTCGGCATGTTCCTTAATCAGAGTTCGATACATCAGTCAAGGGGTTTATGGAGGCAAAAGACAGTTACTAACTATTTATACAGTTTATGGAGCTTCTCTGCTATGCATTGGCATTTTCCTTCGGCTCCTACGGTCTCCTGGGCAATAGCGAGGGCGAACGGAAGCTCCACTGTGCCGAGTTAGCGATAGCCGAGCTCAAGATGCCGAAGTGCGGCTCAACGGAACCTCAAGACGCCAAGCAGACCCGCTGGAGACCGAAACCCGACCGCCTTTCAAGGGTCCTGAGTGTTGTAAGGGGACGCTGACAGCGGCCCGTCTCGGGCGCCAATTGGACAGATGTGACCTGGCGTGACTGATGACATCACCCCTCCTTGGCATCAGTAATGCTCTCGACAACATCGCAAATGCCAAATGCTAACGATGGACTAGGAAGATCTAGATAAAGGTAGAGATGCTCATACATCTCCTCTATTCCATATCATTAAGTGCGTGATCCCCCAAAGGCGGCTCTTCTTGTCGTTGGGATCCAATTGATGTGGCTCCAAAGCGGATGCTGGTGGGATGATGTGCGGGGCTACACCCTCATGGCAAGGCCTATGGAGATCTTGGACTAGGTAAGCCCTGCAATCATGATGTCGGCCCATTCAGAATTTAAAGCGGCCCAGTTCGCAGCCTGGAGACTTCCGAAGCTGGCAGGCTCGGTGCTCCCATCTTCGCAAAAGCTTTTTTGTGCCCTTTTCCCTTCAATCCCCGCTCGGCCGTTCCCTTACATGACAGGTTGACCAAGACATCGAATTCTGCCGCTCTGCTGGGTTCCTCTCCGCTCCGCGTTCTTTTCGCTTCTTTGACCCAGCCAAAATGGCGTCGCCCATTGCTTCGGCGGCGCTGAAGGCTCGTGTCAAGCGGCCTTCGATGCTCAGCAAGCTCTGCCATCCCGAAGACCTCTTACCGCACTTTCCCAACGGCGCCTACATCGGCTGGTCCGGCTTCACTGGCGTCGGCTATCCCAAGTGAGTCTCAACGAGGAGAGGACTGAGAACTTGAGGTCAATTCTGACTTCTTGCGGACAGGAAGATGCCTACCTTCCTCGCAGACCACGTTGAGAAAAACAACTTGCAGGGCAAGCTGCGCTACAGCCTCTTCGTGGGCGCTTCATCTGGCGCTGAGACCGAGAACCGTTGGGCGGGACTGGATATGATCGAGAGGCGGGCACCCCACCAAGTGGGCAAGAACATCGCCAAGGGAATCAACGAGGGCCGCATCAAGTTCTTCGATAAGCATCTGTCTATGTTCCCGGTGGATCTGGTATACGTAAGGCACCTTGATCCCTGCATCATCCTCAGCCTCTCAGGAAATGTTGACCCGGTGGGTTAGGGGTTTTATACCAAGGATAGACCGAAGAACAAGATCGACGTCGCAGTGGTGGAAGCGACAGAGATCAAGGAGGACGGCAGCATCGTTCCTGGCGCCTCGGTCGGCGCGACCCCCGAGCTCCTCCAGCTCGCCGACAAGATCGTCATCGAGGTCAATACGGCACTACCTAGCTTTGACGGCTTGCACGACATTACCATGACCGACCTACCCCCGCGCCGGAAACCCTACCTCATCATGGGCGTCGAGGACCGCATCGGCACCAACTCGATCCCCATTGACCCGGAGAAGGTCGTCGGTATCCTGGAGTCCGACTACCAGGACCAGACGCAGCCCAACACGCCCCCAGACGAGGCATCTTCCAAGATTGCTGGTCACCTCATCGAGTTCTTCGAGCACGAGGTCAAACACGGCCGCCTGCCGGCGAACCTTCTACCCCTGCAGTCCGGTATTGGCAACATTGCCAACGCTGTCATTGGCGGCTTGGACAACTCCAACTTCCGCAACCTCAAGGTCTGGACCGAAGTCATCCAGGACACTTTCCTAGACCTGTTTGACTCTGGCCGGCTCGACTTTGCCACGGCCACATCAGTCCGCTTCTCGCCCACGGGGTTTGAGCGCTTCTACAACAACTGGGAATCGTACCACAACAAGCTGCTGCTGCGGTCGCAGCAGGTGTCCAACTCGCCCGAGATCATCCGCAGGTTGGGCGTCATCGGCATGAACACGCCCGTCGAGGTGGACATTTACGCGCACGCCAACTCGACGTGCGTCATGGGCAGCCGCATGCTCAACGGGCTGGGCGGGTCGGCCGACTTTTTGCGGAGCGCAAAGTACAGCATCATGCACACGCCGTCGACGCGGCCGTCCAAAACGGACCCGCACGGCGTGAGCTGCATCGTGCCCATGTGCACGCACGTCGACCAGACGGAGCACGACCTGGACGTTGTGGTGACGGAGAACGGGCTGGCCGACGTGCGCGGCCTGAGCCCCCGCGAGCGCGCCCGCGTCATCATCGACAAGTGCGCCCACGACGTCTACAAGCCCATCCTCAAGGCCTACTTTGAGCGCGCCGAGAGCGAGTGCCTCCGCAAGGGCATGGGCCACGAGCCGCACCTGCTGTGGAACGCCTTCGACATGCACAAGGCGCTGAGCGAGGAGGGCAGTATGCGGAAGGTAAAGTCGTGGTAATTGGCACGGGTTTTGGTGATATACACATAAAGTTTATAAAGCGTGTCATGGTGTTCTGGAGCGATCTAGGTTAAGGTAAATGGTCGTTGGTCCAACATAAAAGTAGAGAAGCTGTATAGTATAATGTTGTTTTGTCAAGTTTATCGCAGGCAGTATGTTGGTTTCGGTAGCTTTTCATCATCTGTAAACAATCATCTTCCCGTTACTCAGCTTTCAATCCGCTGAAATCTGTATACAATGCGTTCCTACCTTTGCAATTCAACGTCTGTACTCTGTAAGGCTCGGTTTACAAACATCCCTCCTTTGCATGCGTCGTATAACGTAAGCTATTGTAGTGCCTTGCTGGTACTAGCTCCAGGGTGATATCTACCACAGGATATTCATCTGGTATGGACCCTACAAACAATATCCTCGTCCGTAGTCCTGGTCTCCTGGACCATAAACTTGTGGGTGTCCATTTTCTTGAGACAGAATAGAGGTAATGGCCGAGGGCAGATAGGGGTGAAACCCCTCCATAAGAGGCAAGAGTTGATATTGCCATGGTTGGTTTGGCACAGTATGGCGTTGAAGCAAATGCCGCTCGCTATGCATCTATACCTGTGGTAACCCCCATCCACAACTCCCAACACCATATCCTACTCCATCGCCAACGAAAGGACAACAATGTTCATCCGCTTCCTGCCATCCCTGCCCATCGAACCGCGTCAGTCATACCCCTCACGAGCTTCTTCTGCCGTACGGCTCAAATGGAAACACGGCCGCAACAAGGCCCATTGCCACCAACAGCCCGCCACAGATATAAATCGGCGCGCTGGTCGACGTATCCGCCACAGTCGCAATCACGGCCGAAAGGATGCCCATAACCCTGTTGCACGCCACAGCCACCCCGTTCCCCGTCGCCCTGTGCGCACTGGGCAGCACCTCGGGAGTGTAGGCGTACAGCGTGCCGTAGTAGACATTCAAGCTGAATCCGATGGCGCACGAGAATCCGACGTTCTGCTCGGCGGTGCGCACCGCTGTGTAGGCAAAGAAGAAGCCCGCCGTCATCAGTGCGCCTATGAGCATCGTGTACCGCCGCCCCAGCAGCGGCTGGTTGCACATCCATCCCGCCAGCACGGGACCGAAGATGGAGCTGATGTTGGTCAGGGCGTAGTTCCGCCACGAGTCGAATGTTGACACATCCAGCGATGCACCCCGCGAGGCGAGGTAGGTCGGCAGGAAGACGTAGAAGAGCGGGTACGCCAGCCCAACCATGGCCCAGGAAACCCAGATCATGGCGGTTGAGATGGAGATTTTCCGCGTGGCGAAAAGCCCCCGGAGATGCACTAACGTTTCGGCGAGTGAGAAGCGGTTCTTGCTGTGCGCGCTCGTCACGACACCGCAGGCGTCTAGTTTCTCGACCGTCAGGTGGCAGGGCCGGTTGTACTTTTCTGCAAGAAACTGGAAAGTGGCCACAACCTCTTCGTCCCGGCCCATGCCGAGGAGGTACTTTGGTGTCTCCCTGAGCCGGATGATTGTGAGACGGAGAATTGACATGACGAAGACGAGGGCGCCGCTAGTGAACATCACGTATCGCCACCCCATGTTGTTGTCCCTGGTGCAAGTCTCGACTGATGCGCAATTCCACTGCTCAGGGACTGTAGTAAGAAATGGTCAGCATCAGATAGACTGTACTAGAACTTTCGAGTCATGAGACCGCACCCAAGAAACCCCAGGCGATGAAGCCCGTGACAGCCTGCCCGAGTCCCCACCAAGCGGCCAGGAGTGTCACAGCCCATTGCTTGTCGCTGGGAAGATACTCCAAGAAAACTGTGGTATCCAAGATGAGATTGCCGCCACCGCCAAAACCTATTAACGCGACGAAGAGGCCGAGGGACGCCCAATTGACCATCCCCCCTGCAATGATGGCCGAGATGGAGCATATCATCAGAGATATGTTGAAAGCGTGGCGACGGCCAATGATGTCGGCCCCTAGCCCCCAGAACAAGGCGCCTGCGAGCATGCCAACATAAACGGCTATCGTCAATGCGCTCGGGTAGCCAACTTCACCAAACTCGCGGAAGGCAGGACCTGCAATCACGGACTGGAGGAGTAAGATGAGCGAGTCGACCGCGTACCTGGAGTGGTTAGCTGAGGGAACCAACTCAAGCCTGGCTGTATGAGCAGAAAGAGTGCTTACCCAAAGCCATTCAAGAAGAACAGCTTGGTATGATATGGGGTCCAGCCAAGGTCGTCAATGGCCTAGATGTAGCATGATTAGCTGAAGCACAAGTGGCACACATCAATTACTCACATTATTGAGCAGATGCATCTTTCTATCAAGCGCGGGGTCGAGATCCTGTAGGGCCAAGATGTCCTCCCAGCGAACAGAGCTACCGACAGTGGTAGAGTCCTCGGACGCCTTTCCGCCGGCTTCATTTTCCTGCTCGCGTGGGCCAGGCTGGTCGTCTTTGCTGTTCGACATGATTGGTGATGAGATTAACCTTGGGGCTCAATGTATCCTGATGAGAGTGAAACCAGCCGTGAAGCGAAGCTCGGTCATGCAACCTCAGGAGCTCGCGACGCTGGGGGTCGAGATGGGACGCGAGCACTGAGGAAGCAATGAGTAAGGACAATGGAGAATGAAGCACCTTCATAAAAACCATCCAAGAGTAGCAGCCTGGAATTTTGCAGAGAACTCACGCGAGAAATAACACGCGCCAAGATACCTTGGATTGAGGGAGGTGGGGTAAGTCGACCCCTTCAACCAAGAACCGCATGGTCGGTACAGTGCTGTAAGCCTGGTGCATCCCAGGTGTGGGGTCCAGGAACCAGTCAGTTGAGAGATGTTGTGCAGAAACGTTGTAGGAATCCTGGATCTTCGCGGGCTTGCACTGCGGTTTCCCAACGACACGGGCGGCGTGGTCAATCTCAGAGCTGTGAGTGGTTCAGGGCACGGAAAGAACGGCTGGGGTCTCGTGCACAATTAGCCAGCTGCCAATTCGGGATGGTTATCGCTCATGAGTGGCTGGAAGCTGGCTGTCAGGTGCTCCACCGCTGAAAGCCAAGGGTCAACCACTTTTGGATGGGTGTCAAGCCAATGCCAAATCAAAAACTATCATGTTCACTGAGAACTACATCTCAGAACATAGTTTACTGAATGATATATACGTCATTGAAAAGTATGTACAGTTGAAGCGTCTCACACCTTGTCGGTCAAGCTTTACGTCGCCCCCAGGCCGGGCCCTTACACGCACTGAGAGTACCAATCATTCAGGTACTTGCAGGTGTAAGGGGCAGCACAAGTCTTGCAGCCGGAGTAGCTGATGCCACCACACTGCGACCACTGAGACGCCGCGCAACCGCTGGGTGTGGTTGTGGTGGGAGCAACAGAACTTGTGGTCGTCACCTGGGCCTGAGTAGTCGATGTAGTGAGCGTCGTCAAAGACGAAGTCCGAGACGTGCTAGTGCTGCTGCTGCTGCTGCTGCCACCCCCAGGAGCTGACCCTGTTGCATTTGATAAGCGATCCACCTGTCATAGGCATTATACATCACGCCAACTACTTACCAGGTCCGGCAACGGAAGTTGTCAGGTCGCCGCTCTCGATATAGACGCCGGACCAGTAGTAGTCCTCGGTGCTGTCCGGGTAGCCGTCGCGAGGCAGCTCGAGAACACCGACGTGCCAGTCGGCGCCGTTGCTGCTTGTGCTGGCGCTGACGGGGGCTACCACGCGAGTCAAGGGGTCGCTGCCGGTCGAGTGCCAGAAGCCGACAGTTCCAGCGCTAAAATCGATCTCGTAGGCTACATTGTGCCACACGCCGGCAACCCACTCGGTGCTCCACTTGGTCTGGCCGCCGACACACCAGCGCAACAGCGTGTCCGAGACGCCCGGCGAACCCGAGAGCCAGCCGGACTTGAGTTCGGTGAAGTGGCTCTCGAAGAAGGCGATCTGGTGCTCCCGCGTCGTGGCGGGTGGGTTGACGTCCTTGCGCATCAGCGAGAAGTGGTAGTACACTTTGCCCTTGTTAATGGCGGCGCTGGTCTGGGGGATCAGCTCTGTGCGCCGCATGTTCTGGCCGTTCCAGTAGGCAGTGTTGTCGAGCGTGATCTTGGCGCCCTGCCTCGAGCCCGTATCGGCCGGGTTCTTGAAGTCGGGCGACAGGTTGACGTAGGCCGTCACGGCGGAGGGTCCGTGGATGTAGTATTGGTAAGGGCCAACTTGGTTGCCCCACGACCATTTGTTTAAATCAGTCGACGACGTGAGGTCGTTGAAGCGACCATCCCAAAGAATGGTGCCGGCTGAGACGGACAGCACCTGGGCTGTGAAGGTCGCGAGTACTTGGGATCTCATATTGGCAAATGACTGGTGGGCGACCTAAGGTGGTTGGGCGGGACTCGTAGCTGGCGATGCGGAACCTAAGGTCGCAAAGACGGCCATGGCTGACTTATAGTTGAGGCCCCCCATCTCCGTCTCCATCATTTCCACCCATAATAAACTCGACTCGCCGGGTTTCCTGGATTGCACCGTGCTAGCGAAGGCGAAGCGGGGCAGGTCCCGCGAGACGGGAGAAATCCTTGCTTTTCAGAGGTTCTCGCAGTCGGATATCGCGACAGCGGCCCGCTTCGGACAGATCGTGAAGAGAGAATGGCGAGCTGTGTTGCAATCTCGGAAGCAGAGTTGGAAGTTGTCCCTTTTTGGTCGTAGTGGGCAGTTTCAGACGCGCCGATTCAGTGGGGCACACGCGGCTCGTCTTCCGAGAACCCCACAAGTAGAATCGGCTTGACGGGCAGCTCGTTCACAGCAGGCGGTCTCCTGTAGGTCTGGAGGCGTGCAAACTCAATGCACGTCATGGCTAAGTAGGTAGCTCAATTCACCAGCGTTGACTGAGTGCGCAACTCTACTTGATTTATTGGATTTCGCTCAACTCTCATTCCATCAGGTCACGGTTGGACAGGCCCACAGGGTACTCCGTAGCGATTGCCATACTGGATGGTGGGTCCACCCAGAGCCCATCCCTTCCGGTTTCGTAGTCCTTCAATCTTCTCACGTCACACGATTTTCAAACCTCATTTTCAAACTGTCTCGACTCACCACCATAAGCGGCGCTCACAATCTCGACACTACCGAATGAACCCATGCTTTCAATCTGATGCTACTCATTGAATAATAAATTATAGGCTTGCGCTCAGCCAGTGCTCTGCCGCTCTGCGTACTCATGCGACATTCGCCGATAGACGGAGAACACTTCGTCTCTGGACTCTCTGACAGTCTGACTCGGGATGAGTCTAATAAGCTGTTCACCGGGGAAAGCAGGCTTATAAAGTTTTGAACCCACCAAAGTTAATCTCAAAAGCCAACAACAACAGAACGTACGTTGCTGAAAACGCCGGTCACACCAAGCCGGCAATCAGGTATAAAAGGCTATGTCGTGGACGATATGTGAATTAGAGACAAGAGAAGCTAGGGCTCCTTGGATCAAAACTGACACTCCCCTTCTACGGGATTACCTAGAACACATATATCCTCGCGAGGACGACGCTCACCACCATCCCAACAACGCCGAGTATCAGATTTGCAAACGCCCTGTCGACCCAACGCTTGTTGCAGAGGGCTTCCCGGTCCTTCCACCCCCCGGCGGCAGCATTTGCGTGCGGGAACTCGACCTCGGGCACCGGCTTGCCCAGGAACTTGCAGAGCGGTTCCCAGCCGTCTTCGATGTACCATTCCAGCAGGCGCTCCTTGGGCACCAGACCGCGGATCATGTTGCAGTGCTCTGTGTGTCGTGTCAGCACTCAGCACACTTCCCCGACTCTCGGAGCAGATGCCGAAACCAAGAAAATCTGTCTAATCAACTCACCCTCAGCAACCCATCTCGCGTTATTCCTGATTGCCGCACCCATATCTCCATCAGGCGCACGGAACAGCAGCGGCCACAGGAACCGCTCATACACGTGCCAGGCCCAGAAGCATTCCCTGTCGAGCCAGCTCGCGATCCAGAACCCCCAGCTCTCGTTGGCATGCACCAGCGTTTTGACCAGGCTCCGCTGCCACGCGTCCACGTCTCTTCTCATATTCAGCACCACTTTGGCGTTTGGGTACGCCGCGATCATGTCGGCCGCGAAACAGCTCGCCGCGGCGTCCGTCACGGCCGCGCAGTGCCCGATGAGCGCGTCAAACTCGGCGGCTGAGATCTTTCTGGTCCCATCACCACCACTACCACCCCCCTTATTACTACCCAACGGGCCGTACCATTTCTTCCTCGCCAACCGGACCCATCCCGGGGAATGGCACTCGTCGTCGTAGACGATGTCCCAGCCGTGGTATGTGTGTTTGTACCCCAGCGTCAGCAGCGCCTGCTGCAGCGACTCGGTGCCCGTGCGCGGCAGCCCCACGCAAATGACCTGCATTGGGTTGTCCGGAGCACGCCTGCGTGGTGGTGGGGGCGCTGGCAGGGCGTACAGCCGCTCGATGGCGTGCCAGAGCGGGTGCGACAGGCTCAGACGCAGTGACGGCAGCGGGTTGAGGGACGAGAGTGTGCGTATCAAGCTCGCCGCTGCTGTTCGGCTTTGGGCATCTCGATGTCTAAGCTTGTGCTTCTGCGGGTAGTCTGTTGTCGGGGACTTGGACGGATCTGAAGACGGAGGAGCGGTAAAAGCCATGGCTGGCTAGCTCCTAGCTCCCGGTCTGGCTAAGTATGGTCTCAATGCGGGTCTCAGGCTGCATACATGCAGGAGTCCTGCTGGGAATGGCATCAGGAAATCCGGGGATGAGGTGATGCGGCTGAGGCAAGCTCCTTTATACTACGCTGCCTCCTGAGTCCCGACGACGGTGCCGTTTCAGGTAAGTCCTTTGTGCCGTGCCTCATTGCCGTCGAGAGGTGAATCTATACCATGGTAGTTGTGGCTCGGTCTACTAGCATTCACTACTGGAAAAGTCAAGGTAAGCCTGTTTCCCATATATCATCAACATATTTGCCCCTGGTGTCGATCAACCTGGGTGGGGTTCTGCGGCGGCGAAATCCAAGTTCCGGGTTTCCATTCTAGGACTTTCATCTATCTGGATGTGAACAGATGCTCATTAGAGCCGCGCGTCTTTACAAGCTCTTGGCAAATAAGGTGGACCGGTGCTGGAGTGGCAGTCGCGGGACGTGGGAAAAACGGCTTTGTGCTTGCCGGCTAAAGGGACGTCATGCCTCCATCTCCATTGTCGCGGGATTCGGCACGCTCGGCGAGCCGCACGTTCTCGAAATGCCCTAGGAGTGCTTGAAGGAGTTATAGTGCCTGGAAGATGCGAAGTTGCTAACGGCACTCCAGTCGGTACTAGTAGACTGTACTAGTCACTACAAAAAGCTCTTGTCTCAGGTACGAGGAGAGGGGCTGGCTGTGTCCAGGTGAGTAGCTACCTTTCTAATGTTCTACGAGAAGCTTAAATCTTTCTAAACTTGCCATACAACTCTTGTGATTGTCTCAGACCAACGAGATAACCCGCTAGAGACCGATAATCCGACACAGCATCGAGGCATAACCGTGCGGTACATATAGACACGGAATTTGCCTCATATATGACAAGTTTTACCCAGTGACTGGTACCCTACATTATAACAGCAACCACCATTCTCTTTCAAGTTGACTTCCAGGTGACGTCGGAGATGGGAGCAACCCAAGAGTAGCCCGTGTCGGTGGTCGCGCATTGCGACTTGCCGTCAATAGTCTCGCACGCCAAGGTCGTGTTGATGGTGGTGGTTGATAGGCCGCTGAATTGCACCCTGAAGCAGCCATCCATGTAAGTAAGAGAGGAGCATGCCACAACAAGCACGGGAACAACATGACTTACGGGTGATTCGGGTCCACATCCTGACAGGCCCAGTCGGCCTTGAGCACGAGCTCCTTGGAGGCCGGCGTGTACTTGAAGCTGCACTGATACGGCCACAACGGCAGCCCGTTGCCTCCGTCGGCGCCAATGTCGCACTCATACCATCCAGACTCCAGGGCCGCGCCCTGGTAGATGGGGATCGGGTACTGGAACCCGCGTTCCGTTTGCAGGATGATCTCGAAACTGACGGCCGGCGAGCTGCTGTCGGCGTCGTCGACCCTGAAGGAGCTGAAAAGCCACCGTGGGTTGAAGATGGACGACAGAGTGCAGCCGTCGCGCGCGGGGATGGGCTCTTCGATTGAGTAAGGGGGCAACGTCACCACCGTGCCCAGCTTTCCCTCGAGCGTGATGTCGCTCCCTGTCACGCAGACCGTCTCGGTTCCGCCTGCTTCCAGCTCGGCAGTTGTGCACTTGAAAGGCAGCGCGATGCTGCCGCTCGCCGTGATGTTCAAGCTGCAGGCGGAAATCATCAGTTACCCAACAAGATCATCAAGATGCTACGAAGCCACACTCACGGCTTTGCCGGATCCGTGTCGTCACAGAACCACGTCTGCTGCATGCTAAATGTCGACGTGTCCGGGTCGTAGGATCCCTGAGTCGAGACGGCGTACCTGCCGATCCTGGACGACTGGAACTCGTTTCCGGCACATACGAGATGGGACGGGTCTGCGCTGTAGTCGTACGAAGTCCCCGGCATGCAGCTCGCCTCATAGCCGTTGGCCGGGTTCGTGAGGATGAGGTTGAAGTTTACGAAGGGCGCCGAGATGCCGTTCCCGGTTCGATTGGTGTATGAAATGTGCGACAGAATCCACGACGGCTTCTCAGACCTCGCCGTGCACCCCGGCGTGTCGTGGCCCGTCGGGCCTTCCGGATAGGCCGGTGTGATGGCGACAGGGGAGGTCAGAGAGCCTTTGACGAGGATGGGAGACGTGTAATTCTGCAGGGCGGTGCTGTTGCCGACTGCTGTGAAAGTCATACTGCGCATAAAATCTGTAAGGAAACATGCTCGACGAGGTGGAAGTCATATTCAGGGGTAACACTTACGGCTTGCCTCGGTCGTTGCATGTCCAAGTTTGGTTTACCAGGTAAGTCGCTGAGTCGCCAGAGAGTTGAACGGATGCCTCAAGCGTGCCGTTTGTTGTCGGTCCCCCCTTAGCGGAGCATGCGTTCCATCCCTCGTTTGTCTGGCAAGTCATGCTCGCCGTGTAATTGATCGCCCGGTTCCAAACCTGGAATGACACATCTCCTGTCATCGAGTAAGTGACATCACGGATGAACCAACTGGGAATCGAGAACGACTTGGAGGTGCATCCAGCGCTCGGGTCTGGCGTTGGAGCTTGTGCTGAAACCAGCACGGCAGCCGAAGCGGCGAACAAGACGAGACGAGCTGCCATTGCGTTCAACAGCTCACAGGGAGATCTCCAAATCACATGCACCTGAGAACTAAGGATGGGGAGAACACCAGCGCGTGGCCAGACGAGTTTCTAGAAGCCAAAGAAGCTCTCCAAATTCTATATCATAGTTCGCGCTGAGGGGTACTGGTGAGGAGAAGGGCTTGCCCCTGACTTGGCCCATGGTCGAATTGTCCTATTAGAAGTCGCGTGCCAGGCTCATGTAAATACCCAGATTAAGGTGCAATGAGGGTGATATTGGTTGGAAGGTCATAGGCAATATGAGATGCCCACGGCTCAATTGCCGATAACACCATGTGGCAAGAGTCGATGAACCTCAGGGGTTCCCGGCAGCAACGGCACGGCAGATTGGATTCGATCTTTTTCCGCCCGGGTATTGACAGGTTGGCAGATTCAACGAGTAGGTTGCTACAAGCCAGCACGTAATTGACTTGGGGTTGTACTACATATGCTTCCCAACTAATGAGATAGAGATGATATATGTACTTGAGATGACCGTGATGATCGATCTCTGAATATCCGGGTAAACCACCGCTTGAACGCAGATTTGAGTGGCCAAGGTCGGCTCACATGCATATGCCACGCGTTCGTCGGGCCGTCCTTCAGGCGGATGAGGCTGAACGGCGTGAAGGTGGGTAATATTTGCTACTATATGTGTTGTGTTTGTGTAGCTCACTGACTGGGGTCTGGTATAGAAGAAATTCAGAAGTTGCTTTGTTCCTGCGTCAGCGTTGAGGACGGGATCTACTGCAGGATATCAGTACCGCTTCAGTCTGCATCAGTTGCTCCGTCAAAGCTCAACTATATTACCTAGATTATGGATCAGTTGTCAACTTGTCCAAACTCTAGGTAAGACAGGTCTGGTACTAGTAGACACCTCCGTCGGGCACCCGTCCCTAAGGTACCTATCTAAGGGAACATCACGAACGTGACAACATATTTCCTCACGATTCCATGATTTCAGTTTGTACTATATATAGTCCCTGGTCAGCAAGATCAGTTTCAAGATCGATACAAACTTCTGCCTCTCCATCCATGTTCTCCTCTGCTCTCTCCCTTAGTAGCCAATGTTCATTCTGCTACCTCTCTCTAGAGGTCTTGGTACGTAAGACACTCTGGCCACATGCAGCCGATGTGAATCTCACTAGGGTAACCATTGCCCTGCCTAGGATGAATTAATGAAGAGCATAGGTAGCAAGCCAAACCCATAACGCATCATCCAAGTCGAATGTGAACTTCAAGCCCATTCTACGGCATTCAGGGGTAGGGCCACTGACGCCAGTCTTTCAATACATCCTCCTGTCTTCACAATTCTCTCGAAAACCCCTTCGCTTGACCCAACATGCCCTCTTCAAGCAACGAATTCATGGCCACATGCACTTTCAAATGCGGCTGATCTAGAACGACAAATGAGAAGAACGCAGCGGAACGCCCAATGGGGGGAGTCCGTCGGATCCCGTAGTACTACTATACACTGGAAGCAACTCAGCTGTCAAAAACGACCAGGAAACAAAAGAGTCCGGCCAATGGTGATTCAAAATCAGCGTGGAGGTGTGAACCTTGCCAACCCCTGACTTCTAGCTGTGAGTAGTCTAGAATCGACGGATGTCCGGAAGAACTAGTACCATCAGTCCCCTCAAGCTTATAAGATTATCTCCATGTAGGCAGTTGCGTCTTTCCCAATTACTCCAGTTTGCAGACTCAAAAATTAGATTCTCGGGGATTTCAATTTGAGTCGGCTTGTATCTGGCATTATCCCATTGAAGACGAAATGGATATTGAATCGGCCATCAAAGTGCTGGAAGATGCGTCGGCGCAGGCCAAGCAACTTGGACCCCAATTCCGTCAGCGGATTCTCTCCTTGTCCGAGAGCCTGCCGACCTTGGTCCTTAGCCATGAACAGCTCGCCTTCAAGCATATCATGGAGGTGAGCCAATCTTGTAAAAGGAAATACTTTAACCTAGGCAATAGTGACTGACCAGTAGTCATCAGACACCTCCGCGGCAATTCGCCATTCGCATGGGCGTGGATCTGGGCATATTCCACGCACTCGTAGAGCGTGCTGGGACTCCCATAACCTCGGCCGACCTGGCCGCGCAGTGCAATGCCGACGAAGTTCTAGTCGTCCGAATCATGAGGGTTCTCACGGCGGCCGGATATGCCCAAGAGTCCGGCGAGAGAGAATATGTGACCACGCGCATGTCGCATGCAATGGTCGTAAAGCACATCGAGGCCTTTGCCGCTCACGTGTAAGTACCAGCAAGGGCAGGCCAAAGAGCGCCAGTGTCCATCTCCCAATGATCCTGTCCATCATAGCGCGGCTCTGACCCCTGAACCAGCTACGAGGCATCGGCTCGATCATGCAACCGCATGCCCGAGTACTTCAAGACACACGGGTACAAAAACCCCATGGACGAACTGAACGGCCCGAGCCAGTACGCCTTTGGCACCAACCTGCACTGGTTTGAATACCTCCACCAGGACCCCGTCAGGGCCGAGCGTTTCAACACGTGCATGACAGGGAGCAAGGCCGGATTCCGCTTCTGGTTCGAGTGGTTCCCCGTTACCGAGCACCTGCTGAACCCCTTCAGAGCCGCCTGTGTCTCCGAGGATACGCCCTTCCTGGTAGACCTGGGCGGCGGCATCGGCGCCCACGTCACACGTTTGTTGAAGGCCTACCCTGAGGCGGCACCGCTCGTCCTGCAGGACCTCCCGGCAACCATTGCCAAGGCGAATGAGCTGGACCTGGACCCCCGGATTCGGCCCATGGTCCACGACTTTTTCACTCCCCAGCCTGTCAAGGGCGCGTTTGCGTACTATACGCGCCTTGTCTTGCACGACTGGCCCGATGAGAGATGTCGGACTCTGCTGAGGGCTACGGCTGCGGCCATGAAGCCGGGCTTTTCACGTCTTCTGCTCAACGAGACCATCGTCCCGGACAAGGGGTGTCCTCCCTTGCTTGCGGCGGCCGACATTACCATGATGTCGCTTTTGGCAGGGATGGAGCGGACAAAGACGCAATGGGTGGAACTGGTTGAATCAGCGGGACTGCGTGTGGTGAAGGTTTGGCATTCGCCAGACTTGCCGGACTTTGAGGGAATTATTGAGGCCATGGTTGTTGAGTGAACGGAAAGAACCGGTACTTCAATAAAGGGCAATGCCCAAAATGGCTGCAAGAAATTGACAACTCTTTGCTGTCTTAGGTCTTTGAGAAAGCGTAGTCCAACTTGACTTTGACCCCCTGCCCGTTGAGGACTCACCGTACATGCATCACACAACGCACTTCCAACTACCAGGCTCCTTCGGGTTCCCTTGCCCAGTATACACATTCCTCAACGGATACCTGCAGTGCCTCCTCCGAAACGCCACCTCACCACCGCTCGCAGTGCCATTGACAAACGCCGTACCCAGAATCGTCTCAGGCGCCTTCCCCTGCTCAACCCATCGCACCACCGCCATCAACACATTCTGCTCCGGCTCAAGACTCGCAACATGGTCGCGCGCCTGTCCAACAAACACCGCCCCCGGCCCGCCCGTGCAGTGGCCCAGCCCAGAGATGCGAAAGAACCGATAAAACTCGTCCAGTTCCCGCGGCGGAAGCCCCATAGTCCGCGCCACATGAGCATAGTAGCGCGGCGAGTTGTCACTAGTAATAATCTGGTCCTGCAAGCCGTGCCAGTGCAGTATTTTAGCCCCCCTCTCTCGCGCAGCCGACAGGTCGCCCGACCACGTGCGAATGTCGGCCGGGTTCAGCGCGTCTGACGCGGCGTAATCGGCCGGCCCAAGCGTGGCTGGGTCCCAGTCCGGGTTGTTGTAGACCGCGTAGCGGAACCAGTCGGCCGAGTACTGGAACGGGTTGCCCGAGTAGTAGATGTAGGGCGTGCCGAGCAGCTCTGAACCGGGCTGCATACGGGGGTATACCAACGTGCCGTTCTCGCCGTACAAATCAGAGAAGACGGCGCGCACGGTGCTGGCTTGTGTGCCTGTGATGCATGTGCCGCTATTGGTGGCGTTGGTGGACGGGCAGATCAGCGACTCCGGGCGGTAGTGGCACAGTGAAGGGTCCTCGATGATGCCGTCGACGTAGCCGTCAATGCCGTCGCACTGGGCCATGATATCCGCGTGCACTGCGGTCCATTGCTCAGGGGTCAGGTACGTCGGAGACCCGGGGGCGCCCGTGAGGAGGTAGAAGTGTCCCGACCACGAATTCAGGTTGTTGAAATCGAGCGCCGGCGCGCCCGCCACAATGCCGTCAAAATCATCCGGAAAAGACTGCGCTGACTTGAACCCCTGCCGGCCGCCGGTCGAGCAACCGAGGTAGTACGACTTTGTGTGTTTCTTGCCGTAGAATTCTCTCGAGATTTCCTTGCCGACAACCACGTTGGTATGGACAGACCTCCAGCCAAAGTCCTCGACGACGTCCGGGTTGTTGAGGAAAGGGGTCCCCGAAGTGCCGTTGTGGCCGTTGTTGGCGCCGACGGTCGAGAAGCCGAGCTCGACCGTGTAGGCCATGTCGTCGTACGAGAGGCATCCGTTGAGACCGCCGTTGCCCGTGCTTAGGAACCGGCCGGTCCAGTTCCGCGGCAACCACGCCTCCATGCTGATGCCCGACCGGCTCGAAGTGGCAACGTATAAGGCGACGCGGCAAAAGTCGACGCCCACGGTCAATGGCCCCGGGCTACATGTCGGGTGCGCGTCGGGGAAGGACAGGTTTGTGCCCGCGGCCACGTACTCGGCGAACCAGACGGTGGCATTTTCGATCTTGAGCTTGCTGGCGAGCTTGGAGCACTGCTGCTGGAAGCCGCATTGCGCTGCTACCGCGAGCGAGGAAAAGAGCGCGGCGTACAGTGGAAAGCGCATCGTGGGGCGCCTGTGAGTGACGAAGGGATTTCAGGGGAAGGGGTCGGTTCCCGCAGTGCTAGGATGCCAGGACCCATCCATCCCGTCTTGAACTCTGTTGATGATGCTTCCCAACATTTATGTTCTTTTCTCAGGACGACCGTGGATCCATTTTCCTTGCCGTCCTAATGAGCCGACCCTCGGTAAGGTCAGGTAGCGAAATCACTATGACCCTCCTGAATGCAACTGCGGGGAATCCGGGGTGCGGAGCCGAGGGTGCCCCACGAGCAGCCGGCCAGCATCCCTGTTAGTTTCAACTCCCTGCATGCGTGGTACTTGGTAGACAGCATCGCCGGTCCTCCTAGTAGCGCAAGTTGATATGACAAGCTCAGTGTGAATATTCCACACAACTAAGGTATCTAATGCATCGGGTATTCCCAACGCCTGTCTAACCTCTGGTGTCCGTGACAGTTCCCCCAGCGCCAAGCTCATGAAGACTGCTTATCTAACGCCCGCCTCCAGTATCCCTGTGCTGGGAAATACAAAGAAAAGCTTCTCCGTGGTTCCAGTCCGGTGAGGGGTCCTCTGATTCCGGCCATCTTCGTAGCAACAAACACCGTGGAAGATTCTCCTCGTCCAAACGCCGTCCAATAATGGTTGGTGACAGCGTTCCCGACCAACGTTAAGAATCAACCACCTTAGGCATGAATCGTCTGGTCCACGCGAAGAGGCTTCATGCAGCCGCTTGACTCCCACTCCCAAGCGATCAAGCTCCAGTTGAGCTCCCGGCGCCAGAACAATCCGAGCCCGCGACCTCCATCAGCCCCTCCAAGGGACGGGTGACCCCGGCCACGGTCCTCGGCGCAGAGCCCGCCTGTCAGTGGCATGCGATGACGGTAAATGACTTTGCCCATGCGTGAATGGAGAATAGCCATTGAGCACATGACGCAGGGCTCGTGGGTCAGGTACATTTCCAGGCCGTGGCAGAGGTAACCGTCGGGATTTGGATGCTCCACCTCAAACACCTTCTTCTCGTCCTCAACAAGCGGTTTGTCCTGGAAAGCCTCAAACTCCAACACGGGTGTCGGTAAAGTCTTTGTAATCTTATCGTCCACTCGGACCAGTTTCTGTGCGACGAAGCTGATGGCACGCATCGCCGCATGTGCCAACGGGTTTCCGGTACAACCGACGTTTCCTTGGTGGCGCCAGCGAGCATCACCGGCCAGCGCAATGAGCTTGGTCCTGCCCTCTTCCCGCTGGATGATGCAAGCTCCAATGGGCTCGCCGTGGCCCGCGGCCTGGGCTTGTTCGGCAACCTGGTGTGCGAGCGTCATCCATATTGCAGCGTCATTGGCTATCTCGTCCGTATTGCGGGCAATCATGGCCGGGTGCGGTCCGAGCGGGTTATTCTTTCGGTATAACGATGGCCAGAACTGCTGTGACCACATGGCAGCCTGGACCTGAGAAGAAGGAGACACCAGAGGAACGGGGATGCTGCGAAGGAATGGCTCGCTTTCCAAGCCCTCAATCTTGGACAGCGCTCTAGAAACCTCGTCACGGTTGAGCATGCTCTCAGGCCCGACAATGATGTAGATCCAATTCGACTTGGCTGAATGTATCGACCGGCTCTGAGGGGATTCGTTCATGAACTGTGCCTTCAAGTGAGCAGGCAGATCCGACGGCTTTGCGCATCTGCGTAGATGAGGGAAACCCTTAATGATTTCATCTGGAAGCAGACCGCGCAACATGCTGCAACAACGTGAGCGACCGAAACCAGAGCAGGGAGGCGGGGGCGAACCGACGTGATAGCCGGGTTTGCCGACTTGAGAGGTGTGCGCGTGATGAGCACGCGTCCTGTCGAATAGTCATCTCGCAACTCGAGAGTAGTCTTCAAGGGAATGAGAACACCATGTTCGACATCTTCGCGAACGAGGCCCCGAACGATCGAATCCTGCGCAGCGAGCGCGCTTGCGATGGACTCGCCATCGTCGTCCATCTTCGTGCGCAGTCCGAGCGTCGCCCCAGAACTGTTTACACCAAAGGGAACAGGTTCCGACAACTGCGTAGGAGGTTTCGATGGACTACTATCGCAGCGAGAAGTGGAACAAAGTGGTGAGCCCAGTGGAGTAGTTTGTTTACAAAGGTAACGACGGTAGATGGTAGCGTTGCGAAGCTACAATCGATGTGTGGAAGAAGGGAGGGAGGAGAAGGACGCAAAGAGGAAAGGGTGGTTAAAATCGAAAAGGACACCAAGTTGTCGAAACATGGCGAGTACTAATCGTAGCTCAGGTTCGCGGGAAAGAACAGGTTCTGATTCTCATCAAGAGGAAAGAAAGCAATGCATCATGTTAAGGTAGGTACGTTGTAACCTTTTTCGTGCTGCATTTTGCGACAAGGTGAAAAAAGTGGTGGAGCACATTTGACCGCGGCAGCCCCACCCGGATGACGGACCCTGGAAGGCTGGAACAGCCTGGCAGGCACAACGGAGGTACCGCTGCAAGCAGTGATTGATGTGCTGTGCAACAATGGAGGCTACTGCTGCAGAGAAAGCTTCGACCCCGCCATCGCATGCAGATTCATCGCCTAGCCTCTAAGTGGGAGGTGTGTGCCTTAACATTGCATCTGCATCGTGATGATCAATGCCTCGTAGATAAAAGCCTCCATCACTTCATTCATGGTATCCTATCATATTCACTGCCTACCTTGAGTGATTTACTGTGGGGTATGTATTCGAGGCCAACACCTAAACCGCCCCCCAGGTTCTAGGACCTATCATGAAGCTTATTTTTTCTTTTATGGTGGGATCGTGGCCGACAGCATGCTCTTGTGGCTACTATCGGCATTGGTCTAGTTCTACTCTATTTTGCTGCATCTGCGACCTCCATATTCTGTCTCTGAGGGTGTCTTGCCGTCACTTCCGGGTGGTGCGCGCTTCGCCCGTGATGTTTGGTTTTTGGTCCGGACTCCGATGTGGGCTCCGGTCAGCCCCTCTTGTGGCGGGGCGTAGCGGAGCTCCTCAGAGCGCCGGCGATCCATACCCACAAATTTCCTCAGCAGATCGGCGAACGTTACCACCGAAGATCGCAGCGCCGACTGTCGGTCTTGGCAGAGGGCCGTTCAAAGTTGCTCAGTGTGGGGGTCCCGGGCTCCTTGTCCGCCCTACACTACACCAGCCTCCCGGAAGTGCCAACCTGTCAGGCGCAAGAGACTTCGAGGTGTTTGCTCCAACAACTCGATCAATTGCATGCGCACGAGCAGAAGGAGCTCCGAGCCCGGAAGTCGCTTTGCACTTACACTTGTACCGTACTTCCACAGTTGACAGTTGAAGGACAAGAAAAGCCAAGTCGGCGGTTTTCTGGAAAGAGTAACGATCCGCATCATCCTCAATCTGGCAAAGTCGAATTACACGGACCGAGAGTTCCAGCAAAACCTCCAAGCAACGGGTGCAAATGAAAAATCCGGGGCTGCAATTCCAGGTATAGTAGCACTTGTGCAAACTCAAGCCTTTCAATCCCGCAGCCTCTAGTCTTGTTGGTTCGGTTGAGGGTTGGCGTTTCGACCCCGACCGTCGTCTTTGGCTACGGCTGTGCAGGAGGGTTGCAACAAGGCCAGCAAGGCCTCAAAAGAGAAGTAGGTTGTAGTACGAAGTAAGGATGCCATACATGTACTTCGCAGATATCGCCCGGATGCAGGAGCGCGGCTGTTGCGCGTGCTCTCGGGCTCTGCTTTCATCCGAAAATGCTTAAAAGCCTCATCATCATCACTCCGAGTATGTAGAAGAGAGGATCCTCTCGCAGTCTCTCGTCTACGTCAGCGATCAGATCAAAGTGAGCGTCCCCGTCGGGATCACCACTGTGGGGCTCAAGCCTCGAGTTGCGAAACACCATCTGAAAGACCCAGGAAAAACGAGGGTCCCTGCGACCACTTATACATAAAAGAGTTGGATGACGGACAAGGCGCGCGCCTGGGAGCCTTTGCTGTGCAATCCCAAATCGAACGAGCGCTCATCGAGCGTCACCTCATCGCCGCCAGTGTCTCACTTTGCAAGAAAATGCCAGGCTGAGCTCAACCACAACTGCAGGCCATTTCGCTGGTTGAGTCACCCCACAGCGAGCCACCTTACGTCACCTCCGACCCTGTGCCCGGCGCTGCCGTCGGGCGTTGGCTTCACCAATCTCCTAGGCCAGCGTCTCGCCTCATAGAGGTTGACGTTACAGGATATTCTGTTCAAGCTAAGTAAGGCTTCCGAATGCACACGCGTAACAGGGCTGGACCAGGTATGTAATATATATCTGTTGGCAGTATTTTTTCTCAACAATTCCTTCACTCGATTCCCAAGAGGGTACGAATATGGCAAGTTTGACATCTTAGCCCTTCCATCCCAATCCAAGCTTCCCAAAACATTTCACCCAGGTAACGTCCCGAGGTTCCGGATTCGACTGGCACACAAGGTCCATACATCACAGTACATACCCATACGCATTAAAGTGTCCGGTGCACAACCCCAGGCTTTGCCCAATCCGCCCATTGGCTGATTCCACACAGCTGGGAATGCGCGATACCTAAGGGACCCCTGCAATAAACTCGATTAGGCTTGGGCATTCTGAACATCAAAAACCTCCCGCCCTTCCATGTCACAACCTGGAACCTTTGTCTGTCCTACCCCCAACACAGCAAAGTTTCCGAAACGAAGCTCTTGATTTTCTCTGTCCCCAAACCTCGACTTTCTCCTCGCCTTCGTGCTGACGTAGATTCACCTGCCGACAATTAACATCACGGCTGACCTCGAACCCCACCATACAGCCTCCATTGGCGCACCGGAGCCACAGTCGCTACGGAAGCTTGCCATGAGCCGTTCCATCGGGTCATCAGTAACAGCACCGCCGTCGCCTAGAATCCGCGCCAATGGGCAAGACCGCCAAAATGAAGCAGCACAAGTGAACAGCGGCAATCTGCCGCCGCCTGGTGCGCCGTACTGGGCAAGCGCTCTGAGGTCTATGAAGGACTCGGACCCCGCGTCGAAAACCGAGAAGGACTCTGTTCCCAACTCGGACGCGACCTACCCGCGTAGTATATCGTCTACCGCTCCTTGTTCACCGCGACTGTAAGTTTCTCACATACTCTCTCTTACCAGAACCGTGTGCCCCGACCTGCATTGTGCATAGGTGATTAACAATCCTGCACAGTCCCCCTGTGCGGCAGAATTCTGGCAGCCACACGCCGCGAGTCCGCCCGCATGCAACGACGCTCAATATCCCGGGCATGACACGTTCGAGGGCGTCTCCAAACGGTCACATTGCGGACAGAGATGTCGCGGCAAAATTGGTCATCATTATGGTTGGCCTGCCAGCCAGGGGGAAGTCGTACATCACCAAGAAAATCCAGCGCTACCTGTCCTGGCAACAGCACAGCACTAGGATATTTAATGTGGGAAATCGTAGACGCATTGCCGCCGGCCTTACCAATCCGCCCCCCACATCACCAACTTCAGACCCCGTCAAGGTTGACGTGCCCGCTGAGGCAGCAGCTAAGCTTCTGAATGGCACGAAACCCCCCGCCATCGTCATCGACGATGAGCCCACGAAATTGGACCTCAACGGACCCGCCAGCGACTCAAAGCCTTGCGAGAAGATTGACCAGTCCGCTTCATTTTTCGACCCGAAGAACGAAACCGCATCCAAGCTCAGAGAGCAGGTCGCTCTCGACACGCTCGATGAACTGCTGGCGTATCTTCTCACCCAGGGCGGTGCTGTCGGCATCCTTGATGCCACAAACAGCACCATACATCGGCGAAAACTTCTGGTGGATCGAATCAAAGAGAGGGAGCCAAAGCTGGGCATCCTCTTCATTGAGAGCATCTGCCATGACCAGAACGTGAGTTTTGTGTCCGTACATTTAGTCCAGAATTTAACTGACCGTGCCCACAGTTGCTCGAGGCAAACATGCGCTTGAAGCTCTCCGGGCCTGACTACAAGGATAAGGATCCGGTCAAGTCCCTGGAGGATTTCAAGCAGAGGGTCAAAGCTTATGAGAGCGCCTACGAGCCATTGGGCCAGTACGAGGAGGATCATGACTTGCAGTACATTCAGGTTTGTCTCGTCAGAAGTCTGCAACTCGCTTCACCGGTTCATAGCTGACGGCATGCAGATGATTGATGTGGGTCGAAAGATTATCCAGCATCGTCTGCGAGGCTTCTTGAGCGGCGGCATCGCTTCGTATCTCACAACGTTCAACCTGTCGCCCAGACAGATCTGGATCACGCGCCACGGAAAGAGTGTTGACAACGAGCTGCACAAGCTGGGCGGTGACTCGGTGCTAACAGAGAGCGGCCACTGCTACGGCTTGGCTCTCTACCGGTTCATTACGCACAAGCGGCAGGAGTGGCTGGTTCAGCAAAAGAACAAGATTGCACAGTCCTCGTTCCCACCGCAGCCTGGCGATAACACGCCGCCTTATCCGGAGCTCAATCAGGAGCTCGATGACAAGAACTTTTGTGTCTGGACGTCCATGCTCCGACGCAGCATAGAGACTGCCGAGTACTTTGACGCCGATGACGATTACGATGTCAAGGCCTGGGAAATGCTGAACGAGCTCAATGCGGGCATTTTCGAAGGCATGACATACGAGGAGATCGCACAGAAGTACCCTGAGGAGTATCAGAAGCGGCTGCAAGACAAACTTCAGTACATCTACCCTGGCGTCGGAGGAGAAGGGTATCTCCAAGTCATTAGTCGTCTTCGCGACATGGTGCGCGAAATTGAGCGCATCACGGACCACGTCTTGATCATCGGACACCGATCGGTCTGCCGAGTGTTGCTGGCCTACTTTATGGACCTGACAAGGGACGATATTGCCGATCTTGACATGCCGCTCGGCATGCTCTATGCTATCGAGCCGAAGCCGTACGGAATTGAGTTCCATGCCTACCGATACGACGAGGAGGCGCAGTGGTTCGACGAGTTACCCAACTACAAGCCGCGGAAGACGGTTGACAGAAACTCGTGATGCGGCCACGAGGCTACTCCCGTTTCGATGAGTAGGGGTGGAGCAGGCTCACAGGGGGCCTATGATTCAACACTATTTGGCGTTGGTGGCTATGGTCTGGTTCACGGCTGGGAACACTACTCATTTCTTTACGGAGTGTGATTCATGGGATTGGGTGGCGCAGGTAACAATGGGGAACGCCCAAAGGCCTCGACAATGGACCGGATCGGGATTGCATTACCTTTTATCGCTTTTCGGGATTCGAGCAGAGTTCTTGCATTACACATTCACATCTCCTTTCCTGCTGGCTTCACACGGCTGGTTTTCCACTCCTCCTGTCTTCACGGAAGCGGCGGTTTCGGTTTGTCTTGGACGGTGGGCGGCGTCTAGGAGGGTAGAGATACGGATGGGAAGGACCAGGAGCTGTCCTCGGTGATTATCAGTTCCCCTGAGCGAGACATTCCCCTCGATAGAGAAACCAGTCTCTCATGCAACATACATAGACATAGGTGCTTAGTTGCCTCAACGGCCGGAGGCACCACGTCCTACTTAGCTACTTGATAGCAGTAGCGCTTAATGCTTTGAGATGCATCGTGCTACCCATAATCAGAAGTCAAGTCTCAGCAATGATAGGTTGACAAGTGCATCATCCAAGTTGCTGCACTATGTCTGTCTTGCTAGGTAACACCGACATGGCGGGCCATGTCTGCTTGTAGCCGCGTTCTGTGGATATCAGGTCCGGATGTTGGGTTGGTACCGACCACACCACGTGCAGTCCATTGAGTTGTGTTTAGGACTCGACCATGTTTACTTATTTCTTCATCTGGATATCTTTCTATACAAGAGACATAAGGAGAGTATGCTAAACAGAGAAGAAATATGCCCACAGCAAGATACCCAAAGAACGACTAGAGTTGTTGAAACAAATCCAACAATGCCCCGGCCAACATGCACCCCCTACACCGTGACCCCTAAGCTTACCACCGTCAAACTAACAACCCCCTTGTCCTATGCATGCTATCCTGCACCAACATTACCCAGACAGAAAATGAAAATAAAGTAGGTAAAACCTTTAGGACCCGCCAGCACCCCCAACAATGGCACCCATGACAGCCATCTGCTGGGCCCTTCGCCGATCGACCTCCTTCTTGAGCATAACCAGGCATGTCGTGACAATCATGACCATGGCCATCTCGCTCTCCCCCTTTCCGCCACCACCATTCTCACTTTCCCACAAGCTTGGGTCAACCATCAACCGGCCCCCGTTGCCCGCGCTGCTCGCCGAGCTTCCCGGCGTCCGGTACCGCGGCCCGCGCAGAAACCGCGCGACTACCGTGCGCACCTCTTCCGAGTTGCCACTCTTCTGTTTCTTCATCCAATTTCTGCTGCTGCTGCTGCTGCTGCTGGTGAGGTGAGATGATTGGGCGGTTGCGATGCGCACTACCCGTTCCAGGACGAGCATGTTGGAGATCTCGTCGTCATCATCATCTCCTTCCTTTCCGTCTTCAAGATTGTCGCTGTGGCTACCGGTAATGCTACTGGCACTGCTGCCAGTGACTACCGGTTCAAATCCGAGTCCGAGACGAACAGCCTGGCGCTCCCTGCGCGACGCATACCGCCACTCAAAGGTCCCGAGCCTGCTGCGAAAGGTTACCGCGCGGGTGAGCAGGCCCAGCGAGGTCACTTTGAAACTGTCCCAGGCGGCCTCCTCATGGTCGTCCTCTTCTTCCCCCTTTCTTTTACCTGGGAAGAGCAAAGCGTCGACAGCAGACTGGGACAGGGGCGGGGAAGCCGGGTGGAACAAGCGGACGATGGGCGGGCGGTTGGGGCCAAAGAAGTAGGTCGTTGTGCTCAGTGTCCGCTGGTCCTCGGCCGAGACGAGGTAGCTGCTCCCGGAACACCGGGCGGGGCGGATGGAGATGAATCTGGGTGTGTGGCGGGCTGCTGCCGAGGAACTGCCTTCTTGATGGTCCAGGGAAAAGATTGGGATGGGGTCCGTGTGAAGAGGCAGGGGAAGCGAGATGAGCGGTTTGCCCGTGGTTTCGATCTGGAGGTGGACGGTAGGTCGGAAGGTGGAGGAGAAGCCGGGGACTTCCTCGTACGGCGGTGGCTCGCTGAGGATGGAGGGCGCGGAGCTGTCCAGGCGGGAGAGTTCAACCTCTCCGGGCTGAAGACTGTACCTTGGTGAAGGCATGGATCGGCGAGAGAGATGGGCCGTCACGATGATGATGTATTCTCTTGCTTGGATCTATGTTAAGAACCCAGAAAGAACCTTATTCTTTACTCAATCGATAAATCTGATCGCGGTGTCAGGTAGGACAGAAATCTTGTGCCGGGTATTGCGTAGAGTTCTAGAGATATATATACACGATCATGATCCCAAACCCCTTACATGCGTCCGGCACTGCCGTCGAAGAGCAGTGCCGGACCTCGAATGGTTAGCCAATCCGGTGAAAATGCGATGAATACGGGAGACCCGCACATCCCGTCGTTCAGACCCACTCATGATTTCGATCTTGGCCTTGGCGTCTTCTCGAATGCCCAACGAATCATTGATGCGAGATACGAATGTGGGGTTACCCTGTCCAAGCCACTCCGCGTAGGGCTGTGCTGGCGGGTGGGCATTCCGCTGGGCGTCCCGCAACTTGGAAGCATGTGCTGAACAGCAGCGCCTAAGATTGAGCTTCACCCACTTCGGAGCGGCCCGACTGTAGACCGAGTCTGACTTTTGTCTTGTTAAGGGCTGAGGACTGACACAATGCATGGCTCTCACGAAGTGCAAGGGGCAGAGAATGCATAGAGCAGGAGGGCCGAAAGAGCGTCTTTTTGTTTTCCGTCCCTAGATCCGTGAATCTATCCCTGATCCTGATCCCTAGTCGATCATGTGCCGTTTGCCAGGCCATGATATGCCCACTCTAACCTATCCGCCCGTGCTGTGTCAACTCCGGTTCCATTCCATCCATGCCTTATAAATGTACAAGAGATCCGAAAACATGTCATCGCTGCCGGTTGGGCAGAAAAAAGAAGGATATGAAGAGAAGTCATCAAGTATGTACAGGTGAAATGAAAGAGGACTGCCAGTGTCAATATCCAAGCATGTCCTTTCCTCCCTCTGAGAAGGAGGATATAACCAGGGTGGTGGATATCCTGCCGCAAAAGATCAAAACATCAAATGTCAACGAGAATCACAGTACCAACTTCCCCCCAGATTGCCTCGCCCGCTTAGGCACCGTAGGCGAATGTGTTGCCGTAGGTGCTGAGCGAGTTGCCCTTCACCATAGTACCCTGCTGCACCATGAAGTACGAGTACCGCTGGACGAAGGAATACGTCGAGTTGTTCTCGATTTGATCAATGACGGTCGCGAGCTGCGAATTGATCTGGTCGTCAGAGCCGTCAAAGGCAAACTCGGTGATCCAGACGGGCTTCTGGAACGTGGCGTAGACGTTGCGGACATGGCTGAGGAACGTATTCGTGTCGACCCCGTAGATGTGGATGTTGACGAAATCAACCGCGCACTTGCCGCCACACGCGTCGAACCACTGCTTCAACCAACCCACGCCCTGGTTCGGGTCGCCACTGTTGGTTATGGCCGGAGCGCCGATCAGGGCCTTGCCAGAGAACGGGTTCATCAGCTCGATATGCTTGGTGGCAGCCACCTGCGGCGACAGGTTGGCCTGCGCCCCTAGGTCTGGTTCGTTGAAGCTGAACAGGCACTTGGACCCGGCATCAATCGCCTTCTGAGCGTTCGCTGGCCAGGTCTGGGCAAAATCGAGCTTCAGACCCCACAGCATGGGGCAGAACTCGAGGTCAACGCCAGAGTCGTCGTACTGCCCCCAGTTGTAAGTCCACGAGACCTTGGTCCCGGTATTGATGAAAGCCTTCAACAGCTGGGGATCGTTGTAAGCAAGACCGCGCTTGGGACCGCCTGTCTCCCCGCTCCCGCTGCTTCCACCGTTTGCCGGAGCCTGGGAAGCTTGGGGAGCCTCGGTGCTCGAGGGCGCAACCACTGCCGGTGGAGTAGAGACCACTTCTGTCGTAGCGTCATTGGCAGGCGGGGTGCTCGTTTCTGGGACAGCAGTGGTCTGTTGAACTTGAGTGATAATGGTGGTTGAGGGAACCTCAACGACAGGTGCGGCAACAGAGACTGAGGAGCTACTTGAAGAGCTAGTCGAAGAGCTAGGACGTTGCTTGGGTCGGCCGGCATTGGTGTAGAACGCCTGCTCAGTAGGGGCGGTCTCGCCCTCGGTCACGGTGACAGTAACCCAATCAGTGACCGTCGTGACCTGGGTGACAATTGCTCTCTTGTCGTGCAAGTGCTGATGTCCATGCTGGTGGGCGCCAACAGCCACAGCCATGGCCTGGCTTGCAAGGCTGGCGGCAGCCAGAGCAGTAAGGGCCTTGGAATACATTCTGCCCATCTTGAGGCTGTCTTCTGGGGAAATGAATGCAGTTCTTAGCAAGCGTGAAAATATCAGATTGATCCCGCTATGTTGGTCTCGTCGGATCGGGTCTTTCCAGGTTGCCAGTTCGTTCGTCGCCGGTTCACCGTTGGTGTAGAAGGAGCGCAATACTGCCAAGGGAATGCCAGCACGAAGACCGTGAAAGGAGGGGGATACCGGCCACAGTGAATAGAATGAAGGTCAAGAGGGCCGATGTAGGCTGATGACCGTCGTGTCGCTGTCTGTCAAAGACGCAGAAGGAATGATGCGAATTTGCAAGTTTGAGCGGTACAGAGACCACAAGCGTAACCAGAACGCCCAAGGTCAGCTGTGCGACTGACGAAAGCTTGGCAACCAGGCGAGCGGAACGGAAAATGAAGGTGTGGAAAGGAAGGGAAGACCCGAAGCCGTGGGCAGCGTGGACGGAAGGTGGAGGGCACTTATATTAAGTACGTGTGCCAGGTCGAGACAGCCTACGGTACGCAGGGATCTGATCGACAGGGGTGAATGGTACCTGACATGGAGGTTCTGGACCTTGCAGGATGTGGATGCAAAGGCACAGGCAGGCACAAGCACTTGTTGACCAATGAGGGTGCAACTGGGCCAAGAAACGCCCGAAGCTTGCGTGGTGTCAGACAGTTGACACATTCCAGCTCCGACCAACATTGCGAGGTGGGATCCACAAGCCCTTGAAAAAATGACCGCAGACAATTCATAAACAGACAGCTCCCTTGGTCGATTGTACCTAGTGTACTGTACATAACCCCATTCTTGGTGCTCAAGAGGGAATGGGCCTGGAGCCCAGTCGCCATCGAGATCAGAACTTTCTGATGATTTTTCATCAGAAGGACCAGGACAACTCCGAGCATCGTCCTAGCCTAACCCCGCTCGGCCCACACAGGGGAGGTCTCGGACGACAAGGACTACAGTACGTAGGCTCTGTAGGTCAATACATAATCACAAGCAGGTACCGTAGTTAGAGAGGTAACTACACTCATCTCGACTGTCTCGACTCACTTGCACCTTGCGGTGATAAGGCCTTAGGTGACCTTTCCAGCGAATCGCCCGTCGAAGCCGAAGAACCTGGTTTATGATCAGAGGATCCAAACGGGTTCGTCCGACAGCCGGGCAGATTGACAGATTGCCGCCTTGGCTGCCCGCAAATGTGGGGCTGTCAAACGAACTTTGACGGATCGTGACGGGACAAACCAACGTGGTGGGTTTGCCACAGCGTCGATGCCGCCACGCCGGCGTCTCGCCAATCACTAGCGTGCCTGAGACGCAGGTACGGAATCCGCGCAGCTGCAACACCAGAGAAAAAAACCTGCTCATCCTGCAGGAACACGCTCAAAAGATTACAGCAAGTTCCCACCTCGTTGGCAAAGTTTGATGATATTGCCGCACTTTCATCTACGTGTGCATACAGTGTACACGTAACTACCTGGATTTTGATCACAATCTTTCGAGTTTCGCTCTCGGAGTTCCCCTCCGCGGCCCGATGTGATGGGACCAGCCCGCCTGCCTGCCAGCTGCCGTCCGAGCATCCTGAAACACGCCATCGTGGGCTGGCGGAGGTCCCTCACCGCGAGCTACGGTGATTACCGCCGGGCGATGCAGTCAATTTGAGAAGACAACGACTCACCCACTCGAAGAGAAAGTCCAAAGTGTCGGTTCTGTTGACTATAGTTTCTTTTTTTTTGCAAAGATTGACGAGGAATGCAGGCTGCACTTGTGTCCTGTGTCCTGAAACACGATCCCATATTCCCCAGCGGCGTGGAGCGAGTTTGCTCGGCGCACAAGCGAAAGTCCCGCCGTCGCCGCGGAGCTCGGAAGCACGATGCCTCGGTCTACAATACATACGGCGATAAGAGCACATTGAACAAGGCATGCTTCTTTACGGAGTATATATATCTGAATATGACCTTGACTCCGCTCGTATTGGCTAAAGATGGGTTCTTACTGACGTCCTCATATTTATCATTCGCACAAGCTGAGCCATTGTGTGATAAATCAGGACGCTGCCTCTGCGACTCGGGAAGTTTTCCAGCAGCATACAGAACAACCTAAGCATGCAAGCTCCGAAAACTGCAAGTCGTCACCCGTTACCTTCGTTCCAAACAACCTATCTATCGGCCTTGGCAGGGCCACGTGGAGCTGGACAACGCCAGACAAAACCCGGGCTTCAGATACCCAACGATAAGTTGCAAACCCAAGCCCAACATGGACGGCTAGGTATTTGACTGGCGAGCTTCAAGTTGAGCTGTCTTGCAAGCGTTGGGCGTCCTTTCCCGTAAAACGGCGAGAAGAAGGCTCGGGTGAACTCGGGGTAAGGTACTTCAAGAAGGACCTGCACCTGTTAGTGTGGTCAGAATTTCGCGTGCAAAAATCAATCCTCTCGACTACCCCTCCTAACAGAACTTCCAATTCCTGGTTGCCACTCAGCTTCGGCGTGAAGAGCCAACCTGTCGGGTGCGACTTCCATACGAAGTCAGACTTTCAAATTCTTGAGCGTGGGGTTAGCAGCAGGCGAGGATCATTGTGGACCACGACTCCTCAGTCAAGCAAATGGATTAGCTGCCTCCATCCATTGCTGGGCAGTAGGTTCATTCCTACTGGCAATTACCTCTTGGACCTACCAAGCTAGAGCATTCTGACAGACTCAAGCATCTCAGAATCTCTAAGAGCATTGCCCGGAAAAGAAGAGGTCTATTATGGCTGCAAATGATGCTGACCACCGTTTCTTCCCTAGTTAGCCCCCGTCCGAACCATATATATTTTGGGCCAGCAGGCCACCTCATTCAGAAATCTCACGGGACGACGGTATGGTGTTCACTGCAAGAATCAAGGCTGGCATGGACACGGAGGGATAATGACCCGAGTCTCCTATGTACTCCACTCCCTTCCTCAAAAGGGCATTCTAGGTTTCTTGGCTTTACCCCTCCCCAATCCCCATCCTCGACAGCAACGTGGTGTACTTTTATATACTCGGTGTTGAGTGAGCATCATTGCCATGCGAGGCTGTCATGGAATTATTTAAGGAGGCCTTCTTGTCAGCCTTATACATTACATAACGATTCCTTGACGTTATCGTGTTTGACGTTAGTGTGTAACCGATGGTGTTATGCAAGCGTCCACGTCGACGACACCCCTGAATTAGCACCGCCCCCTTTTTAGCACCAGGTCTCCGCATCCAACCGTGGCTTCGCTTGCTTGGCAGTTGAAGAGCCCTTCATTCCGCGTGTGAATGAATGACTCTGCTGAACTCTCCGTCATCTCACTTAACTACCGTGTACTCGAAGCGCTGTAGTTTTGATCAGAGTTGAATGCTGTGCTAACAGCCAAGCATCGGAGAGAATACATAAACAATGCAGCCAACCCATAACACAGATGGCCCCTTACAACCGGGCTACGTGCGCGCGTCGAGTATGACGCTGCCCATTCTCGGCCTCGACGACAGTGAAGCCAGCGACTTTGGCTATTCGACCTACTTTCCAGACCAGCATGACACTGGTTACCTCGCCGAGGAGAGCTCAGCATCCACGTCGACCCCGCCGTTTTCGGCATCCAACGCTGGGCCAACGATTCGGGCATTGACGCCGACTCGTCTGCAGCTCCCCTCGTCCTCCTCTCCATCAGCAGCAGCAGCACCAATAGCTCTTCCTAATGTTCGTTCTGGGAGCCTCGCCGGCACCAGCCCTGGGCAGGCCAAGCAGAGGCTGGAAAGGCGGGGCCACACGAAAAGCAGGAGGGGGTGCTTCAACTGCAAGCGGCGGAGGATCAAGGCGAGTCATGAGTTCTGAGAGCAACTGTAACGACAGTGCCCTAATGTCACTACAGTGTCAGGAGACAAAGCCCGCATGCGGACATTGTATCAAAACGGGGCTCAAGTGCGAGTACCCGGCCGCGCCAACCATTGTCCATCAGGTGTGCAAGCCCGTGTGAGTGGTCAGGGCGAGAAGCACCATGAAAGACCTAACGACTGTTGCAGCCACAACATCAAATCCCCATTTTCAGCCTCCAAGACATGAGATTCTTCCAGCACTATCTCATGTATTGCTACCCGCACCACCCGATCGGGTCCGAGGATGTCTGGCTGCATGAGATCCCGTGTCTGTCACACAAGGTATTCACAACCTGGAACAAGCCTTCCCATGCCGTGCTACCTAGGACTAAGCATTCTTCCAGTATGAATTCCTGATGCACGCCATCCTGGGCTTCGCGGCCTCGGCGCTGATCAACATGGACCCCTCGGCGCTCCAGCCGGCCATGGAGCATCGCTACAAGGCCATCAAGGCCATCAAGCGCGTGCTGGCCGACGCCGCCGCCAAGCAAGATTCTACGGCCCCCTCCAGCTCCTCCGAGTCCCGTTCCCCTTCACCGTCGCCGCAATCCAGCAAAAAGAAGAAGAAGGACTTGAGCTGCAACAACATCTACAAACCCAGCGACAATTTCTACGAGGAATGCAACGCCCTCATAGCCACGTGCTTCGTGCTGACCTTTCAGAGCGTGCTGCTCGAGGACGGCATGGCCGAGTACATGAGCTTCATCCGGGGCGTCATCATCGTCTCGGTCCAGATGTACATGCAGGGCGGCGGTGCGCACCTCGTCTTTAGCGACTACATGGGCGACGATTCCCAGGTCGGGCGGCTCCAGCCGCACATGGAGAAGCTGCCCCTGGTGAACAAGGAATGGGTGGACGCGGCGGTAGAAGCGATTGCCGGGCTCGAGGGCTTGCTTACGGATGAAGTGGAACGACAGAACTGGGAGATGATCTACGACATGGCCAAGAAGCTTTATACTTCTTCCTGGGAGGGTAGGTTTAAGTTTCCACACTCCACCACTCGCTTTTTCCCGCACCGTGGATAACTTACCAACTCACCTATCCGCGATTAAAGCATACCGAGCCTTGATGAGCCACTACGGCTGGTGGATGATGCTCCCCCACGAAAAGTTCCGGCGGCTGGTCGAGCCGGGGAGCCAGGTGGCCGTGCTGCTGGCCACGCATTGGATCGCGCTCAAGCAGATCATGGCCATCATCACCGACACCGAGATGCAGGCGGCGTCCAAACTGCCCGAGGCCAAGGGCGCCAACACCCAGCTCCTGCGGCACTCGGGCATGGACGGCTGGCTCAGGTTCTTGAACCGCCAGGTTGATGAGGTGCATCAGAGGTATAACCGGTGGCCCGTGTGGGTGCAGGCGCAGATGGATCGGGATTGGAGGTATTTTGGCAAGACGTTTTGAGGGGTGCCGTCGTGATGGATGGGTAGCCGGGGCAGTGATTCCGGCACCGACTGGACTAGTGGTAGGTCTACGGACAGGCTGAATCTAGGTGCGGTTGGTTCGGCACATATGGTTGACGGATACGATGGTCCCGTTTGGTGCAGCAAAGTTCATGCTCCACCACCACCTAGGGGCGTGCATGTGCCAGTTTCTTCTATACCCATATTTACAAGTCGTCCCCATCTCAGCTCTAGTATTAAACGAGCCACAGGATCATATATACACGTCCTCGCCTTCAAACATCCCTACCCATTAAATGGTAGCTTAGGACAACCCTTCCGCGGTAACAGAGCCAGGTAGCTCATCCCCACGTCCACACGGGTGTTATTGGCCCACTGACTCCCCTCTTGATCTCTTCCTCGAGCAAGATGGGGCTATAGACGCCGCTTCTGACGAAGCCACATGCGGGAAATAGTTCCCATCTGCATTGGGATCGCCCCCAACGGCTCCTGCGCTGCTGAAGGGGGTAGCTTCGAGATCTGGACTCGAAATAGGACTAATATCGTCTCCACCGCGGGGCCCGTCGTTGTTGTCGCGCGGCACTGCTGTCGTGACCGAGGATGCTGCGCCCGAGGGTGCCACTGTTCCAGATGGTGCTGTTGTTGTCGTCCCCGACGTTGCCCTCTTGAGAGGTGTCATTGCGAGTCTCACTCCTCCACCTCCTCCTGACCCCACGTCTGCGGGAGGCCGCTCGTTGGCTGTCGTTGTTGAGCTGGATGCGCTGTCTGGGGAGGTAACCCATTGGATTACGATCGCGGAGAAGAGAACTGGTTTATTCTTTCTGTGAGTGTGCGTGGTCTACTAGTTGGAAAAGGGGGGGCTACTGAGATTAACACACTGTCAATGTTGCAACACAAAATGCAGAGCCAGCCTCGCTCGCCGTTCAGCGCCATTAACACGGTCAAATTGCTGGAGTTGCAGGTGTCAGCGTCATGCGAAGAGAAAAGAATGGAACATGGGCATGATGACTTGCGTGATACTGCTTGCCAGCGTGCAGATGGACCCAATGAAGGTTCGAAGCGCCACAGTTCTCAGCCGTCTGCTGAAGGGCGTCTGTTGACTGCTGTACGAGTAGAACTCTGCGAGCTGTGAGCTGGTTCACAATGGAGCAAGGGGTATGTATTGAGCGTGGACATACGGGACAGCGGTTTCAGAAAGAGAGTCGTGAGATAAATCTGGTTGGGTTTGAGTTAAGAACTCTGTTCAGCGTCGAAATGATAGCAGGCACAGTTGATGCCAGTGAGAAGAAACTCACATTGACCAGGAGGTCAAAGGCTATAAGAGGTATTATGGCCCCTCTCTCCAAGCCAATGATACACTGCCCGTCCTGGATCTTCGAAATGCGACTGCCGAGTCGTGTCAGCGGATGGGCAACTCAGGAGCAGTGACAGGATCGGCCTTTGGTTTACAAGATGAAGTTTAGCACCGCCACGACGCCGTAGCCCACTGAATGCAAGATTAGGACATGAATGTGGAAAAGGGGAGGTGGAAGCTGCGGAAAACCCACCACCTACCCCGAACGAATTCAGGATGTACAGTTTAGAGCGGAGCCGCGGCGTCTTGTAGCCAGACCGTATTATGTACTATGTCCTCGTCAGCTAACTTCGAAGCAATCTCGTTCCGGAAAGTTAAAAGGGCCGTACCGCTCTCTCTACCATGAACATGTAAACAAGCTGCCAGACTGTCAGTCAGCTTAAGGCTTCAAAACTGAATAGGAACAGATGAGATACGCACAATCTAATGTCAACAAGTATTGTCAGCATATATTCAGAACCAGAGCAATAAGTGTGAAGTAGGTTCAATACCTTGCTAGTCACATAACATGTGAGACAGAGCAGGATGGCCGCTTCACAAGCAGAAGCCGAGTACTCAACGCCGAAGCCGAACTTGAGAACTGAAGTCGCGAAGACGAATAGGAACGAGTCGATGTAGATGGCGAAGACCACTAAAGGTGCAGAATGCGAATGTTAATTACGCTAATTACAATATCTGGTGCCGGAATGACAAAGCCATTGGTGCGCAGGAAGGAACGCACGCCATTGCGCAGCTGCAAGTCGGTTCCAGGACTGGACTTGCACACAACGTTTTGCTGTGGAAGGGACATCACAGGTTAGTAACCAAACGAAAATGCGCCTGGAGTTTCAGTGCAATGTCTCTTACTTAGAAAAGTCGATATGGTGGCAAAAGATAACATAGCGAGGACGACACTGGCGACTACTCCCGACAGCGGCTCGGGGACGCTGTCAATCCCCTCAGTATCATCTTGGGGATTCAGCGGAGGCAGAGCCATCCTAGGAAGGCCGGAAGGTCCCATTGTGTCAACTACTGAACATATTGTTCGAGAACACCATGGTGAAGTAGAAGGGGGATGTGGTCTTGGTTATGTCGGGCTCACTACCATGCTCAGGAATGAGTTCAATAGCACTTGATAGGCCAGTTATCTTAACCTGCCGTATCGACAGTGACATCAGCGATGGAGGGAGGCAATCGTCCGACTGTTAGCGACAAATCCCATAACCCGAGGACCGCATCTTCTACGAATCTCCACCTCTTCCATGCAGATTGGGTTAGCTAAGGATGATCCCTGATGTGAGTGGGCAGCGGCGAGGGCGCCTCGTGGATAAACGGGGCGATGTCATTTCGCAGACCCAAGCCCTGGATCGAGCTGTAGCTGATCATCACATCGAACCACGAAATCGTGAAAAGAAAAAAGAATGCATTCAATGTAACAGCGCCCGGATATGGAAGAAGCAGAGGAATACCGACAGTTTGGGCGTCATAGATCTCGCATCGACACTGCCAGGGACAGTTGCAATGTCTTCCACTGGCTGTCTATCTAAGCCACCTGCGACGTCAGGGGCAGTCAAATCAAGCTCAAGCTACTGCATAAAACAGTAGCGCAGGCTAGTCGATGGGGAGGGAATCTTTTCATCCAATGTTTAGTTTGAAAGTTCCCAACATAAGAAACACTCCGGACCTACCTATCGGGGGTTTTGTTGAGCGGACACGAGTCATCATGTATTTAAAACAAAACCAAAAGGCTAAACAACAAAGTTCGGATACGTAACGTCACAAAAAACCTGCTTGGGATGCGGATGCGGATGCGGATGCGGTCTTGATTGGGTTTAGTTAACCTTGGGCCAACCCCTGTGCCGATCATTCCGGGGGATCACACTCCCGCCGATGTGGAGACGAGCCGGAAACCGGGCTCGGTCTCAGCTCCGCTCAGAGCGCGGAAAGAGCAGCAGTGTGAAGATGGACTGTGCACTGTAATCCAACAGGCGCCGTCTGGGGAGGAAAAGGGGTTAAAAGGACCCGACAAGGACAAGTTTACGCAACCGTGTACATATTCAATGTTCACGGATAAGGTATAAAACTGTAGTAGACGATGTATGTACAGCTAAAGCGTCATCTCTTGCACCGGATGTCTTGTTGATATCAGGTGCTGCGATTAGCGTACGACGGATGCTATCGTATGCACAGGTCCTAGGGAATCAGTACCAACAAGAGTGCTCAGTCTGAAGGACCTCCGTATTCTGCTCAATACCCTACCTTAGATACCTAGGTACCTTCCTGTAGATCTCTGCAAGCTCAATAGCTACATCTGAACCTTCCCTCCTGCAGTGTACATACAATACCACTATACTATACCCAGATGTCCGCACTAGATACGGGTTGCGATGATTTTCGAACCAAAAAGAAAGCCCCGAACCTTGTCATCATCCTGATGGCGAACGCAGATGCAGGCCTAGTGTAAGCCGTCAGACTGAAAAGGCAAAAGAAACCCAAATGTAACGCCATGCAATGCAATGCTATGCCGTGCCGTGGTGTGCAGTGTCGTGGTGTCGCGCTCGTAAGAAGAGAAGACAAGAAGAAAAGAAACAGAAGAAAACAAGGCAGCGATCCCGCCTCCCAGCGCCAGTCTAGCGTCAACAAGTCCACCCAGCTTCATCCAAGAAAAGAAGGTCCCCGTGGCTCGACAACACATTACCCCAGCATATCCACATCAGAACCCATAGCCCATATATCCAAGCCGAGGCAACACCCTTTCGCGCGGCAACGGCAGCAGCATCAAGCCCCATCAAGACATCCAAACCATTACGCCGCCCATTACTCCTCCTAGGGTTCAGGGTATCGTTTCCAGTCTTCAAAAACCCCCTCAGTAATCCAAGAAAACTCAGCATCCCAGCAACAAATCAAAGCATGAAACTCCTCACAGAGAGGTGAGCAAACTCGACCCTCACCCTGCGCCTGCGCCTGTACTACTACCACCACCCGAGCCCGGGAGGCCCGGTGGCGGATCCAGCTGGGTCTGGGTCCTGGTCCTGATACGAAACCGTTCCTTTAACCGATGCGTTAGCCTGGTCCTGCGCCCGCGCTGTTCTTCCGTCTCTGCCCCACTACTACCATGAACCTCTCCGCCGTCAGCATCACCGTTAGCAGCAGCAGCAGCGGCAGCAGACCGCTCCCGGAGCTGCTGCTGCGACCGATGGCGCCTGAGGATTTCGATGCGCTCCTCAACCGACGCGTGCCGCAACCTGTGAAGGTCGAGAAGCCGGGAGGAGCGTCTGCGTTGTTGCGTGTTTGTCGTCGTCGTTGCGCCGCCGCTCGTGGTCGTGTGTTCGTGCCACTCGTTCAAGCTCAGCGGTGGGGGCAGCTGGAGGGGGTCATCAGCGTCGGACCCCGAAGGGGACTGTTCATCCTGGGGTCTGAGGTCCAGACGGCTATTTTCGGAGGGTTATCGTCAGCATTTTCTTTCTCCCATTTTCATCGGGTTGAGGGGAAAGGGCGGAGGATAGTTACCATAACGGGCATGTTCCCGAAACGTTGATCAGCCAGGGGTCGATACACGGCGGGTGGAATTTGTGGTCGCACGGCAGGACTCGGACGTCCTCGCCTACAGTAAAGTCTTCGGTGCAGATAGGGCAGCCGAGGTGGTCCTCCGAGGAAGGTCCGTTGGTTTTGGAGCCGTCTTTATCTCCTAACCCCATTGTGCCAAGAGCAGCCTCGGCCGTGGCATGCCCAATTGTGTTTACTCCGGTCGTCCCGAGCTGGCTTGATACCGCGCCCGACATGGGTGCGGTGTTGCCGCCTCGGGGTGATTGTGGGGACTGTAACTCTTCGGGAATTGCCGAAAGCCTGGTCCCCATCCCAGGGTCGGGTGAGGTTGCCGATTGCTGGGATTCCAACTCCAGAGCGGGATCGGGCTTTGCCGGGCCCGGATCTCCGAATTTCACGATGGGCAATGTCTCTAGTACTGCGCGAGCCAGACCCCTTGCCCGGCTCTGCCGAGGTCGTCCACCGTACCCGGACCGGGGACCGTACCGCTCGGGGTAGCGGTGGGCCCGAATTGCCCCGGTCGCAATGATTACGAGAAATAACAATGTGATAAGACCGGTGATGCTGTAGAGTATGCTCATTGCAACGGCTGAGTTGTTCCCTTGCCGTTGGTCACCAGCGGGCTCTGGGCTTGTGACGTTCGCGTTCCCCGAAATCGTTGCTCGTAGAACCCCACCAGCCCTGACCGTATTGTTCATGGTGTCACGCGCCTCATTGGAATCGGCCATGGTGTATATTGATGTATAACTCAAGTCAGAACCCTCCAAACTGCAGCAATTTCCGTCTAAGCTGTAAAGCAGGATTGCCCTGGGCCTCTGATTCATTAAGCCGTTTATTGTTGCAGTCGCGTTGTCAGGATCGCAGCTGAGAAAGACAATCGTTTGAGGTCGCTCAGAGTTGACCGGAGTTTCCGCCGCAACCAGGCTTCCGCGGATCCATATTGCCTGCGTTGAGTTAGCGCCGCCATTAAATCGAACACGGTAGAGGCTAGGAGCTCACGCTTCTGAAGTCGTCCGATTGATTCAAGCCCGCGCGGGCGGTCAGGGGGTAGACGCTGTATGTCAATTGCAGCGCCTCTGTCTCGGGCGCAGTAAGCTGGAGGTGCATCCCGGACTCCAACTGCCAACCCGGGGCTTCCGGGATAGAGAATATCCTGGCATCTTGGGCATTAACCCTAAGTGCCACCACCAAGAGGGTGGAGGCGAGCAGCAGCCGTTGCAACGAAGCCATCTTTCCAGCACCGGCGACGGTCGACGTCGCTGCGGGCTACAGCCGGAGTCAGAATTCCGGGTGATTTCGATTCGGGTCGAAGACGGTTCGATGTTGTAATGGGAAGTTTTGATGTGGGGGGAGGGGATGGGACGGAAAGGGAAATGGCCGGAAGGAAGAACCGATGTTTTGCGGGGGCCAGCCTCAACATGTCACGTCGAACAGCGAAACAGGGCCCTGGGTGCATCTGTCTCTGTCGTTCTCGGTTGCTCGGTTCCTGATCGCCGGCTAAGCTATGCTAAGGAGACTGAGGTCGGTCGGAGACGGCGGTGAGCTGCCAGGCTCGCTGCGGATCGAGAACCTTGAAAGGGGAATGAGCATGGAGTTCAATTGGCCGGAAACAAGCGTGGCGCTGATTGGTGTTAGTGTGCTGGGAATGGGCATAGGGTTGGAAGACCACTGCGCTAATAGCAAAGGATCAAACATAGCGGCTACCTAACAACCGCTCGGAAGCTGCCGTAGGGAATTGCAACAACTAGCACATGGAACACTAACAGCTGTCACAGGACAGCCTCCGTTTACACTACAACCTGCACTCCGAAGTTACTTCAGGTTCTGTACACTAGGTACGCCATGTACGAACACTTGACTACCTACCTAATAACTCGGGACTAGAAAGGGTCTTTCAACGATGGCTGAATCCCCAAGCTGGGTGTGTCCATACAAGACAATACAGTAAATTACCTACATACTTATTCTCAGACACCAGAGTCCAGACCGTCCACGGATGCGCAGCAAGAAACCGAATGAGACTTGCTGCTCAATTCGAGGTAGAAAAACGGGGAAGCCTACGACCTACCTTAGTCGCTGATTATATTGCAGAACCCCAATGCTTGGGGAGGACGGGAGGGTGCTTCAGTCGGTAGATGGGTGCGTTTTGGATATGTTTTAGTGTCCCCGGCGCTCGTGCTATGCACTGCTGCATCGTCATGCGCTACAGAGCAAACCACTGGATGCGGCATCTTCTCTCTACACTACTAAGGTAGTATATACCTCCAGCTGTGGGTATGTACGTAGCACTGCACCGTCCTTTAGACCTGCATCAGTCTGTGGTGACGTCCTGCAAAGAAAGTCACCTAGTTTCATTGACTTAAGTTGTCATCTGCTCTTGGCGTATGTCGTGCTTCGGAGGAGAGTGTCGACAACGTCAGTCGCCCTGCGGACTCGGACACACCGCTGTGCGCTCCCGAGCAAGGGACAAAGCAATATGAGACGGTGATACTCAGCTGCGCTGCGACCACACTGCGCTCAACCTCGGCACTTCCCCGGTGAACCCATTTTCTGATTTTCGGTTTTGTGCCTGTGCAAACGGCAATCATGCATCGAGAGTAGCAAGGCCCAGCACAGGTGGTTCCCAGCCACACAAGAGCCCTGTCAATATGGACACCATTGTTTGGCATCGTAGCTATGTTTCTGCAAGCTCGGAATTTTCATGGAAACGCCGCCGACTTATCCATATCGTGATCGACGATCGAGTCTCAGGCACTGAACCTTGCTGTGAGCCTGCTGACTGTGCTTCATAAGGCAGGAGAGTGACAGCAGGGATTTTCTGAAGCTCTTAACAATGGAATAAGTCATTTGATATCCAACCGCGCAGAGTAGCTGCCGACCGCGCAGTAACGTTAGCTGAACAGCTGTCATTGAGGTGTAAGTGTAGGTATAGGGCCCAGCCTAGGAATAATACACAAGCACATTCCAAGTGGAGGAGACTCACCTGTCAGGGGCTCACACGTGGAGTGTCACAGTACGCACGTCCTGCGACAGGTCTAGCCCTGGTGATGCGGCTAAATGCATGGTATGTACCTGAGCCGTCATTCTGGAAACCATACCACCGTGTGTAATGGTCCAGGTTTAATTGTGTTGAAATCCCCTCCCAAAGCGCCCTGAGCCTGCGTGTCGCAGCGTCTAAACATATCCATGTGTTACCATCGGTGCTCTTCGGCGGACTCCTACCACTCTGCTCTTTTCTGGGCGATGAGAGAGGATAAAATGGTGACCCAATCCTGGAGATTTGAGAAGGATCAGGACGGTGGGCAAACTGGATGCTCGGTTTCAGTAGGTTATGCAAGGAGAGCACAGTGGTACGCTGACGCTTGAACCATATCTCGATACCGTGGAGAGGGGAAAACTTCCAGGAACCCATTGACGTGCGCTTCGAAGCCTTTCTGGCGTCCACCGCACCCATCGGTTGGTCTACGTCCAGCTGCCCTGGTAACGGGCTAAGCCATCCTCACTGGACGAGAAAAGACCAAAAGAGTCGTATGGTTTGATGCAAGCGCTGATTGGCAGCAGGATTCAAATCTCCTCCATGTCCTCGAGATCGTCAAGAACAGGAAAATCCCCAACCTCTACTCGCTCCGGTCTCACGAAAACGCCGCGTTTGAGTTCTGACTTTTCACCCCAGTAACGCGTTCCTCCAATGCTTCCGTCGTTCTTGCCAACTGGCTCATCCAGCTGGACGCCCACCCAAGCACCCACACCGGGAATCTCCTTGACGTCGCCGACATACATTATCTCTCCTCGTCTGGCGTCGTCCTGGCCAATCCTGCACCGTTTCCCAACGCTGATGCCACGGGAGACAATCTCCTGGGCGATAGCATCAATCTTGGCTTGCTCATGACTTGGCGCATTGGGGTCGAAGCGCCCAAGCTTTTGGGCCTTCTTCCAGGCTAGCACAGAGTCCGTCTTCTTCTCGTATTCTTCCTCTGGCAACACAAATTTGTCGAAACCAGCAGTGTTTGAGAAGTTAGGTCTTGCCGATGGAGGTCGGGTGTCCGTGATCTGGTGTTGTTGGTCAGCAAGGGAGTATTATGCTGGCGAACGGCCTCACTCACCTGTAGTTCAGCGTAAGGCACGAGTGGGAACTCGGACAGGCCGGTAGAGTCCTCATCTGGAGCCTCGACCGGGATTTTTTCGCTTGATGGCGTCTTGAGGAAGATTTTCTGGCAAGAAGGAGGGATACCGGTGACATGTTCGAGTTTACCCTTGAGTTGGGAGATTGACCACGATGGCGTGATCCGTCTCTCGGAAGAAGAGTAGTCGGAGACTACGTAAAGGGGCACGTCTGCCATGGCAAGCGGTATCCAGTAGTGTGCGTTGGAGCCTCGGAGTCGGACAGATCTTCGGGTCCTCTCCCCGAGATACTTGGAGACTATGACCCAAAACGGGAGTAAGGTTGTTACAGGATCGTGATGATACCTATGACCTGCAAGGGTCAATCGAAACTCGCGTCCTGGTTGCTATCCTGCGTATACTCGCTCTTACCGGGCCGATATCCCAAGACGGGAGAGACGTTTAGGCAAGTGAACGAGAGTTTCTTATTCACCTCCAGAATCCTGTGTTTCTGGTGAGAATTTCCGAAGCGGACAAAAGACTGCTCTTCCTTATCGAGACGACGGCGCCGGCCGGTTCAGGGACAAAGGTCGCGGAAGGGTGCAGTGAATGCCCTCCCACCGTCGTGACTGCCAAAGCAATAACATGTAGCAATCTGGATGGTTGCCTTGCAAGATGGGCCCCATAAGGTTACCACTGGTCCACTGCAGTGGTCCCCTGCTGCCTGCGTCCTTAGGTTTGCCAGCGGCTTAGCCACAAGTGGCTTTCCATTGCTCCTGAGGTTGCGCCTATGAATGTATGTAATTACGTACGTTACTGTCGGCTAAACCATTAGCAGTAATTAATACGGATATCAACATGGAATAGGGAAATACCTTACGGATACCGAGCTTACCTTACGTGCTGTGGTAGCTTCCTGCCGTTTTAGTTTAGCTCACCTCCATGGTTCTTCTCCTGACCAAAGAATGCCTTTCTCCCGACAGCAACATTAGACTGGCCAACTGCGAACTCATCAGATAGTCGGTCGCACCGATTCTCACGAGTTGACCTCAGCGACTTGAACAGCCGGGCGAATTGGTCTGGTACGAAGGACAGTACAGTACGTAGCCGGCCCATTGCCAGGGCAGGGGCGTGTTCACGACGGAAACGACGGGACGCTCGAATGTTCGATCCAAAGCTTCGATTGGGTCATCGCCCGTTTGCAGTCAGGAACCATGTCATTGGGAATCCGCAGGACCAGCTTGTCACAGCAGCATCGATGCAGTCAAACATGAGATTTCGCGGCAACCTGAAGGTCAAACGCCCCCGCACAAAGACGATTGGCCCAAAGAAGCATTCATCGGCGACTCGTCATTTGGTTCCGACGGGATCCAGCACTTGAGGTCGCTGCCCGAACCCGAACACTACCCTTCGGTGCGACCCGCCGTGCCCGGCGTGGTTCTGCAAACGGCTGGACAATGGGGATGAGGGTGAAACAACTGACAAGCCATTCTTCTCCCCCCTGTTGATTTCCCTCCGAGCCCTTGGACTCTGCGATGCAGTGTGTCTGCCCCTCTCGGCCCGCATCAAACACGTCGCGGCAATCGTTGCCGCCACCTCAGCGGTATACGCTATACAGTATACATGATACGTTGGGCCAAATGCCATTGTCTCAGGTCCGTTTGTCTCCCGCAGACCAGCGCCCATTATTCCTAACCGCTCGTTATCACAAGCCAACAAACACTACTACGCAATTGACCTCGAGCCAGGTCTGCAGAAATTTGAGTGCTTACTTCTCAAACTCCGTCGCGGCAGCGAGGCGACGTCTTGCTATACTTTGTTGCACCTGTCTGTCCTCGGGGTGGCTGTCAAGGTGACAGGGACAGGCATGGTCACAATTGTCGGGTGACAGATGATATGCATGCTTGCTACCCAAGATCTGTTCCTGTGCCGTTCACCGCCACGTTGGGTAGCGGGACAATCTCCGCCTGTATCGTCTCGAAATCACTTCCACGCATCCTCGAGGCCAGTTCTGACCGGGTTTCTTTCGGCCCAGTTAGCCCGGGGCGTGTCTGTATCGCCTCGCCAGACTGTGGGGAAGCAACCCAAGTGCACAGTGAAGTACCTACGACCCCGAGCAGCTCTGGCCCATCTACCCAACCACGCCCCTACCCACGACGACTGACGCGGCTGCGATCGAACGCTGTTCTGCGCCTGGTATTGCTAGAAGCCAGCCGAGCCAGCCCAGACTACCTATTCAGTCCACTCGCATTGGTTTTGTCCGCGTGTGTGAGAAGCATGACGTCGACGAGAGTCATTGCTCTTGGTCGAGTCTCATTCAAACTCCAGGGTTGGCAGCCGTGCATGCACGCCTACCGGCAGCCAGCAGAGAAGAGGATACTGAAGAGATCGCACAGTGGGGGTGCCAGGCAAGCTCTATGCGAGGCCAACAGAACCTCCTTCCACGGCTACGAGTTAATGAATCCGTTTGCCCCTTTGGCCCTGGGGTGTACTGGCACCTGCCGGACCTAGCCATCGCTATCCAATAGTCCCAGCAGAGTACCGAAGGCAAGATGAGCTTGAAAGGAAAACCATTGGACGCGCTGCGCGCATAGGTTCGAGTGTGCCCTGGCAGCAGGGAGGAGCGACGACACACATGCAGTTCATCTCACTTGACTTGGCGTCCGTTTTGATTTTTCGACAGACGACACGGCCGGTAACCGGGAAACAGCGTGATTCAGCCAACACAAGCAATTTGCTTGGTACAATGTCGCAGATTATGATACATACCTGGTTCAGACCCAACAGGCGCGTTCATCGGGATAACGTTTGCTACCCTAATCGGACGGCGACGCCGACAGATACGCTGAGAATGATACAGCTCAGCACATGCCTGTTTCCGCCAGGCATCTCGTAGGTTGCTTCCGCCCAGCTGCCGCCTTATCACAGAGAGATGCAGCGGTGCGGCTATGCGGTATATGGAGTCCGTGTATCAATGTAGCGGAGAAGCCGGAATGACTGTATGATGTTCCGGCCATCTGAGGGCCCAACCTGCCGAGGTATTCTCACTCAGTCAGCTATATCTCAGAAGGCAGGTTGGGACAAAAAGCATGATTCGGGCTGCACAGAGCTGTGGCTTAGCATGCTTTATCCAGCGTCGACGGGTGTGTCAACACAGGATTGGGCTTCAAGGCATCCGGGTTAGGAAGGAAGAAATCGAAGCAGTGGTTAGACGAATGATATCCGAGGTGTCCGAGAACTGCGAGGCTGTCCTGGTCTGGAGGAGGAGGAGGATGGTTCGTGGGCTGGGTAAGTCAGTAACTTGCAGCCAGCCGAGCAATATCTTGACCGGAGAATTTTGGAATACGGAACAGCGCGCGATTCATGATCGGCTTGCCATGATGCTCCTTCCTGGCAACAACCCTGATCCTTGGTGCGGGCGGAGAAACAGTGCAGGATTGACCGCCAGTTCGTCGGCTCAAATGTCTGGGGAAGCAACGCTGGCTGGCCTGAACTATGTCATGCCGGTATTGATAATCCAAGGCGGTGTCGCCTTTGTTCTAAGGCGGGCCCGAGCTGCCCCCCGAGAATCTTCATTGTTGGTGATTTTTTTGGTCGCCAAACGCATGTCCAGACAAGCGACATCTGACAAAGACTGTATGAAGTGGGCTGGCGTGGGACAAGTTCCGGGCCTGCACAGACGGCGGCCCTGCCGAGCGAGTCGCCGTCTGCATTTCCAGATCCACCGACGACTACGACTACACTAATACTTTCGCCCCTTGTTTGTCTTGCGTTTGGAGTGTTGCAGCGGTTCATCAGTCCAGCCTCAATCGAGGTCGCTTTTTCGAGGCTTATGCTCCCGTATATCATGCAAACAATGCTCTCCCCCGGCTTCGACTCGCTCGTCCTGGTTGCATCAACGTCCGGGTTCGCCCCCGGACCAGGGCAGCGAACAGACGCAGTCTCGCGCACAGAGGTTCAAAAATAAATTCAGATGCGCAAATCATCTATCAACCGAGACTCGCTGGCATGACGAGCTGGTTGTGCCCCCAAAGCGGCGATGCGGCTCAGACCCCAGAAACCCATGTACATCAAAATACGCAAACCCGGACCCAAAAGCGCGAGCCGAAGGATGGCAGTTTCTGGGTAGAGGCGGATCGAAGCGAGCCTTTAACGTTTCCGCCCCTTTTCATACCGTACCCCTCGATACTCCTTGCATCATCGTCAACCAGTACCTTGATGGCCCTATCCTTCTCGTTTCTCTTCTCATTGCATTGTTGGCCGGTCAGATCTAGCGATGTTTAAATGTGTTGATGCGCCTTGGCGTCCTGCATCAGTGACGTCTGAGCTCGGACGATGCAAGATTGTCAACCCAATTGTCGAACCTACAAACATCCACTGTGAGCAGGGTGCGAATCTCGAATCGAGGCATGGACCCCTCTCATCATTGTCTCCCTTGGCCCTTCCCAAAACCCCTGCCTCCCACTGAGTTATGCCTACCCCGGTTTGGTTCCGATCGAGCCCCATCGGTTTGCCAAGATGGTTTCAAACTCCTTGGGAGCCCCAGGCGTTTTTCTCGGCTGTGGCTTCTTATTCGTGGCGGTCTCGATCCCCGGTTTCTCCACGTCCGCCAACCCTCCATCAAGAAGATCGACGAGGCCAGGCAATGCTAGTTTCGTTCAAGACAAAAGGTTGGATCATGTTGGCAGACGCTGCGGGCGCTGTGACGACTTGGCTGATGATGCCTTTGCTATGCTTTGCACACGGGCGTCCATAGCAGTTCCTGTCGCTGTTACGTGTAGTACCGTCCGCTGCCAGGACCACTCGATGGTTGACGGGCCGGTGGCTTCAAAGGTGTTGCCGTTCGTGGGGGTTAGTTAGGGGAGGAAGGGCATTGAAGAAAAGAGAAGAGAGACCGGTCGAGCCCAACACTCATGGAGAATTTCAACCCAACCACTCGCAGGCGCTCCGACCCCTCCTGTAGGTTTCTTCTGCCGCTGCAGGGCTTTACCAGGCCCCCATTGTCTACACGCAGTGGGAACGACTGCGCCATAAACACGGCATTTCATCGAATTAAACAATGCTAATAAAACAGATCATCAGCGGACATGCACGACGTCGTGGCCATGCCTAACGGCCTCTCAATCATGTTTTTGCTGCTGGAGTCTTGTCTCTTGACATCCAATTCTCTTTGCAACCCCCATGACTCTCACCGAGCCGAGTTCAATAAGGCGGTCTGACGCTGCAGAGAGAGCTACTGCCAAAACCTCGAAAGTTATTTCTTGCGGAATGATACCCATCGACTGGCCGCTTATGGCAGTCATCTGGGACTCCCGAACTATGACAGGGTCTTATATATCCCGCCAGGCTTTCCGGAGCCGAACCCGGTCCCGGCCGTTCAGATGGCAACCCAAGAGATGTATTTCGAGAAAAATCGCCCCAAGCCCAACTGAACTGGCTCTGTTCTGTCCGGAAGCACGATCGTTGCCTTCTCATGAGTAGGCGGTATCTGACAGGGCGCCTCTTCCCGAAGAGCCAGGCGTTTGGCAACTGGGGCGGTACGGCCCCGTAAGTACCTCCAAAAGACCCCTGGCTGGACGCTGCCAGGCACTGCCCATGCCCTACAGTACTGTACACATAGCCCAGGAGCCATTGTTTAGCATTTCCCCAAGTCCTGTAGCCTTTCTTGCACACCTTTAAGCTGTTTCTCTGGACTCAACATTCTACTACATCCGCTCCCTCCTTAACCCCCTGCCTTACACCCCCTCCCCGGTCTGTCCACCTCTCGCTTTGCCATCAACACAAGGTGCAGAAGGCCTGTACACTCCCGGATGGATGTCGTTCATAGTATCCCGTCTTTAAAGCCCTCGTCTTCCCGGTTGTATCTGCGATTTGTGTGCCCTGGACCCTGGTTCAGTCCCCCACATCCTCTGAGAGCCAGGCTGGGCAGGCACGCCGTCATCGAACAGAATTTTATTTTTCTTCTCCATCCCGGTCGTCAGTCTGCATCATCAGGCCTCTTCCCTGCCCGCTGTCTTCTTTCTGCCGCCTGAGGAGACGATGGCTATGGAGAAGACGCACTCTGTTCCCCGCAAGCACCAGCACTCCGTCAACTAGGTCTAATCGACGTATCTATCCGATCACGCTTCTCTCTGTTGTCGTCTACCTTCCTCGGTCTGTCTTATCCCTCGTTCATTGGTGGGTGGCTGTCCAGGAAGCACCAATCAGCTTGATGTCTATTGTCAATACACGGGCCACGCCTTGGAGAAAAGCTACCGTCTCAGAAGCCCCGTCTGAAGGGGATATTAGCTTCGTTCAGTGGATAGTCATACCCCTTTTTCCATCTTCCTCTGCGCACCTCTGAGGATACCTTCAACACTCCCAGCCCCCGTTAACTTTATCCACGCGTTCCTCATCCGACTGCATCCTGTACCTCGACTCTCACCCGGCTCCGACTGACAGTTAACATTCTTCTGCCACCTTCGAAACCTCCGGCAGTTGCTTACCAACAGTCGCCTGCACCATCGAGGTTGTCTGGCCAGCGGACCTTCTAAACGATATCGGAACAGCACCGAAACCCCGGCCACGGAGCCTTAGACTTCAGGGCTCCGCTGCAGGCAAAGCTGTGTGCGAAGTTCGGACGGAGTCGTGAGGGCCCTCTTGCGCGCGACAGAGGTCGGATCGGATTGCTTAGGAGGCGCCCGAGACCGGGCGCCCATGAATCAGCCGCCCCTATAGGCAAACATCGGCGAGACACCGTCATCGTGGATATCGCCTCACTTCTCAAGCGCTCCGACTCAGATGAGTCCCCCCAGTCCCCTACCCAGCAGGGCGCGTCCACCTCGGTTCCATCCGCGACGACAACAACCTCTTCAAGTGGACCACCATTGGCCTCCTTTGCTGTAGCAGCTGGCCCATTGTCTCCGCGTGCTGGTGCTACGGGTGGAGCTGGAGCTAGGGGGCACAGCATTTCGGCAGGGCCGGCCGCCGGGCAAAGGCCAGGTTCAAGATCAGGACCACGTCCTGGAAGTGGCGGAGGAAAGCGCAGCATGCCGCCACACACGGCAGAATCACCGGCGAAGAAGCAAAGCAAGTGGTCGCCGGAGGAGGATGCCCTGATCATCGAGCTTCGGGGCAGCGGCATGAAGTGGGACGACATTTCCAAGCGGTTACCCGGCCGAAGTTCCATCAGCTGTCGCCTTCACTACCAAAACTACCTCGAAAGACGCAGCGAATGGGATGAGGAGCGCAAAAACAAGCTCGCTCGGCTGTATGAGAGGTAAATAACTCCACCCCCTTCTGACAACACGTCTTCTTGCATCAACTTCGAGTCGCTCAAGAAGAACGCCAACGGACAGCGGTCTGTTGCTAGGGGCCTAACCCTTTCAGCTTGGTAATGAAGCATGGCTAACAATGACCCAAGGTTCAAACCCGAAATGTGGGCAAAAGTAGCAGAAGAGATGCAAGTACCCTGGCGAGCCGCCGAGGCCATGCATTGGCAGTTAGGTGAGATCGACATGGCGAGGAGGGCCGGGGTGGTGCCATTCTCGCTGAACATGAGTTCGACCGAACCCCAAGGGCCGCACCGATTGTCGCCTTCCAGGGGACACGGGCATTCACAGTCACAGGGGAGCCTGCCCCGCGACCTGCCCAGCATGCCATCGCCGCGGTACGGCCGCGGGCCAGCCGCGATGCCACCTCTGATTCCACCTCCGACCCCTGGCGGGCGACCGTTATCCTCCCGGCGAGAAAGCCTCCCCCCAAGACCCTCCTACGGACCGCCTCCCGAACAGGCCGACTACGGCTACGGTCCCGCACCAGGCTTTGGACTCGCCCCAATCCAAACAAGCGGTCTTGGCCCAGGCCCGGGTGGAGGGCCACGCGGCGGCATGCTGCCCGGCGTGGCCGAGCTAACGACGGGCATCAGCCCTTACAGCACGCCGGCATACTCGATTGGGGGAGGCCCGAGCACAACAAGCCCGGTCAACAGCGCAACTGCCAGCCCAGGCCCGCTACTGCCCGCCTTGTCCCCCTATCCGCCTATGGAGCCGGGCGCCGGGGTAGTAGGTCCGAAACGACGGGCAGCAAGTCCCGATGTGGGAGGGGGAGTGGGCATCCGCGAGAGCACCCGCCGACGGCACCTCCATCCGCAGCGCCCGGGCGAACCACCGGCCGAATATCCTCCAACCTTGCAGTCCGGACTGGGACCAGGACCAGGACCCGCGCCGGTACCGACTAGACGGGCGCCGAGAAACGCGCCTTAAGTCTAGCTGATCAAAGTGGAAGAGACATGAGCTGCCAGGTTCGAGCCCTTCCGATCCGAGTCCACAAATCAGGGTCTTCTTCACCCTGTTCTGGACGCCACATGGCCATATTCGCCAAGCTCGGAGAGGAGTTGTGGAAAATTATCAGAGTATCATTTTTCTCAATTTTCCTTTCTCTTCCCTTTCTCTTATCGTGTCCATTATTACAATACTGTCTATCTATCAAGAAAATATGGGTCATATTGCATTGAGCGACCGGAATCTGGGTCGGGGTCGGGATCGGGAATGGGGATGGGGATTGGAACCGGGCCATGTATTTACCTTTTTCTTTCCATCCGTACCTTAATCTTCTCCCATCTGTTTTTCTTTGAGGAAGAATTCTCCTAAAAGACTTCTTCTTTTCCTTCCCTCTATCCGACTCACTGAGCCACAACTACGACAGAATAATCCATAGGATCATCTCAGTTGGGAAGGAATCGGATTAATTACATTGTACTTTTACTTCCCCCTTCTTTCTCTCTTCTTTGAAATTCATTGTTTTTACAAGTCGTATCTTATGGTACCCCTTTTCTGCCTATGCTACTACATAGCTACTACACAGGAGGTCCGTCGCTCGGTTGGTGACCTACCTGGGGCGTGTGAGAATTTGCTGTCTTAGGCGACAAAAGAGAAAGGGGTTGCGAAAATGAGAAAATGAGAAAAAAGGAGTCACCTTGAGCAAACTACGAAGCATGGCTCATGAGCTACGGCGCAGCGGCAGGCAATCAGATAGAGGATAATTTAACGTGGCAATGGGATGACCCGGGGAAAAAGGGTGGGTTAGGATTATTCTGTCTCTACAAACATTGTTGTTTCTAACATCACCTATTTCCATTACTTCACCGTCACGATCTTCATGTCACACGGCGGCTATGGAGGGGAAAAGGGATGCGGCGGTCACTCTGTTGAGTCTAGAAAAGTGTGTTGTGTCACTTCTATTTTCTCCCCTTCACAACGGGGAGTGCCGGAACTAGAACGTGCAGGGAGTCGACGGCGGCGGCGGCGGCAGGGGCGCCAGTTTAGAGTTTGTTTGGCGTTGATCCGGGACGATTAGGCTCAGTGAAAAGCACGGCCCGAGAGGCTTGTTACTTATTCCTTGTCTGGACGGGGCACAACCGCGCAAGAGGAAAATATGGGGCGGAGTGGGATATGCCATGAAGGGATCATGACTCAACTGGGATTAGGAATCGGAGATATCCTGATAGAGAAGGAAAGAGGAAGAGAACCTGCCGAATGAGATCCGTGCAGTAGAAAAAAGCAACACGGCATGAGTGACAAGCCAAGCAGGAGGTTGCGCTAACAAGAGTTGGTCGTACATCCGGCCAACGGTCCTTTTCCCGCCAGTAGAGAACGGTTCTGGGCCCTGGTAGGGAAGGAAGTATATTATTCAAATCTCGGCTTCAGGTTGGCCGTGACCGAGGGGTTCATTGGTAGCCACAACCCACCAGTTGTCTCTCTCGTAGCCGCTACTGACGACTATGCCCCCGGCGGCCAGTACATCTTCCTCCAGCTCACCTTTGCGGTAGAGGTGGTAGTAGCGCTGGAAGACGGGGTCGGCTTGGCCAATGGCTGCTCCTGATTGCGTCGCATCAAGACCAGCAGCAGCAGCGCCTCCTGAAGCTGGGGGTTCCTCACCGCTCTTGTTACTGGCAGCAGCACCGGCGGTATCTTGGTCCCGAGTTTCCTTGGGCGCTTTTGCCTGCTGGGATTGCTGGGATTTCAGTACCCACGGAACCAGAAGGTCCTGCTCTCCGCCCTCGTCCCATCCGCGTCGGCTGCTGCTCTGCTCGAGAGCCCACACATACACCAAGACTTGGCCCCCGGGTTGGCCAGCCTCTCCGGCCTTGACACATTGCAGCAGTTGCCGAATTGCCTCTTGTCGCCTTGCCCGCGTGGACATGTGGTGAATGACAGCTACGCAAATGACAAAATCGGCAGCACACTCGCGGAAGGGCAGGGAGAGACCGTCAGCCACAATGACTTCAGAAGGCCCGGCGCCACCACCGCCTTCCCCTCCTGTTCCTTCCCATGCGGCCCCGTCGGCCTGGTCCCTTGCCTTGCTACCTTGGTGCCTCTGAAGCTGCTTGGTACGGCTCCTGGCAAGCGCGATGAGCGACGGGCTCCGGTCAGAACCCACCATAAACACGGTTGGGTTCAGACCCAGATACTTTCCATTCCCGCAGCCCACATCAAACCCCACAGCGCCCGGGGGCTGGGCACGCAGGAACGATGCCACGGCAGGCCAAGGTTTGTAGCGGGTAGCTGAGAAGTGCGGGGCTATGGCTTCGTAAACACCGTGGACGTGAGTGCGCTCGTAGGCTTCCGCGCGAGCCTCGGCCTCCTCGGTTGCGGCAGCGGTGGCGGTTAGTTTTGCAACGTCATCAGCCGCGGACGAGGACGGCAGAGCGGACGGAATGGTAGACGACGCGGCCATGGAGAGATTCAAACGCCACCACCAAGGTTATGATGCCAATATGGCTGCGGCTACTGCTGCTGCTGCGTCGGGCAACGAACGATCAACACGATATCTCAACAACTGGGGCCCAATCGGGCGCGGCGGAGAACGCGCCGGCCGAATATTCACAGAGCTCCCCAGAGGTGAGGAGAGGAGTCAGGGAAATGCGGGATTGGTTGCTCCTGTTGTTCGTTAGGTCAGGCTGCAGACGTCACACAAGCACGCACGCCCTGGCGACTGAGACTGAGAAGGTGCTTTCTCTTTTCCCTTCCAACCTCGTGTCGCGCTTCGCTCCCGGCGGCTCTCCTTGACCGCTGCTCCCGGATCAGCGAGTGTGTATGTAGGAAGGGAGCGGAGCGAGAGAGGGGTTGTAATGTGGCGCTTCGAGTGGCGGGCAGAGAACCGGGGGGGGGGGTGTTGGCGCGCCTTGCAGCACGTCGTCGGTATTCTACATGCAGGCGCTCGATGCAGAGACAGGGCTTTCGCCCAAAGCTGACGCACTTTGCGACCGACCGAAGTGAGTGACTGACTGCTTCAGCCACTTTGGGAAAGCGACACCAGGCCCCCGGGCAAGGTACTCCCAACCGGAGGGGTCACGCACGCATGCAGAGCACCCGTGGACATCTCGAATCGAGACGAGCTTGGCGTGCTTGGGCCCATACAAGGCTGAGCGGCGCGAACCGTGGGGGATGAAATAGGGAAGATTGTGCGATAGGGTAGAATGAAGAAGAAGACGGACGGTATTACACTGCTATGTAAATTATTTGATGAACACACCTAGTTTTGGGCCTCGGGGCTTGGACAGAACCTCAAAGGTCAAGAGCTCAGTCGATCGTTGTGAGCTGCTCATGCAAAGTAGAGACAAGCATAAGAAAGCCAAGTAACTGCTGTGTGGGGGCCAGACTCGAGCCGATAGCGGTTTGTGCTGGCAGCCTGTGGTTGGGTTCAGTTGAATACTTATGGCGGACTCCGATGCCACCGATGATGATGTGGTGATGGAAGAAGTGCAGTTGCGATTTGACGTGCGCCAGTGGGGTGGCACTGCCTTTCCAGGACTGTACTGTGCAAATACGTGATACCCCGTACTGTACTGTATTTATTACTCCGTACAGAGTACCTCCGTACCGACATCCACTAATTGACCCTCTTGCAGCCGGAAGGGGGCAGTTTTCCAACCGTGGACAAGGAAATCTGGGACCTCGCCCGGTATTCTTCGGCATTTCCGTGTGATCCAATACCTGGGCTGAGGCGGGTACTCAGATAATATTTGATGTAAGACGGGCGTGCATGTACGGAGCTACAACTGCAATTACAGTACGGGTACGTTAAGCGTAACTTGGGGTCAGTCCGCGCACACCGGGAAACGAATTCCTGCGCTGGCGATTGTGGGCTTCGATCATGACATGTCTTGGCAGTTGTCAGTCATGGAACCATCCTTCGGGTGTGCCCGTGTGCCTGGGTGCCCGACAGCGGCCGCGAACCACGGAAAGCTACCTGGGTGACCTACCATGTAACTTGTGTACGTCGGGTACAATACAGGTACACCAGCCGCCGCACCCTCAACGGTCACAATGAGCCTCCATGCGTGGAAACGGCAGGGGGGTAGACTGAGAAATGGATGGCTGCACAGAGATCTGGTTGGTGGTTTCGCAGCCCAGTCATATCTTTCGAGCCCAAGGCTTAACCTTGGTCTCCAACCTTGCCAAGCATGTTTGGGCATCTCAGCCTTGCGTGCCCATTGAGGCTATGAACCGGATCAGACAGGTAGAGGTGAATTGTCTGTGAATTAACCTCAATTGTAGTTCTGGATGAGGTCGCCCTTCTTATGAAGGCCCAACATAGCCCCATCATCGCTTACCCGTGTTTAGGGGGCTCTGTGCGTCGTAGACACCAGTCGTAATGAGCTCGGGGTAGGCGACGCCTCCCTGCCGCAACGCCTGCTCCATGACCTCCATTATCACAATGCTCTCCCTCCAAGGCATCGTCTTGCTCTCCTTTCTCCCGTCGCGCAAGCAGCGCGCACACTCGTCGGCCTCCCAGAACATACCTTGACCCCAGCCGCTCTGTGGGTCCTTGGGAATCGGGCAGTCGACCACCTCGATCTTGCCACCGCCGTCCTTCTTGATTACTCTGTATTGCAGCGGGCAGTACGCGGGTCCCATGACCTGGATCTCACCCTGCGACCCTTGAATCCGGATTGCAGCGCCGCCGCTGTTCAACCCATCCACATCTGTAGCAATGCGGAGCGATGTAAGGGCAATGCCATGGCTCTTGTGCTTGGGGAACTGCACAATGATGCTGGTCGTCTCGTCGGCACCCGTGTGGTATTGGTTCACGGCCGCGACTACATTCGGCGCCTCCTTCTCCTCCTCGGGCTGTACATGGTACAGTGACTGGAAAACCCACGTCAGGGCATAGATACCAAGGTCTAAAAGGGCGCCGCCCGCCAGCTCCGGGTTGACCATGCGGTGCGAGTCGGCAAAATCGACCGTGCCATCTGGCTTGTCCCTGTTAATCGAAAGATCGGCTTTGAAAAAGTTAGCATCGTCCGGCACTATACACAGTTTACAGTAGACCGAAAAATAGGCTGGATCACTCACCAATGGTCCTGTAGACGGTGCCAATGGCGCCCGACGCAATCAACTCCCTAACCTGGATGCTGAGGGGGAAGAAGCGCGTCCACACGGCCTCCATGAAGAAGACATTCTTGTCGCGAGCGGTCTGGATGAGCTTGGTGGCCTGCTCAGCGGTTACGGTCAGGGCCTTCTCGCAGAGCACATTCTTGCCGGCCTCGAGCGCGAGCATGGCATTCTGGAAATGGTGGCTGTGGGGCGTGGCGACGTAGATGATGTCGATATCGGGGTCGGCCACCAGTTCATGGTACGAGCCGTACGCTTTCGCCGAGCTCGGGGCCTTGACGAGTTTGAGGAAGTCGGCTGCCCGATCCTTGGAGCTGGACGAAGCCGCCGCGACAACCTCATGGCGCACGTCATGCACATTGCGAGCGGCCGGGTTGGCGAGAAGGTCCTTGGTGAACACTGCATTCCGGTGAGAAGGTTGACGCCGAAAAAAGGGTAACCTAGCACCAATTGCTTACCTTCAGCGATCCATCCCGTTGCCATGATACCCCATCTCACCGAGAAAGGAGTTGAAGACGCCATTGTGGTGATGCTTGGTGACCTGGTGATCTCGACTCTGTAGCTGAGTGTCTCTGGGAAGGAAGGAACCTGGAGTAAGCTGCCGTGTCTCTTACGGCGCCGATGCCAGTTCTTAAAGATTCGAAAGCATCCCCCCTTTCTTCTCTTCTTCTCCCCATTCTCCCCACCATGTGAGGGGCATTGATGGCGGGGCAGCGCCGGCGTTGCGGGTAAATTCCCGAAACAGCGCTGGTGATAGCGTCCACAACCCCTGAATCATAGCGTATCCAGGCTAAAAGAGTTGAGCTGTCCCCACTATCTAGAGCTGGGAGCCAATCAGGCCACCGGCCTGTCGTCGCCAGGAGCGACCCGAAGAAGAGGTCCGGGAAGAGCTCCCCTTGAACCGATTGGTGTAAGCGTGCAAGGACCTGACGACGTCATGGTTCACGATTTCTGATCAACCTTTCTGTAACTGCTGCATCTGCGTTTGGGAATGGGAGGGTTAGAAATCAATTATTGTCTATAGGCAAGGTAATAAAGAGGTAGCTTACCTAGGTACCTAGTTACCTACCTGGGTTGCTGTAGTGGCCAGGGAGGAGGTATACCATCAATTGCTGTTTCCGCTTCCGTCAGGTGCAACCTTCCCCTCACAGCTCCCCTCCGTTCCAACTGCCTGCCCTATCAATGGATCAACAGCTTTGGAAGGGACGACCAGTTGTTGCAAAGCTCATCCTGCCTAATACGCATCGCCAACGGATATTTCCCTTGCATCCCCTCATCTTCAGCAGCTCCGTTCCCCAGTTGCGCACCTCTTCTTCAATCCAATCCAGCATGCCGGATACCCCGCCCCGGCCCACGGCGGTCATGCCGGCCATGATGTACGGCACCGCCTGGAAGAAGGACCGCACCGCCGACCTCGTCTACGAAGCCATCAAGGCCGGCTTTCGCGGCATCGACACGGCCGCCATGAAGCGCCACTATGACGAGGCCCTCGTCGGCGAAGGCATACGCCGCGCCATCCGGGAGGGCATCGTCACGCGCGGGGACCTCTTCGCAAGTCCTCCCTCCTTCGATGTATCCTCATCCCTCCCACTTACCACTACTAATACCTTTTCTTCCTTGGGCCCCGGCCCACCCTTTAGATCCAAACCAAGTACACCCCTCTAGACGACACTTTCCCCATGCAACATGTAGAGGGAGAAGAAGGCAACCTTGAAGATCTGATCCCCTCGCAAATCCACCAGTCCATAACCTCCTCCCTGAACAACCTCTCCACCCCTTCCGAACCACCTTACCTCGACGCTCTGATCCTGCACTCGCCCTTCCCAACCCAAGCCCAAACCCAGCTCGCCTGGCGGTGTCTGCAGCAATACCTGCCCTCCTCCTCCTCCCCTGACCTGGCAGGCAAGATCCTGCGCCTGGGCATCTCCAACGCCCCGCTTGGGAGCATAACCGCGCTGGACCCGGCGCCGTCCATCGTGCAGAACCGGTTCCACGCTGTCGAGCGGCGTTGGGACACCCAAGTGCGTGCGTGGTGCCGCGCCAGGAGGGAGTTTGACAGGGCCGAGGCCTATTACCAGGCCTTTTGGACGCTGACGGCCAACCCGGACGTCTGGCGCGGCCCGGACGCCAAGTGGTTTGTGCGCGAGTTGGCGCAGCACGCCGGCGTGTCCCCCGCCGCTGCATGGTACGTGCTGCTCATGGACGGGGCCGGGCTGGTGGTGCTCAACGGGACGTCGAATAGTACGCATATGAGAGATGATTTGGAAGCGAGGGCCAAGGTTGCGGCTTGGGCGGCCACGGAGGAGGGGAGAGAGCCGTGGATTAGGTGTGTGGAGGGATTTAAGGAGATGGTTTGGCGGTGAAGAGGCTCGAACCGGGCCATAAGGTTGGCTTGGGCAAGCGATGAGGGTGTTCTGGGCAGGATGGTGTCTCGCCTCTGCAGAGCGATATAATTCGTTTTTTTCTCCGGAAGACGCTTCCTCGCTAAAGATACAACAGCGTATTGGAAAAACTTCCCCTGCGGGCTGAGCGACATGCGTCTCGACATCAGTCTCTCATAGCCATTTCTAGTCTCGCAATACAGCTCTAACTCTTCGTAGCTCTATAAAGGAGGACGGTATGACCAAGGTAGCAATGATATGGCAGTCCAGAAATGAGAGCGGTTGAGTAGAATGACCATGGCATGAACAACAACCACGACCAAAGTTAATACACTCCTCAAGACAGTGCACACAGGTCAGAAAGGCATTGTGATCTTATTTCACGAACTGTCACACCCAGTCGACTTTGCGTCTTTGGTATGTGTCCGTTTCTCCCGCTCAATCGTCACGGCGATCGATGCCGGACGCGACGTCAACGGAACCCTATCTCCTCTGTCGCCAGTGCAAAAAGCAAGCAAGCAAAGCTCCTGCCCAGAAACGACCAGCTAGCTAAGCAAAATGCAATCAATAAGAACTTCTCAGGCAATCGACAGCCGCCCTGTCGACAACATGCCGCCGCCTGCGCCATGAGCAAATGCATAACCGCCCTCTCACTTCTCTATATCAAACCCCTCCCCCTCCACCCCTTCACACCCTGCGACAACCATAGCTAATACCCTTCTACCTTCAATTTCCCCCTCTGCCCTCCCGCATCATCCTTCAAACCAAGCAAGTCAGCGAATCTTTTCGAGTCAAGGGGAAAAAGAAAGCAGATAAAAAACTCACCTCCGCCTTCCTCTTACCAAGCACCCTCTCCGGCGTGGGCCTGTGCTGCATACTCCCAGCAGCCTCGCGGTGGCACGAGCCGTGGTACACCCTGTCGCCGACCTTGACCGCGTCGGTCCACACCCACTCCTGCGCCTCGTCCAGCCACTTCATCTCAAACTTTTCCTGGCAGATCGGGCACGTGTTGTTCACGCGCGACGAGTCCTCTGGCACGGCGAGGTACGGCTGCTGACTCTGCTGGGACTTGCCGGATGGGGAGGAGGAAGTGCCCCTGCCACCGGCTGCTGCTGCGGCGGCACTGGAACCCGCTGTGCCGGAGATGCCGTCTAGCGGGAAATCGGGTGAGGAAAAAGAAAGGTCTTGCGGAGCGACGTAATCCGTGTCGATTGCCTCACGAGAGCGGATCCAGTCCTTTTTGATGGGAGAGGTTCCGGTGTTAGTGGAGTGGAGAAAGAAGGGATGGAAGAATTGGGGTGAGGGAGAGGGACAAGGGGGCTGCAGTGACTTACCAGTTCATCGACATACCAGCTCCTATGCTGGCCGCGCTTCTCAGCCTCTGTGATGCGTTGGTGCACCCTAAAGTGCCAGTCCATGTGTGCCGTCTTCTTGCGCCGGCCTTCATCGTCCGTCTTAAAGCGCCTACCGCATTGCGTACAAGGCGGCCCAAGATCCTCATGCAGCTGAGCAATCAGCTGCGGGCGGAAGCTGTGAGAAAGTTTAGTTCACTGGCTCAGGACTCGGATGTAGGATATCCGGAGAACTCACATCTTTAACGAGGAAGGTTTGAGTTGCAGACTGGTATCTGGCAGATGTGCCGTCCCGGCTGGCGGGAACCTAGCTGCGGGAGAAAGCCCAGGGACAGCAGAAGCTGAAGGCTCAGTCGCCGAAGGCCCGATCAAACCAGACTGCCTCAACATAGCCAGTAGAGCCGACGGATTCGTTGACGGAACACCCGCTGGTTGGGCGGGCTCAACAAGCCTCTGCGGAGGTGGTGATCGTAGAGGCACTACTGCTGGTGCCGGCTGGGGAACAGCAGGAGGGGGAGTTGGTGTGGGAATCTGTTGCGGTGTGGCAGACTTCCGAGCAGCTCCGGCGATCAGGGTAGCCAGAGCGCCCTTCCCGAAGAGCGAGTCAATCGACACTCCGCCTCCGCCCGCGGCCGGAGGAGGCGCCGCCGCAGCTGACGGAGGACGGCCCAAAGCCGCCGCGACGGCTGCAAAGGCCGCCGGCGGAACAGGGGTCGGCTGCTGAGAAACAACCGGGGGTGTTGGAGTAGTAGTGTAGGGGATACCAGCATGTGCAGGGTGAGGTGCGGTAGCAGCCGCAACACCAGGGGCAGCAGTGACTGCCGGACGCGGTTGCGGCTGTGAGCGCATGTTTACGGCAATTTCTGCAATCTGATCTCTAACGATCATCAACTGATCCTGAGGCATTTCTTGGCTCTGGATTATGGTTTGCAAGTCCAGCAACGCCTTCAGTCTTGTCTGTTTACTAGTATCAAGTGGATCTTGCGCAAATTCCGCCTTCACCGCAACGATAAGTTGCTGGATATTATCTTTCAACTTGTCTACGCTTATTCCTGGTTGCGGAGTGCCATAGACATCCCGCGCCGCGGGCGCCTGGTACGGAGGAAGCGATCCTACCGGCTGTGGTGTTGCACGATGTGGAATCACACCTGGGCCCTAGGTTCGTCGTTAGCATCCGCAACGGACGTGGTAGCCGTGGAATGTACCTACGTTGGCGGGTCGTATCGCATACGGCTGCTGTTGCGGAACCGCATCCGGATATTGCCCATTGGGTCCCGGGAAAGGAGGTTGTCCCTGTAATGGAGGTTGATATGGTCTGGCGGTCGGCGGTGTGGGCGTATCCCGGCTGGGAACAGGCGCACGGCCCCGGAGAAGTTGCTGTTGCCCCTGAAAGCTGGATTGGTGAGCAGCAAATGCGGCATTCCGTGCAGCCATCAGCGCATTCTCGATCGGCCGTACTTGTTCGATGGGGAAGACTGGCTTGGTCGAGATAGACCCAGGTACTGGTTCCTTCCATGTCTTGAGCATCTCGTCCATCTTCCGTCTGGTCGCGTTGTCCACCTTGGTGTAGGCGCCCATGAATATCGAGTAGAGCTTGGGCCCGAAGTACAGCGCATAAGGTGTCGGGACGTTTTTGACCACTGAATCAAGCACATAGAGCGCTGGTAACGTTCGTGAGGGTGGCACCTACTCGTAGTCAGCATCTCTGCACAGTCTCGGGCTTGAAGGAGCGAGCAAAAACAGAGCAGGCCATCCAAACTACAGATTGTCCACTCGCGTGTTACAGTCGGGGCCGTACCTTCTTGATGTGATTTTGCAGTACCTCGGCAATTTCCAGGCCATGGTTCGCATTCTCCCGGGCGATGTTAGTCAATGTAGCGATTTCGATCCGCGAGTTTACGGTCAAGTCCTCTAGGGCCTGCCGATAGTCTTCGGCTACATCTGCCGCATTATCCGCCATGATGAGACCGTGTGGTGTTCGTAATGGGCCGCAGGAACTCAGAAATCAGAAGCCCAGGTCAATCGAAGAGATCGTCAAGGCTGCTGCCCTGCCCAGGAAGAGAATGCGCGGACTTGATCTCGTCTAGAAACACCAATAGATAGGGAGGCAGGAGTAGGAAAGGCTTGAACAGCGATTCCTATTCAGAATCGAGGACAATAGGGGGAATGCGCTATTGTCACTCTCAAAAACCACCAGTCCGGCACCTCAATCCGCAGGATTGAAAACCTCCACCGGCCTGCTAGGCCGCCCTAGACTCTAATCCCCAGGATCACAATGCGAACACCATCGGAGACAATTGCCTTGGATACCGACGGCCTTAAAAGGGGGCAAACGGTTGAGGCAGTTTTGTGCGTAGGAGTCACGAACCAGGCGACGTGTCGTGGGCCCGCAGTTTCGCTACCGGAAAGGGACCAGAATGATAAGTAAGGTCGACGAGCAGAAGGACTGTGCTGATCTCGGCTACAAACACTGTCGCTCGGCGTACGGAGCAGACAGAATCACCTAAAGTTGTCGATGTTTGCGCTGGTGCAGGATTTGCGGAAGCCGGGTCTGAAATTGCGTCGTGTCGCGGATTACGGTTCTGGGCAAAGTGTGTTGGTGATGGAATGAGGTCGGCAAGTGCCTGGGTCTTGCCAGTTTTTGTTCGGTTGAGTGGGCGAAGCACAAAGACGCACAGATACGAAGATTTGTTAGCTAAGCAGGTCAGACGCACAAGCCACCCTAATAACCATTTCCGGGAACGAAGTCGCGCGCTCAAGGTGCGGTAGCGTCACAGCGTGGCTTCCTTTTATCCCTCGGGATAAGACTTACAGGTGCGGATATGAAGGTACTTCTATGAGGTATTGTACGCTCATCATTATGATGATGCTTTTGATCTCATAATTGTATATATTACGGCTAGGATTCAGGTACAATACCTTCAATGTCCTTCCCGGATCGACTCACAGTGAGCATCTGTTTAATATAGATTGTCAGCGTCCAACAGCGAAACATAATAGGTACACCAGAGGACACAGGACACCGAAAAGTGCGGATCCATATTGATCAAGTTAATTGATTCCAGTATTAAATGAGTACTCGCGCACATAGTGTTCTGTAGAGTACTATGCAAAGCCGTGATGCTATCCACCCATGCCTCAACGCAAAATAGCAGCCAGTGGGTATTCATGAAAGACCAACCAAACGCCTGTGAACACCTTTCCCTCCCTCTTCTCGCCTCACCATCTGTCAATCCTGTTAATGCTAAAATGTGGCTGCTATTACTGATTTGATCTGTCAAGAAAAGCAAAAAAAGAGTGCGTGTATGTTGTTCCGTCCCAACCGCGTCATCAGAACCTGTCCATGTGGGCCTCGCTGTAACGACTGCCGCCCGTCAGCGCCGGGTGCAGCGCTGTTGGTGGTCGCTGGACCTCCGGGAGGATCGGGCTCGCCCGGTCCATGCCGCGCTCGCAGTCCAAGTCCACTTCCTGAGGAATGGGCTTGCTGATCTGGATACGAGACTTGCGGAAGTTCTTGGGGTTGAAGACTCTCGTGAGACGCCGCACAGCCGAAGACTCTTCCACCTCTTCTTCCTTTGGGTAACCCCGTTGGGAGAAATTGTCGCGATGCGAGGACGAGTAGTCTGTTCCCGCGTATCCATCATAGAAGGTCTTGCTGTTGAAGGCCGGCTCTGCCAGACTGCCCTTGCTGCGGATATCCCGGGCGTAGATGCCGTTCTGGGGGCTGCGGTAAATGAGGGAGGCGAAGATGTTGAAGAAGCCGAACGTAATCGCGAGAATACCCGCTGCGAGGATGAGTCGCCAGAAGGTCAATCCGATCGTTTCGATCGTGTAGGCGGGCTTGACGAGGTCCCCCATGATTTGGCAGCCAATAACGATCAGGACGACACCAAGCCATATGAGCGAATGGCCTGGGCTCAACCCCGGCCAGTTCATTATGAACCAGCTTCTCAGGAACTTGATATTTAGTTCCGAAAGGGCGAGGATGACCGAAACGACGAAGACGAAGAAGTGAGTGGCGGAATCGAAAAACTGAAAGTGCCCGTTGATAGCGGAGAAGGCGATCATGATCCAGCTCGACGCCATCACAATGCCCAGGGTGGCCAAGGTCAAAGCTCGGAGGGCATTGAGAACTAGGAGTCCAGAGCCCATGACCTTGGGGTTCCCGCTGAGATTGAACATGTTTGTGGAAGGTCTGACTGTCTGCCTGTTAGTCCTGGTCTCGACGCTAGGCGCAGTCAAAGTGATGTGTGGAGCTCGAGAGAGCTGTGGCCTTGCGGAGCGGGCTGATCTGCTGCGAGGACCAGCCTCGATACGGTGATCTGCATAGCGAATCGCCCTCTCCGCAGGCCAAACGGGCTGCCGCGGAGCACCACCCGTCATGGAAGGACTGGGATACTCCGAAGCGGCGGAGACTATGGAAGCACGCCCTGCAACAGGACGACTCCCATGTGTGAGTGCAGACACTTCCGAAGGAGCGGGCGAGCCTGGGGATGCCATCCTTCGAGAAGGAAAGGGGGGACCTCGAAATCTTTCTATAGGTATCGAAGCAGTCGCCATGGGAGTAGGTGTGCCAGGAAAACTCCCGTTCAGGTTTGGAGTATTCGATTTTCAAGTGGACGAGGGCCCGTGGCTGATATACACTTACAAAGAATGTGTGGTCCCAACTAGTAGACTGCCTGCAGTTTGCTCGTTGATTGAGTGTTGGGTTCTTGGTTGACAACCTGCTCGTGATGCCCGGGGTCTAGATGAGGATAGAGTCGTCGAGAAGGAGCAAAATTGAAAATGGTTTATGGAAAGAAAGTGTGACGACCCTGGCCGTACTGTAATAGGGAAATATGTTGACAGAGAAAGAGAGGAGACAATGGATCAATAAGGAAGCAATCCCATTGTTGGGAGACACACAATGGCGACCTGAATAAAGGCAATAGCCAGAATAACCGGGTTGATGGATTGCGGTGGCAATTGGCCTTATAACAACCGGAGCAGCAGGTACTGTCAGTGCAATTGGGCGCCAATAACGAGCATGGGATGAATGGAGGAGGAGCCAGAATTGGGCTCGCGAGCCTCCCTTGCTCCGCGTTTCGCATTGAGCAGACTGCCGCTTTCGACGCTTCTGCCCAATCGAGCCATAGGCGCTGTAACAGCCGCGGTGAACCGCGGTCGAGATCTCCCGATCGTTTCATGGAGGGCAGATAGCAGGCCCAATCGGTAATGCAGGCGAGCGAGTCATTGAGGACCTAACTTGACTGACACTCTGTGTTTGAATGGATGAGAGATGCGTGAATGTTAGCCTGGCCCATTGACCCCACGCAATGCGAGTGGGTGTTCACGGCGGCCCGCGCATCAGCAGGCCTTCTGTAGATGGCTCTCATCCAGTAATTCAACATGCCCAGCGCTCTCCGGACGGTCCAGGGATGAGGGAGGATGTGGGAGAGCGGATACCGTGATTGAAATGCAGGGAATGGATGCCAGTGTTTAAGTCTGTCTCGTCTCAACAGATTGATTGGCCCCGAGCGAGCCAAGACCGTCTCAGAGCTTTAGCCTTGAGCATGCGCGGAGTCTTCCACATACGATGTATTATCACTCCAACCCAAGAACAAGCAGGTGCCAAATAACTACAGATATAAATCACATGTCTCATCAATCATCACCCTTTGTGCCTTTGCGCCCACGTTTTAAGTGCTGTTGAGATGGATTGCAGGAGATGAGAGCTGTGTTTTTTGAATTTGGGATTTGAAGTTAGTGTAAAGAGTGGGTCAGAAATTGAATTCCCGGTAATTACGCACAGAGTTTCATCCAACGTAGATAAAAGGGCTCCATATCCGCAGAACAGATCAGATCAGATCAGAAAGTCTATACTATACCTGGCGTTTTATGTAAGGGAAATCCTGTAGATAGAATCTAGCTCTAGATCCAATTGTTTCTTAATGACGGTAATACCACTTACAAAGAGTATAAGGCTCAGTTTGCTATGTGTGTGAACCCTAACCCGCAAGTAGTCAAGTACGCAAAGCCAGGTAACGTGACCTTATCATCCATGCTTTGGAATGATTGGACCGACGCGAGTTTCCCCTTGGCCAGTGCATCCCCCAAGCCCCACTTGTAGAAGCGCCCAGAACCCGGCCGGAGCCACTTGCACAGCCTCGCCGGCCGCCGACGGAAGCTGAGGCTCGGAAAACCCTCCAAATCTTATTGCTGACAGTCGAAACTCCAACATTCCCCTCTCCGCTTTCTAGCCAACGACACGAACCACCACAAACCCGACGTCGAAATAGCCCAAGCTTTCGAGTGCCAAATCTAGCGCACACGTGCTCAAGCGGGGGCTACTTCGACATACACCAAGATGGCCCGCGGGAACCAGCGCGACAAGGCTCGCGAAGCAAACCTGAAAAAGCAGGCCGCCATGGTATGCTTCTCAGCTTCTTTCGCTCTCCAGCTACGATGCCGCGCTGCACACGCTCAGCGTCCCGGTCAGACAACTAACCAAAACTATTTACACGTCTTCAGAAAAAGGCCCATGGCATGAGCGGCAGCGAGTTGGCCAAAGCAAAAGAGATCGCGGCGCAAAAGATGCGCGAGAAGCAGGCAGCCGGTACTGATCCCTTTCTAAACATCTCACGACCCCTGGTCTGCAGCACCGATGAAACCGAACACACTAACCTCTCCGTCATCTCTTTCCCGCTCTCTAGCCGACGCAAGGAAGGCCGCCGAAGCAGCCGCTGCTAAAAAGAAATAATTTCAGCATACTGCGTGCCCTCAGGTTTACGGAAAACAACGAAATGACCGGAAACGAACCCACCCTTCAGAGGGCAGAAGAGATCACGACAGAGGCATCACTTGCTTTACAGCCGACACACGACATGGAGGGTGCGGTCCGGCGCATCATTATACCATCATCAAGTATAGGGGAACAGGCGTAGGAGAATGGGCGCTTCGTGTTGGCTTTAAACTGGAGGCGTAGACGGAGAAAAGGCGTATCTTGTGTGCTGGGTGGGCAAGTTTTTCTCCCCTCCCTTTCTGTCAATAGACGCGCACACTCTTTGGGCAGAGGAGTAAAGTGCTTGGATTCCATTTCTCGGTCTCTTCTTCGCGCTTGTTTGCGTCGTTGCGTTCTACGTTTGCGTTTTCAGCAGTGGACGGTCCATATCATGTCTCTCTTTGGCCGTCTCTATCCGCCCCGAGCTTCTCTTCATACCCACTTGCCCGCTTGCTAAAGCGATTCTCTTACAGTAGGCGAGCCCTGAGATGTGCTGCGGTTGGCACGGCGGAGGATCTTTGGAACTACTGACCTAGACTGACAGGAGCATTTCCGATTTTCGTACTTATGCCAACCCTTCTCGATCCTCAGCATCCTCCCCGAGGTCAACCAAACATCAGCTTACACCTAGACCGTCCGCCGTTTCTGCCGTTACGTCAGGGCCAAAAGCGTAAAGTATGGTCCCCCCCCCCCCCCCCCCCCCCCCCCCCCCCCCCCCCCCCCCGAATCTGCCTAACGGGTTAGACTGGATTTGAGCGAGACGGTGTAGACAGTTGCCGTAGAATAGGGGCCAGAGGAGAGTTGCGGCCGTTTCTATTCTTGCATACCTGTCATCTCGTCGGGCTAGGCTGCCAGTAGTTGTGCGGAAGATCCCATTGGGCCTTGATCGAGGAGGGACGCGATTATGCCTATAATCTTCATTGCACCTCCAATATTCCAGCCGGAAGGCGTCGGGAAAGTAAGATGTGGATGCGAGATTATTCCCCTCTCTCCTGGGACAAGAAGCCTTCGTAGCCGTGTCAAGGGGATACGATACCGATGTTGGTGTAATGTGTATCATACGACAGTATATGCGGCTTCAGGGTTGAAATATCATAGGTTCCCAACTAAGTCAGCTTTCGTATGACGAAAATAAGCGGGAAGTCCTACAAGGAGCAGTACAGGCGACATGTCACGGATGAACGTCGCTGCTATTTTTGCCCTGCAACCGCTGCAACCGACTGATCGGGCAGGTAGTCAATGTGCTCAGTCTCACACACGAGTCACGTCTCAGAAGACCAAGCAAAGAAGGATGGGCATTCCACCGTTTTTGAAGTCTCATTAAGATTTGGTGCATCCAGAAAAATACGATCCAGTCATATATCCCCGTCCTGCCAACAGCCGACCAAGCTGGAGATAGGGAGGACAAGGGACAACCCACAGGAGGGAGGAAAGAACCTAGGCCTTTCCCAAGCAGACCCGCGTTGTCATCCTCTCCCTTCCCTACCCAGTAAGAAAGGGCGATGACAGACGTGATGAAGAAATAGAAACAGAGAGAAAAGGAACAAATAAAGTCTACACAGTAATGGTATTTCCAACCCCCAACCACCAGACACCTCTCCCTATATTCATGACCGTCTTAGAGCGACAAAAAGTAACACAGCCAAATCGAATTGGCCGTAACGAGATATTTTGCTCATCGGGGGTTTTGAATGATAACATTTCCTTATGCCTTAGCCGGGGGCACCGCGGCGCCGACCATGGCCATGGGGACGGCGCCGCCCCACCCGCCAAAGTTATCCCTCCCCTGGACGGCGACGTTGGGGAACCCGCCGACGCTGCACTGGACCGCGCAGACGCAGCTGCCGTCAGCGCCGACCTGGCCGACACCCGTCGCGATGCCCGTGTTAACGGCGCCTGCTGCGTCGGTGGCCGTGGCCACGTCGGTGGCGCCCGCGGCGGAGGTCGCGACCGGGGTAGGCGTAGCCAAAGCGGACGAAGACGCGTTGGGGTCGGCGGCGGGGCCGTTGCCCGTGATGGCACCGCCGGCCCCGTTGCCCGCCTGCTGGATGGCCAGGGACTGGAACATGGCGTGCGTCTTCTCGGCGGTCGGATTGATGGAGAAGACCATGCCCTTGCCGCAGTGGTTGTTTTGACGGCAGTAGAACCCTGGAGGAAATCACCGTTAGCTCGAGTTTGGAAACTAAGTTTGTTTGCGGGAGAAGCGGTTGCTACTTACAGAGTGGAGTATCAACCATGATTTGCATGGCGACCTGCGGCGGCGGGTTGACCGTGTTGTTGGGATTGGCCTGGAAGCCAGAGTCCATGCCGCCCTCGAGAACCTGGCAGGGTGTCTCAAACGCGGACTGGGTGACGGTGTGGTTCTGGCTGAGGAAGGTGAAGATAACGGTGTCGCCGACGGCAGCCGTCAGCTGCTGCGGGCTGAATGACAGGCCCTGCGGTCCGCCCACCGTGACGTTGTGTGTTTGACCCCCAGCAACGACGGTTGTGGCGGCCGGCGGCGCTACTTCGGTTGCGGTGCCGGTAACGACTGCGGGTGGTGCGGTGGCAACGCCGCCGGTGGCCACGGTCTGGGTGACGGTGACTGTCGCGGTCGTGCCCAACACGGTGGTTGCTGCACCGCCGCCGAGGTTGACCCAGAGGAAGTTAATTGAGACGCCGCTGCCCGGATGCAGACCGATCAGGCGCTGAAGCTCGGCGGCTAGTGCAGCGTGGTCCCCGTTGACGCTGCTGAGCCCGTTCTGGTGGGGTACTTGCTGGTGGCCGTCCCGCCGGCCGGGGTAGTTGTTATGAACCGCCTTTCCCATCGCCAAAGGGGCCAAGCCCAACGCCATTGCTGCTGCTGAGAACTTCATTGTGCCTCCTTCCGAATCTCTGCTTTTCCTTCTCGCTCGAGTCTGCTTGTCCGGAACCTCCCACAGGGAATATATGACAAAAATGGATCGAATGTTCTGGATGCCTAAGCGAGTCCCTGCTCGGTGTTCGAAGCGAAAGATGAAGGAGAAAGCAAAGAGAAAAAGAATGGATCAACCAAATGAGTGAAGACACACGCGGACAAGGTATCGGTGGAATTGAAGAGAGAGATGAGGAAGAAGAGAAGGGGAAACAAGACTTCTTGAGAGGGTAGTGGCCATCTTGAGGGGGGTAGGCCAGGGCTTAAATCGATGCATTGATGATCTCCAAGCAGGCCTCCAGGCTGAGAATTCAACGAAGATCCCGGGCAACTAGGGGTGCGTGGTGGGAGAGGTCGAAACACTCGGGAGAGGCATCACCGTGGTAGCGACTTCCAATGTCGCCCCCCGCCAATTCCCTGGGCTGTTCCAACCTCCAGGGTACGTCCGCACAAAGCGGCATGCGCTGCGATACGCTGCCGCCCATCCTTGTCCAACCTTGTGAGGGCGACTTCCTGCGTCAAGCCCAAGGGGGGGGAGCAGGGAGTGGGTTGTGACCAAAATCGTCTCAGAATTGTGTTTTGACATCGCCGCCAAGGGTCCCAGCGCACGGATTGCGGGGGGTTAGACGAAGCAAGAGCTGTACTCCAAAGTGTACGTACTTCACCCCGGCCCCGGCTCGGAAAGGAACTTTTCCTGCTTGCAAACAGCGAGCCTACACGATTTGCTCAGCGAGTTGATGATGGTTCTGCTATAGAAACAGCTGCAGCGAATTATAGCACCAGTCTGTTCATAGCAGACAGCGCTGATGATGTTAGTACAGCAAGGCGGCAACGTCATTCATCGTCTGAACCATAGTAACGCTGAGAGCCAGTGCTATGCGGCCCGGACCTCGGGCCAAGGCCCAGCCCAGCGCGCTTAAGGTTAATACACGCCCGCTGGGATCTCAGCCACCGCAGCGGCCATACACGTGTAGCAGCGAACGGAAGCCGCCCGGCACATTGAAAACCCACCCGCGCGGCCGTTTGATTGTTTCGGGACAAATGTCCTTCAAGGTCAGCATTGGACGTTTGGTGAGCAATTCAGGAAGCACTGCCATCGGATCCCCATTCGGCCGAGGGACTAAATAGCCACGCAATGATTATAGGACTTCCAAGTCCCAGTCCTGAGCCGCTGTCCTTCACTTTGTACGGATACACTAGTACGGATAGCGCTCCAAGGGCGAGGCGGCGAGGGTGCGAACACTGGCGTGGAGAGATGGAGTATGCCGTGTTGAACCCATTGCAGAGGAGACCCACCATGAGACATGTCGATAAGGCTGAGAATTGCAGAGGACCTGACGTTTGCGAGCAGCAACACTTCTCTCAGCTATCTCAGCTCAACGGCGAGCACACGAAAGTCAGCCGACGGATCCAGGATAGAGCTGTGTGCCCGCTTGAAACGAGTAAGCAGCCTTGAAGCGTAACAGTGTAACTACCTAGCATGGACTCATTTGTGCGATCCGGCGAAGACGTCGAGGTGCAGCTTGAGATCTCGGTGCAGCCACCTATCCGGGGGCTGGAAGAGTCGGAAACCGCAGTCCGATGTCTGTAAGCAAGCAACCAGGCAAGGTAAAAGGAGGCAAAGGGACTGCGCGCTTGACACATGCCACGGCGATGCTCAGACGTGGAACTGGGAGACCCGTGATGAAAGTGAGGGTTCTGGAACACAAAGTGTCACAGATGGGCGTTTGCAAGGTGATCCGGCTGCAGGTACGAAGTTACTTCCCTGCAGAGTTGTGGGGGAGGCTAGTGGGGAGCGGGGCGCCAAGCAAAGAAGAGGCTTGGCGCAGAAAATTCCCGGCCTTAGTGCGTGGATTTTGCCTCCCGTTTCAGACGACTTTTTGTTAGGCTCTCACTAACACCACGATCATGAAAAGAAATCAATGGGCTGATCGGCCTGGTGAACTGATTGTAATAAACAAGGCAATCTAGAGTCGTCAAGAACTCTTGCGGAGTTGTTCTGCTTGCTGGAGCCCTTGCTGTTTGCCTTCATAGAGACCCGTGTAATAGCCTGCAAGGAACGGTCAGCAGCTAAGCTAAACCTAGAGGAAAGAGCAATCCAATGTATGTACCTGCGTAGTACCACGACATCAAGAGCTTTTTGAGCTCTTCATCCTGGACTATATGAGTCTTGGTTAGGTTCGTCGTCGTCTTGCCCCGAATACCTGAATAAGGTAGGATACAGCAGAAACTCACTGGTCCCCAGAAGGGTCTGCGGGCCTAATGCAGGAGGCCCGCCTGCTGCTACCGGTCCATCGTCCTGTTTGTGGCCATCAGTTGAAAAGAAACAGAGTGGTAAGGGAAGGATGCCGTTTCATGCCAAGCTTCCGGGGATCTCCCACGATTCTCGTTCCTGCAGCTCAGCTGTTTGATCACCGTACCTTCTTCGCATCTACGGAATTTTGCGCATCCGAAATTGTCGGGTATGATTTCTCGTCGCTCTCGTCCATTGGGACGCTGTCCTCTGCCTCGTCCTCCTCCGGCGCCATAGGTTGTTCACCAGTGTCTCCCGTTCCAGGCTTGGCGTTCTGTAGTGTCCTGGCGGCGGAACATTAATTAGAAGGGAACAATGACCCAGGCACACTTGCTCCTGGTCGTGTTTCCCGAGTGTTTGGAATCGAAGGTAGGCTTACTTTTCGTCATCTTGGCCGTTTGGTACTATGTCGTCGACTGTGCCTCCTCTGGCGTGGATGCTGTGGTATTTCTGCAGCTCCATGTCAGCTTGTCAGAGCCGCGGGGTTTCGAAACCTCGACCTCGCTTTCGCTCACCTTGTACTCCTCTAGTGCTTGGTTCCAGGATTCCACGAGCGCCGAATCTTCCCAGATCTCGTCATGGGTCGCCGCTGTATCTGGTTCCATTTTAAGGGTGTTTCGTAAGTGGGATGCGGTGTTGCGCTACGATGTCAAGTGTGTTGAATTGAGCAAAGTGTGAATTTTTACCTGAGAGAAGCACCCCTCTTTCCAAAGACGTTTTAAGGTTCGAAGTAGACGATAGGTCCTATCTCCTCAATTGTTCACAGGGCCTCTGGTTCCAACCCATCCTCAAAGGATGGCATGATATACAAGCTCTTCGTGACCTCCCGAAATGCAATCCCACATGGAGCCTCTCCCCTTTCCTGACAGCATAGCTATTGCTACTTGACCTGAGCCACCAAGTCTGCAACATCCAAACGCCGCAAACAGTTTACCCCCTTTACCTTGACATTTTCGCGAACCTTTGGTTTCATGCAAACTACAAACTATCAGAAGACGAGCGGATGCATCAGTTAACCGGTCATTGGGAAGGTTATCGGATTGCGCCCTCCGCTCCGACGAAACGGAGCCGTGACACCCGTCAAAGGCTCAAGCCGGACGCGAGAGTGCTTACCTATGCACCCCGAACCCCGGAAGGATACGGCGGCTGGGTGGTGGAAGAACCCCGCCCGATCCGGGCAAGCTGTCAAATAGCCGATTCCCGCACTCAAGTCCGGGGCAGATCATTCCCCCGATTCTGTGCCTCCACTACACTAAACATAGCGGTGCGACGGTCTAGATGCCGCAGGAGCCGGTTCTAGCCCTGGGCCGGACAGCTTCTGTCGTGTCACGCGGAACCTCTCGTACAGCTCAAGGCCCGCAAAAGCCGCCTGTTCCCACTCAGCACAGTTTCGACCCCCCAATCTCACATTATCCTCACAGCTCCAGAGATAAGGCTCATGATGATCGCTGCAGATCTTGCTGCTACTGTTGTAGCTCGTGATGGCTCAAGATTTTCCTGCTCTTTGCGAGTAGATGGCTACTCCAAGAGCCGTAAGCTAGCAACGTGCCTCGTTCGGGCTGTGCCCGACGCGCAAGCTGCAGCCCTCCCCGTTCCAAAGCTAAAAGCTGTGTAGCTTTCGGTTGACAAGCAAGGTGGAACCCGCAGCGGGAACTCTTACCCCTCTGCTAGTTAGAATCCAGCGATCACGGCGCTCTAGAACCGTGGGAATACGTTCTTAAAGGGGGCAACTCGACCACAAGAATTGATGATAAACCTCCAACTCTTGTCATAGAAATCTAACGACTGCTGTGATTTGTCGATCTGTACCCGACCGCCAGTGAAAGACATTTCAATCAAAAATTGGCACCCATATTCTTCTTCTTCTGGATCGAGCGTTTGATATCAAACCCGAAGTGAGAAAATGTGAGTCGATCAGCAATGTGGTCAAAGTGAGATACTCCGGTCGCTAAATAGCCTCTCAAACCAGGACATCCGAGGTTGGTGTCACAACCATGGCTACCACTCGAGAGACACACCTTGCTCAGCCTTCTGCCACAGGACCACTACATCGGTATCGATGTCGGGACGGGCTCAGCACGAGCCTGCATCATAGACGCAACTGGCGAGATCAAGGCTCTCGCATCTGAGAACATCAAGCTCTGGCAGCCCGCATCCGGCTACGGCGGCTCACACTATGCATGTCACCCCTTCCCCCTTCCTTCGGCCAGGTACGTCAAGAAGCCGGCCACTAACATCCTACGACAGGAACAATCCACCACGGACATCTGGCGGGCCATATGCGCCTGCGTGCGGCAAGTCGTAGCCGAGTCGCGCGCCGAGCCCGCCACGATCAAGGGGATCGGGTTCGACGCGACGTGCTCGCTGGCCGTCTTCACGCACGACACGGACGAGCCCGTACCCGTGACGGGACCGGATTTTACCAACCACAGCGGCGATGACCGCAACGTCATCCTCTGGCTCGACCACCGGCCCCTGGCCGAGACGGAGCGCATCAACGCCACGGGCCACAAGCTTTTGCGCTATCTGGGCGGCAAGATGAACGTCGAGATGGAGATCCCCAAAGTCCTCTGGCTCAAGAACAACATGCCGCCCGAGCTGTTCGCCCGCTGCAAGTTCTACGACCTGGCCGACGCCCTGACCCACATGGCGACGGGGAGCGAGACGCGCAGCTTTTGCAGCGCCGTTTGCAAGCAGGGGTACGTGCCCGTCGGCGTTGACGGGAGCGTAAAAGGCTGGCAGGAGGATTTCCTCAGCGAGATTGGGCTGGGTGATTTGGTCGAGGATGGCTTTAAGCGGATGGGAGGAGTCAACGGGGTGGTGAGCCCTTTTCCTTACTTTTTTTGCGAGTCAATCAGTCTCGTATTGAGGAACTTTGTTGGCTGATATAGGGTACAGAATGGAAGGTTCCTGAGCGCCGGCGAGCTCGTCGGTGGCTTGTGCGAGAAGGCGGCCAAGGACTTTGGGCTCCCACCGGGCATTGCTGTCGGCAGCGGTGTCATCGATGCGTATGCCGGCTGGATTGGAACGGTTGGCGCCAAGGTCAGGCTGAGCAAAGACCATCTCGACGAGACTGTTGCTGCGAACGATGTATCACAGGCCTTCACCCGGCTCGCTTCGGTTGCTGGAACCTCAACCTGCCATCTGGCCATGTCCCGAGAGCCCGTCTTCGTGCCGGGAGTATGGGGACCTTACCGAGATGTTTTGATCCCTGACTTCTGGATGGCCGAAGGCGGCCAGTCGGCAACCGGCGAGCTTATGCGCCACATGCTGGAGACGCACGCAGCATACGACCAGACGCTGAAGGAGGCGCAGGCCGCGGGTAAGAGCATTTACGAGTTCCTGAACGACCACCTCAGGTACCTCGCCGAGAAAGAAAAGGCGCCGTCCATTTCCTACCTCGTCCGGCACTTCTTCTTCTACGGCGATCTTTGGGGCAACCGCTCGCCCATTGCCGACCCCAACATGCGCGGAGCAATCATCGGTCTGAGCAGCGACAAGAGCAAGGACGGCATGGCGCTGTTGTACTACTCGACCATGGAGTTCATTGCGCTCCAGACGCGACAGATTGTCGAGACCATGAACAAGTCCGGACACGGCATCCTGAGCATCTTCATGTCGGGCAGCCAGTGCCAGAACGAGATTCTCATGGATCTCATTGCTACGGCGTGCGACATGCCCGTGCTAATTCCCCGGTACGTCAACGCGGCTGTTGTGCATGGCGCGGCGATGCTGGGCGCCAAAGCGGCCAGCGCCAAGGATGACGGGACCACAGAGCCGCTGTGGGATATCATGGACCGGATGAGCAAACCAGGCAAGGTGGTGTGGTCTCGTGGAGATCCGGCAGAGAAGAAGCTGCTCGATGCCAAGTACGAGATATTCCTAGAACAATGCCGGACGCAGCAGGAGTACAGGAGAAAGATCGACGATGCTTTGAGGGGGTCGTCGCTGGAGGGCGGCCAGTAACCAATTGTATGTAGCGTTTCACTGCGAAACCTGGAAATGTCCGAGGAACTATTCATTAGTTAGCTTAAATGGCACGCATTAGACTATTTTTGTTCAATGTTCACAGCAGTGAGGCTTGGAACGTATGGATATAGTCCTCATCACAACGAAAGCAGATATGCGGCCCGAAAGAAAGGAGTTTTGATATGTAGAGCAGTCGCATTGTTGATGTTAGCCTGCCAGTTGCCCATGCAACATCAACAAATTGGCTGGGAAACATCAGCTCAATGGCACGGCAGGACCTGCAGTGGCCCAAGCTTCCACAGCAGAGCTGCACCGCTCAGCAGGGAGCTTCAGTTGACGGGTACATACCTGCCCCACTTCTGTTTCACGGCGCGCCCGAAGGCCTTGTGCAACCCCAAGAAAAAATAGCCCAACCCAAATCCGCAGGTCACTGAGCTCTAACTTAACGTTCATCAGTTTTCTTCGAAACGCGTCAACTTGTACGCGTTGCATTTTCGTTTACGAGGTGCGACCTTGACCTTAATAGTTACTCTACTGCTACAGAGACGGCAGCCACGATGTCTCTTTTCATGGGCAAAGGAACGCCCGCGACGGCAACGGCAACAGGGAGCTTGGGCGGTTCAACACTTTTTGGCGCGAGCACTTCTGGAGCGGCCCCAGGAGGAAGCACGGCCGGCAACAGCATCTTCGGATCGACAACAACAGGCAATTCGCTCTTTGGCAAGCCGGCAGGCGGCGCATCGACAACTCCCACTACCCAGCAGCAACAGCCTGCGACGGGCTTTGGGTCTTCCCTGTTCGGAGCTTCGACGACCACACCGAAACAGTCGCTTTTCGGGGGACCCGCAGGAAACACCCCGTCTCTGTTCTCAAATGCGCCCGCCCCGACGCAAGCACCGGGGGCATCCCTCCTGTCCTCTACCCTCGGCGGCACCCAGAATGGCCAGCAACAACAGCAAGCCCCGCCGTCCGGCGCCCTCTTCGACAGCCTGCTGGCAAAGAACAAGAAAGAAGCCGAAGGCGAAGGCGCCCTGGGCGAGCTCCCCTCGCTGCAGCTTGGCCTAGGCGACCTTCGCCAGCGACTCAAGAAGCTGGGCCCTTCCCAGGACCGACCCCTCGAGCACGGCAAGGCGCACTACTTTCTGGCCGCGTCGGGTGTGGACCCGGGCGCGGCGGTACGCGATCTCGGCGCCTTTGGCCTGCAAGCGCGTGCCGAGCGGGGCGCTGCACCGGGCACTGTCGGCTTCGGCGTCGGCGCGGGCGAGGTGGACGTCGAGACATATCTCTCCAACCTGCAGACCAAGACCACTCTGAGTATGATTGCAGATGGGCTGGAGCGGTCGGTGAGGGACTTCGATGCGTTTCTGGAGGAGAACGTAACCATGGAGTGGGAAGAACAGAGGAAGAGAATCTATCAGCATTTTGGCATCAAGCCGAGGGAGGATGCTGGCGCTCGTGGCGCTCCTGCCGCTGCCTCTTCCCGCGCGTCAACGCCGGCCAAGGAGGGCCAGGGCACCTTCGGCAGGTCAAAGCGTAAGGCCAGCCAGGCTGCCACCGGGGAGCGCGCGTCGCAGAGGATGAGCGCCTGGGGCCGGTCGGCTCTGCAGAGGTCCGTCATTGGCACGCCGACCAGGATTGGGCCCCACGCGCCTGAGTTCGCAGACGTGGAGGTTCGCAAAGACGCAGCTGGCTCACCGAATGGTGCGCCATCGATGGACGATAGGTTTCAGCGCGAGAAGCAAAGCAAGTTGGCCGAGAAGATTCACGAGTTCAACAATGCTCGGCAGAAGGGGCTTCCCTTTTACCTGTGCCGCGACATGGCCGAGCTGGAGTCCAAGTCCGGAGGTCGCCATGCGGACTACATCGTTCACGCTTACCAGGCGATTATGGAGATTGTTGGCGAAGACCCAGGCAGCGAGAGTGCGCCCCGGGAGCGACAGTTTGCCAAGTTGTACCTGGATCCCAACGCACAGTCCGCCAACGCGATAGCGATGCGGAAGCAAATCCTGAAGGGGGCCAATTCATTCTTGGAGAAGCAGTTTATGAATGAGCTTCAGTCTTTCATCGATAAGCACCCGCAAGATGCCAACCCGGGAGGACTGCCCGACGTGGTCAACAAAGTCAAGGCCTTCATCCGGCTCCGCGAAGCGCGAAAGATGCTAGTCCCCGACAACGTAGAGCTGCAACAGGTAAATGGCGAGTACGTCTGGGCCATTGTGTTTTATCTACTGCGCGGGGGTCATGTGAGCGAGGCGGCGCAGTATGTCAACAGCCTCCCGCAACAGTTCCAGGCGATTGACCGGACGTTCCCCGGTTACATCAACAGCTACGCTGCGAGCGAGGACCGCCGGCTCAAGAGGCAGATGCAGGACCGCTGCGCGAGCGAGTATTTACAGCGGATGCGCAACGCTCCAGAGGGAGCAATCGACCCCTTCCGCATGGCATGCTACAAGATCATTGGCCGCTGCGACCTGAGCAATCGGAGTTTGGACCGAATCCCGATGTTTGTCAATGACTGGATCTGGCTGCAGTTCACCCTGGCGCGGGAGACGGACCGGTCGCTGGAGCTGGCCGGCGAGTCGTATGGCCTCAGCGAGGTCCAAGCGAGCATCCGTGAGATCGGCCTCAAGCACTTTCCCAAATCCCCGACTGAGGGTGACGACCCCAACTTTGGCATGTTCTTTTATCTGCAGGTGCTCTCGGGGATGTTTGAGCAAGCGATTGCCTACCTGTACCCCTTTTCCTACGTCGACGCAGTTCACTTCGCCATCACGCTCACATACTACGGCCTGCTGCGCCCTGCAGACGCGCAGTCGGCCGCTAACGAGCTGCTGTCGCACAACACGCGCAGCCAGCCACAGATCAACTTTGGCCGCATGCTCGGCTACTACACGCGCGACTTCCGAGCCGCGAACCCAGCCGCGGCTGTGGACTACCTGGTGCTCATCTGCCTGAACGCGGACGAGTGGGGCTCGCAGCAGCAAGCAGCGCTCTGCCACGAGGCCCTGCGCGAGCTGGTGCTCGAGTCGCGCGAGTTCAGCAGGCTGATCGGCGACATCAGACCCGACGGCCAGCGCATCAAGGGTGTCATCGAGCAGCGCGGCCCGCTCATTTCGCTGGGCCAGGAGGAAGAGTTTATCCGAACCATCACCCTGCAGGCAGCCAGCTTCGCCGACGACAACGGGCGCACGACGGATGCGGTGCTGCTGTTCCACTTGGCCGGGGACTACGATATGGTCGTGTCGATTGTCAGCCGGGCCCTTAGCGAGGCCGTCTCGCTCGAGATTGGCGAGGATCCCATGAAGTTGGTCCCGGTGAAGCCACGGGGTGAGGGCACTCAGCCGCCTGCGGGCCAGGGCGGCAGCAGCCTGAGCGTGGCCGCCATCGATGACCCCGTGGAGCTGGCTAAGACGATGATGAGCATGTACGAGAGGGATCACATGTTCCGGCAGAGGATCCGCGACTCCAACCGGATAGCGTGCGCGGTGCTGCTGCAGATGAGCGAGATCAAGAGCCTGGTCGAGGCCGGCAAGTGGCCGCAGTGCTTGGACGTGAGTGCTACTCCCTCCCTTTTTTTCCTATTTCCTTCGCCATCTCCCATTTCACAATGCTAACCAAAGACGATCCATGCAGAAAATCCGGGCGTTGGAGATCCTGCCACTGACGGCGCGCGGCGACCAGAGCGTGATCCGCACCTACGCGGCGCGCTTCTCAAGCCTGCCGCAGCCCGTGGCCATCAACGTGCCCAACCTGTTGCTGTGGACCATCATCTGCTGCACCAAGCAACGCGAGCGCTTGATGAATGGCCAGTTCAGCGGCAACGAGTCGACAGCAAGGCTGATGATCGAGGAGCTCAAGCAGATGAGTGTCGACCTCACGGCCTATACCAGCCAGCTGCGGTATCGGCTGCCGCCGCATTTGCACGAGGCCTTGGCGAGAGCATCAGCGGATTGAGTTGGGCATTATTAATGACGGGAGGAATGGATTGGTTGTTTTGAACCAGAAGGTGCTTCTGGTGCATCCTGTATCTCTATGTATCCGTGAGAGTGGACCGGCAGACGTAGAGCCCAAAATCATAGCAAATAGTATCAATGCAGCTGAACTCGGATAAGTCGAGAACATCCGCACCCAGTCTGGTGTATGCATATTCTTCCTGTGCACGATTCGGACAAACGCCAAACAAAGTTTCATCGACAAGAATGGCACTTCCCTTGACCTGACCAGATTCCGTTTGGGCCTTCCCAATGCCGCTTTGTTCTGCATGCCACCGTTTATATCCCCAGTCCCCGACAACCCGTCTATCTCCGGTTTTTCGCTCTGCTGACCCTCATGCCTACGCATCATGCTCCTCACTCACCATCCATTCATCATTGTCCCGCCCCCCAAAGGAATACTTCCTCACACACCCACCCTCGCCAACAAACAGACTTGGGTGCCTATCTCCGGGAAAGGCAGACCACATGAGACTCTTCACCACACAGGGCTCGTGGATCCCGTCCACGGCTCCCGCCGCCAGCCTCTTCCCGTTCTGCAGCGAGTAGACACCGACAGTCCCGTCATCATGCGCAGCCGCCACAAGCCCCTTGCCGTAACCCCCCTCGGTCAGCACGTCCAGGCCAATCTGGATAAACGGCATATTCCGATACTCGTGGAATATGACCAGGGGGCGCGTGGCTTCGGTAGTGGCGCGGACATTCCAGGTCCAGTCATTGGACACGCTCGTGTCGAGCTGCGGCCTCGTCCTCGCGAGATAGCGGATATCGTAGATACACATCTTGCTGTAGGGGCCGGCCGCCAGCACGCCGTAGTCGCCGACGGAGCGAATGTGGGCGACGCTTTTGGGGTGGCGGAATGTGTTGGCCCTTCGGGTCCAGCTGTCGGGCGGGGACCGGAGGTCGAGCACGCACACATGGCCCCCCCGGGTGCCGGCCAGGATCACCTCGGCCGGGTTCTGGGCCAGAAAGTCGACGGCGAGCGTCTCGAAATACCATGGTTGGAGTTTTACGTCGTCACGGTTCCCGTTGTCGTTGGCACGCTTCCTGTTGTCATTGTCACGCTTCTCGTTGTCACGCTTCAGCCGCTTGTTACCGTCCTTGTCCCAGTAGCGGTCCCGCTTCGGCGGGTTGTCGACCAGACTCCAATCGAGTATGTTCTGCACCGGCGGATCGATCCAGTCGAGCTTGTCGTTCTGCAGCACCGCCAGCCCATGATTTGTGCCGAACACGCAGGTCAGTCTCGAACTCCAGTTCGGCGCCGTCTGGCAGGCATTGACAAAGGTGAACATGTGGTCTGCTTTGAGTCCCCAATTCGCGGCCCTTGGTGAGAGTTCTTCTGTTACGCGGGTTGACCATGGTTAGCGGAATCTGCGCCAATATGTGAGGTGGGGTCCACGGCGTGGCAAGTAAGAGACTTGCAAGGCTTGCCATTCTCTATCGTCCATACCGGTCCTGATTCATCCTGGCTCGAAGATCGCGGCGTAAAGAGCTTGATGCGCATTCCTCGCCCCGCAGGCTTCCATGGCGCGATCATCTTGCCTGACGGTGCATGATACTTGAGCGCCAGGATGCTCCCGCCCGGAAGATACCTTCTTGTTGTTTGAGGCATAAAGGGGTACCGTTGGGCAGCATAGCGAAAGTTGATGCTGCCGCTCATCAGCAAACCAAGCAGGCAAGCAAAACACACAGCGTCTAATCTCCAACCGGACTCACCAATCCTGACCATCTTTCGGCAGATACGAGGCGGACAGGCCCCAGACTTCGCACGCCGCGTAGGCCACACCAACATCGCTCAACCCGCCACTGGGCCCAACCCACATCGTCCAGATTGAGTTTTCATTAGGCCGTTCGAAGGTGTTAGACCAGGGTCTCCAATGACCCTTGTGGCTCAACCCCTTTGTCCAAGCCTCGACCGGCGTCTCGGTCCCTCTGGTCTCGGTTCCAGCTTCCCTGGATAGCATTCCGCCCAGGAGAGGCGCACGCCACACCGGAGCCCTCTTCACTCTGAGCGCCGCCCGCCGCAGCTGCTCCCGCACCGCAGCTTCCTCCCGCTCCTCCTCGGCACGACGCTGGACATTCCGCGCAGACCAAGCCGCGTCGGCGGGGGCGGTCTGACCTTTCTCGATGCGGAAATACCTGCCCTTGGTCTCATCTAGAGGAGTGCTCAGCCTAAGAAGTCACCAGGTAAAGTCTCGAAAGTACAGGAGAACCAACCGTAATAGTAACCGGGTATGTCTCGCCGCATGATGCCACGGGGGATTTTGCGGCGGTCAGCGTGTGAATGCTATGCCCCGGCCAGTCCAATTGACCACGAACTGGGCGGCTCTGTCGATCAATGACTTCCAGCGACAGCGAGAACAGAAAGGCAGACCCAGAACCGGAATGCAAGCATTCTAAATGAAACTGGGTTAGCTACACATCATTTACTCGTTAGTTTTGTACCGTTGAAGCATCGCGCGAGGGAATGAACGACGGATGAATCGGAACGGGCAAGAGGGAAACTGAAACGGGACGACCATAGTGCGGAATGATCCAAACATACTAAGTCCTTTTGAAAACTTAGGGAAGGAGCTTTCGTAGAACGGCTACCCAGCCTAAGTCTTAGAACCTTAGGGGAGGAAGGATGACGGTATGCAGGTATGGCGGGTTTTGAGAGGTGAGTCTGGGGAAGTGTCCGATGTTGACATAAAAGGTGGGGGTTGGCCATCATTACAGATGACCTGGAGGCGCCCCGCAGAACCAGAATCAACATCACTCCAGTCAATGGCCGCATTGCCAAAGAATATTACTTAGCTGGGTATTCCGAAATCAATTTCGAGATGGGTCCTTAACATATTTGACTACCTTACCCATCACCTCAAGAGGCAAATCCGCTACCTGGTAATTACTGGCAGGCTTCCTGTTACCAGCAGAAGAACTTCACAGCCAACAATAAGAATGTTGATTTTACTGTTTATTAGATTGTCTAAGGAAGGTAGGGTGATCTAACCCTGAGTAACAAGTCGATACACAACTTGTGAATTATGGAAAGAGAAAAAACGGCCCGCCAAGCGGGCTCTCAGCCAAACGCTTTCTATCAACGCTATCCGGCCGAGTCGCTGTATGCGCATGATGCAACCGTCTATCACGCCACCAGCAGAATCGCTTACTGCGACTTCTCGTGCTGCGTAGACACACGCTGGAGCGACACGACAAAGTCCTCCAGGGATCTCTGCTTCTGGTTGCCCTTGGGTGACTTGCCGTGCATGAGGTTGTCGAAGCCGACGCTGTCTTGCAGGATGTAGTAGAGACCGCCCATGATGCAGAAGACACCGAACGAGAAGACCCAGATACGCACGACAGCGACGATGGAGGTCTGCTCGTTGTGCTCGAACCAACCGAAAATGGTGAACAATGTAGCGAGGATGTCGACAACCAGAATAGCACCAGTAAGCTGCCAAGAGGGAATCGAGGACCAGAAGGGACCGTTGGCACTAGGAAAACAAAAATTAGTATCCAATTGACCACAAAATGGCTTCAACATATCACGACTTACCGAGTGATGAAGATGAGCCAGTTTTCCGTGAGCGAGATCTGCAGGAACACAACCTCGTCCATGTTGCCGAAGTTCTGGACGATACCGCCGTCGGGGCCGTGCGCATACATGGTGGTGACCGTAATCCAAGTACCGATGGCCAGGACAACACCAAGAAGAACGGACATACCCCAGAGCTTGGGCAAGTTCCACTTGACGGGCGTCTTGCTGAAAGGCGCATTGTCGTAGGCAATGGCGAGAGTGGCGACGTCGGCGAAAATGGCGATGAAGACGACGAGCTCGATGTTTAAGCTGCGGTTCAAGATGGCAATCCACAGGCCAAGGTAAATCTCAAGATGGATCGACAAGGCAATACGGTAGACAACGTAGGCATACATGCGGTGGAAAATCTGGCGGGACGTCTTGAGGGCGTCGATGATGGCGCCGAGACCGGGGGCAAGGAAGACGATATCAGCGGCGGAGCGAGCTGCATCGGAAGCACCCTCAACAGCAATACCAGTATCGGCCTTCTTGAGCGAGGGCGCATCGTTGACACCGTCACCAGTCATGGCAACGAGGTAGCCACGCTGCTGAAGAATCTCGACGACATTGTACTTGTGCTGGGGGAACACCTCGGCGAAACCATCGGCAGCCTCGACGAAGTCGTAGACCTCGGAACCGGGCATATCACCACCACCGCCAAGACCAAGACGCTCAGCGTTGTAGACGTTGGTTCCGAGACCCAGCTGGCGCGACGTCTCCCTGGCGATACCGACAGCGTCACCAGTAAGCATCTTGATGGACAGACCCAGGGACTTGGCCTCGTTGATAGTGCGAGCAGTGTCGTGACGGGGCGGGTCGCTGCAAGGCATGATACCGAGAATCTCCCAGGAGCCCTCACCACGCTTGCGGGCAACACCCAGCGAGCGGAAACCACGGGTAGCGAATTCGGCAACTTTGTTCTTGTAGGCCTGGTCAATCTCCTCAGGGATGGGGTGGTCCTCCTCGACAGTCTTCAGGACGAACAGCGGGGCACCCTTGACGCAAGTGATGCGCTCGCCCTGGGGAGACTCGACAACGGCGACGACCTTCTTGGAGACGGGATCGAAGGGGTGGAACTCGAGGACCCGGTACTTGCTCAGGACACTTTTGGCCCGAGGATAGTACTTCAAACTCTTGAGGAAAGCCTTATCGATGGCATCCATACCCTTCTTCTTGCGCGAGGCAGCCAGGCAGGCAGTCAACATCAGATCCTCAGGGTCGACACCGGCAACCGTGAAGGGCTCAGAGAGCGAGAGCTTGTTCTTGGTGAGGGTACCAGTCTTATCAGAGCACAGGATCTCGACACCAGCCAGCGACTCAATAGCCGAGAGCTTCTGGACGATGGCCTTCTTCTTGGCGAGGTAGGCGGCACCGACGGCCATGGTGGTAGTGACGACGGCTGGGAGACCGACGGGCACACCGATAATGGTGATGGCGAGAGTGAACTCGAGGATAAGGACGATGGGGTTGGAGCGGTAGAAGCTGGAAACCCAGACGATCAAGTTGGTGAAGATGACGAGGACGAGCAAGATAGTGCCAATGCCGTTGAGAACCTCAGTGAAGTGGCCACTGCCGGCGCTAGCGGCGTTCACCAGAGCAGCAGCGCGGCCGACGAAGGTGTTGTCTCCAGTGGCGGTAATGACGAGGAAGGCCTCACCGCGCTTGACAGCAGACGATGCATAGCAGGAGTCGCCCTTGTGCTTATCGACAGCGAGCGATTCGCCGGTGATGGCGGATTGATCGACTTGAAGGAAGGCATCGTCGGTAACGATGCGACCATCGGCGGGGATGATGGTACCCTCCTCGACCTGAAGGATATCGCCAGGAACGACTTCGGGGGCCTCGATCTCTTTGAGGTTGCCATCGCGGAGGACAACAGCCTTCAGGGCGAGAGTCCTTGAAGTAAAGTCAGCCAATGCCAATTGATGCCGCACGGAGAAATTCATACTTTTTCAGCTCATCGACAATAGAACCAGCCTGGTATTCTTGAACGAAACCGACAACAGCGTTGAGAAGCAGGAGACCGCAGATGACACCGAAATCAACCCAGTCCTCGAGACCAGCAGCCACTATAAATGCGGGTTAGCGAGCTATTCACTCTTAAGCTGTCAATTGGCGGTAGCTGGAATGCTCAAACGCCAAAACTCTGGGCTGCACATTCGAGGGGCCCAATTGGCTCTCGTGCAATGCAGTTTCACGGCGTTTTTGTGGGGTAAACGAATTTTGCTGGGAATACATACACACAGCAGCAGCCTGGTGAATGGGTCGTCAGCATAAAGTCAAGCCGGCAAGTGGAGAAGTGTTTCGTTTCAAGGTAGTGTGCCGCAACTCACACCCTGGGGATCAACATACCTCCATGACAAACTGAATGGGACCGACGAAGAAGCCGAGGAACTTGAGAACAAGGTTCTCCTTCTCCTCCCTAGATCGCGAATTAGTGTCCAGTTGCTCCAACAGGGAATTGATGCCAAGCCAGCCAACGCGTCTTCATGACGCAGCCCGCAGACTCGGAAGGGAGGGATACGTACTTCATCTGGTTGAGACCATACTTCCGACGTCTCTGGAGGACCTCGTCGGAGGTAAGACCGACGCGGGTATCCGTCTGGAGCATGTCCTCGGGGACAACACGCCCGGCGCCGGGGGCAACCTCTTCTTCCTCCTCGTACTGCACAGCCAACAATTAGCGTGGGCCATGATAAAAGAGCGATTGATTCAAATTCGGTGGATTGGGCTATCGCCATGTATTGCCCACGACACAGCAGCCCGCTGCGAGCTGCACGCAACGATCCTGCACCGCTGCGACCAAGCCCCACAAATCCAGAGCAGGATAATAGGGCCGTGGAATATGTAAAACTGGGATTTGTGCAATAGCTTACCGCGCCATGACCATCATTGCTCTCAAGATCCTCAATGAGAGCATCCATGTCCTCGTCCTCTTCCTCCTCCTCCTCTAACCTCTGCTTGGCGGGCGCCTTCTCATCGAACTTGCCACTCTCGATGTCCGTCGACAGCGCTGGCGCGCCGGTAGTCGAGTGTTCGGCCATTGGCGCGTGGGGTGCGGCAGATAAGCTCTGCGCGGGGCTTCGGTTTCCGACGGGAGTTGGGTGCGCTCAGAAATCAATCCGACTTTTCACAACGGTCAAAATGAGGTGTGCGATACCGATCGGGCACGCGTTCTAGGACGGATTCTCAAAAAGGACGGTATGTTATGGTAGGTGCGTGGTAGACTAGCAGAGATGATTGCGGTAATTTGAGTTTTGAATAGAGGCGAAATGAGGAAGTATCCGGGAGACCGTCTACAGACTGGGAGGTGGGTAGGGAGAGGGAGAAACAGGTTGGAGAGGAGAGGGTCGGGCTCGAAGGAGAAAGGCGAGACCTCACGTCGAAGGGAGTATTAAAAAGGGCCTTCGAGCGTAAGAGGGAAAAAAGAAGGAAAGAGGTCGGGTGGGCAGTGGGAGGACGCCGTGTATTTCAACGTTTTTCCACTCGCGCTACCCGTGCCGGCCGATGAGGAAAGTCAATCCCATTCCGTCAGGGCGCCTTCCCTGCTCCAAAAAGCTACCTTACCCTTCGCTGACACGGGTGCAGCACGGGAGTGTGCTCTGCCATGTCGAGCCGACCTTCCTTAGCTAAGACAGGCTGGCCACCTGGAGAATGGTGGACCTCGCGTGTACCGTCCACCGACCATGGTAACGAGTCGAGCATCTTGTCACATACAGTGTGCCATGTTGCTGAAACTGTGAGAACGCTCACGGTTTGGCACCTTGGGTCAAATTTTTCGTTTCAATTGGCACTGTGTGTATGCGGAAGCTCAATGTTGAAGGACCAGACCCCAGCTCCAGGCAATTGGTGCAACGCACCCCGACCGACCCCAATGAAGTGGGGCCTAGACGATGGTCGCAATTAACATTATGAGCTATTAGAGTGACCTGGGCCTGCAAGCCATCCGAAGTACTCGCCACCCCACCTTTGTGCTCTGGTAGCAGCCGAGGACGCCGCATATCCCGCGGAATGTAATAATACAGAGTACATTGCTATCACTGGCCGCCGAGGTACCGCCTGACGAACCCAGTCTGCGGGATTTTTTGGCTGTTCCTCCGGAAGCATTCCCTCTTTCAATTGGCACACCAAGACAACTACCAGGACGTACATTTGCCTAGGCGCATAACTCGAATTTTCCATGACATTGAACTCACCACCGTTTTTTCCTGAAAGTGCAATGCTATGCAGAGTCAGTTTAGATAAATCCCTCGGCGCAAGCTGTATCAACCTGCCCTAGTGCCAATTGACACATCACGGAGCGGCCCACCTCGATATTTCACCGTTCAATGGGCGGCGGAAAGCAACAAGCCTATCCCTGCTCGTAGCCATCGATCTTCCGACCCCCATCCTTGGCGAGAGTGCAACCGCACAGATGCAGACTGACAAGCTTTTGTGAGTCTGTAGCGCTTGGTCATGAGTAGACCCCGGACTAGCACCTCGAGAGAGTCGCATTGCTTTGACGGACCAATTTTTGGCAACAAGGTCGTTTACCCGATGTTAGGAGTAATTCACTTCGCCAGTATCGTACAAACATTGTTGTGCAAATAGCTGTGGGCTAGGTACATTCTTCGTTACGTTACAAAAGTACTTTGTAACTTACCAACTTGCAATTCATGTTTGGGCCCCGCAATGTTCCTATGTCCTCGCTCTCTCGCCTTGTCGACCTTCGCGGCGGCACAGCTGGTGCGGCGCTGCAAGAGTCCGCGAGCCTCACTGGGGATGTGGAGCCAGGGCGCTCATCCAGTCACCGAGTGATGGGGCAAACGAGCCATTTGTTTATGTCGCTCAATCTGTAACGGCGATATAGGCGGCAACCAACCAGATCAATTGGAAGCTTCCGTCATTACTCACCCGGCAGCAGTCGGAAGGCGACTACACATAGCAGACCGCTTCGACGACGAGCTGGCACCTAAACGCGCAGATGCAGAGGCAAAATTCAAAAGTAAGCCGCCAAAGCGGAAGTGCCGAAAGTGATGGAGACTCTCAGTACTACGTCATACCGTTACGGCCCCCCTCCCACAAAATGTTTGGTGATCTCACCAAACAAAATGGTAATTCTCAGCAGGACTCCGCGAATCGAGGCAAACTCGTTTCAGCCCGACGGTTCCGAAGCCCTATCGCATTCTTTTCTGTCAGCTTTATCGCCAACTGCTTCGTTTGCCGCGAGTATGCCCTTGCTTTGCTTTCTCCTTCTCCGGCCGTTGCTTTAGGAGGGGTGTATCTGTAACGACTCTTGGGATTGCGCGACTTTGACTTTGAAAAACCCATTGCTTTCAACTAACATCAGGTCAAAGGACCCCAAATTCTACCGGTTTGCGGTGACTGCATTTCCAAGTCGTGGCATCTGTATCAAACAAGCCTTCCGGAAGAACTGAGACCGGCCCAGCGGCATTCACAGCAAAGCAAAGCAATCGAAGCTCTCGGCGGCGGCGGGGGTGACCGAGAGATGGCCGTAATCGAGGTACGTGTGGACGAGGTTTCCGCTGTTGCGTGCCCGTTTTTGGAGTTGGGATCTCACCAAAGCCAGTCACATCATCTTGGGTGCGACAACGCCCAGACTTATAGATTTGACTCGGCGCGCAGCGAGTCCGCTTGGCACCTTGGATAAGATTGTGATCCGAACACGACGCGGGTAAACGGACGTTTATCTGCAGCATCCGCATCTCCTTTCTTACTGTAATTGTGTAAGCCGTCTCTCTGACTGGCCCGTTTGCACGCACATCTCGATCTCCACCCTGGCAGCAAAAGCACGCGACCCTGCGGTGTATCCTGCTGTCGCCAATATGGGATCTGGCTCCGGCCGTTCTCCGGTGCCGAGAATTGCAAGCCGTTTCTAATCGATCGGGATACCCCCGGAAGCTGAATCGCGGGAGCGGGAAAAGCTGCAGATGATCGACTCCAAGCCCGGCGCACATTATCCCGTAAATGGCGGTCTGGGAATAACTCTAGCTACATATAATCCTTTTTGAGTGTTGTCTAGGCTTCATGAGTCCCAAAGTAAGTAACCGGCTTCTCACGGCATTGATACTGAGCCGCGGTTGTGCCGGTGTCATCTGCAGAGTGCTTCCTTTGACGAATTGTCCCAATAGCCTACGAAGAACCTAAAATATCTTGGCCTCGGAGAGTCCAGGCAAAAAAGACAGATAGTTAGCGAGCGGTAGGTCCGGCAATGGCGGCCGGCTTCGAGTCGCGTTGGAATTGATCGCACCGGGAAAAAGTGGAGCCCTGCATCTCGGCGTCCCTGAGGAAGCGAGCACAATATCCTCCGCGCAGATGGCCCGTCGACGGCTTATCATAGTGGCGATCACCGGTGATACCGGACGCCGAGCGCACAGATTGGAGGCGAAACCAGAAGCACGTCATTTCTAGGAGTAGCGTAGTCTCGGAATGGAAAGGATGATCGGATCTAGGGGCTCGCTCGCTGAGGAGGACGGGATTGCCGCCAACTTTGTTCTTGCTGGCGCACGGATTACCTACAGGGCCATTCTAGGCGTAACTTACATGGTGTATTTGATGACACTTTTCAGATATTTTCAAAGACTGTCCGTGATTACCAGAAGCAGCATGTAACAACTTGCAATAGCAGCGTGTATTATACGCAATTTACGAGGTATACGAATGTGACCGGGCAGCATAACGTAGGTGGAGATACTGCTATCCACACACTATGGGTTTTCTTGGACCCTTGCTGCTTGCAGTTCAACGATGGCGACGTTGTCGATTCGCCTGCTTCTTCCGATCTCATTTCAATATCCCCCCAGGATCCGCCTTGCGGACAATGGTCGGATATTACCATTCTCTTCACAGACTCTTCAAACCGATACGCGACACGGGGTCGGGTTTGGTATTTCGGCGCGGCAAAAAGAAAACTCTTTTTGACTCTCTGGGCATCAAGTGCTATCCTCGTCATGAGAAGCCCAACAAATTGAGCACCCATTGGGTATGTATCCTGAAAAGATGCCAACGCGGCAATAATCAAAGGTCGAGCTCGGCCCAACCGGCCTTGCCTTCCCCGCATTCCCCAAATCCATCCCATCATCAACGTCCAGCAATCGAGAGACAGACAGGGTAAGCGGCGAAGCGAAGCCATTTTGGAATGCGGGAGAAAGGAAGGATATGCGCTCGTCTGTCAACAATTCGGTCTCGTGGGGTCTGGGTCGCGGAAGTGACCGAGCCAAACTTGTTTTAGCCTCGCAGATGCAATGAGCGATTCTCAATGAGAATTGGGGTCATCGTCCCCCTGGCTCGGCTCAAGTTTTGTTTTGTTTTGTTTGCATGTTTTGCTTTGTTTTCAAAATGGATCATTCCTCGATCCTCCTTTGCCGTACAATACATACTTGGTATCGGTAATGCGTGCCAATGCATCATCACCGTTCCATCGCCGTATTTTTCTGTAATATCAAGCTCGTATCTTCCCAAGGAGGAAGCTAACAGCAGCATGGCACGTTATCATTTGCCAATTGGCTCGGGACTTACGAAGTAACTAACGTTACGATTTGGCTCTTTAATTACAGCAATTCCTTCGTATGGCACGTACTATACCCACGATACGCAGACTACGGCCCTGTCCATTTCCTCCGGTCCTCCGCTAGTCAACTCCAACCTCTCACGCTTTCACAGAGTTCCAAGTTGCTTGAGAGTAGCATACAGCCAGCCCGTTTACTAAGATACGCACCTCATCACCTATGGGTACTATGTCTCGCAGAGTAGCCGTCAAGTGTGTCGAGGATCCATTCCTAGGTCTGGAACTGGATCGTATCAAAAATTGAAAGGCTCAGGCGAGCAAAACACGCAGGCGGCTCTCCCCCTCGAGCACGGGCTGCCAAGGTTGGTGATGTGTTCTAGTGTTTAGTCGCTCGCTATGTCCCAGCTGGCACGCAGTTGGGTGAAAGAAGCAGAGGTACGGGGCTAGGTATTTCCGCAGGTCCCAAAAATCTGCTACTTCATGGATATAAAACAAGCTCGCCCCAGACAGGCCATGAACTTTCCTCTGGAGAACTGACTCGGACACGGGGACGGCCCGAATGGAAGGGGCCCTCCTCGTTTTGCCCAGGAACTATCGAAACCACAGAGCAGCATCAGGTTTTGAGCCATCGTCTCTGCTGGAAATTGACCGGAGGAGCCGCATGCCGGGTTCCGGGCCTCGGTTTTGCGACGGGAACGCACATCGAAATGATGTACCAAATGTATAGCGTGTAGAATGATAGTATAAGGTAGTAGCTGCAGCGAGCTACGGTGATGCTCCTTTCCTGCGATGTCTCCTCCGTAGCTACGTCGCTACCTACCAATCTCCTGAAGATGGACCACCGGAGTATTATTATGTCGCGCAGGATTGCTATAAATAATGCCGGCACCTTTTCCCTCTAACGCTACACCATGTAGTTTTCTGCGCTGGCATGGACAGGGTGCCATTGGTTTATCTCAATGTTTGCCGTGATTGCATGTGTCATGACTTTGAGGGTCCAGTACGCACTCGTTTCGTAGATTTCGCGAATCTGAGACTTCTCCACATCCAATACATTTACTGAAGGCCACCAGAGCTCCGTTTTTTGCCCCTTTTCCCTCCAGTCGCTCATTTCAACTTCTTCGCACTCTGTTCCCTGCTTGCCCATTTGAGGCTATTCCCGTCTAAATACGCCGGCGGAGTACCTGTCATCACTCTAGGGGGCTTTGATGTATTGTACATACCGGGCGAGCTAAACAGCTCGCTGGGTCTAGACCGGTCCTTGAGGGTAAGGAGACACGCGGTGCTATAATCTGTTATTCCGGGTTTGGGTCTAGAGGAGAGGCACTGGGGTCTAGCAATGCTCCGCGTCATGAGGCAGCCAGTCTGCTGTACACGACAGTTGTGCGAGGAAATCTTCTGGTACTGGAAGGGCAATAAGAGACATGCTTAGGGAGGTGCTACATACTGACTGAGCGCCAGCAGTTAGGTTAAAGAAGGGCACCGCGTCTAGAAGTGATACCCCCTAGGAGGTCAGCCTCGTCAGGTACTCAACCTCCCCAGGACTGAGATGTCAAAAATCACTCCACGACCCGGGCGTCGGGGAAAATTGAAGCATGAAGTAACGGTGTAATTCGGGTTCTAATTGACTTGATTGACCCAATCATGGCGTGCCCGTACTGGTTGTTCTCTCAAGAACCTTCGAAGCTGTTGCTAGGGGGCTTTGTTTACAGTCGCCCTGGGCTGGGATACCTGACTCATTGAACTCATCACCGCCATGGTAAGTTCCTCGACACACAGAGAAATATATCAAGAAAAGTCCCTTTGGGGCGCCTTCCCTCCTCAGATTCTGGTACATGTCTGTCCGAGCATGCCGTGCTGGGTAGGGGGAGGTACCTAACTTTTAAGGACGTTATCAGTCAAATGACAGCCCGAGCCGAGCAAAGCAATATAAAGCACCCCATAACGACAGCAAGTGCACAAGCTCCTCCATACGTGACAACGATCGGGAATAGTATTAGTAGACTGGTCTTTGCCTCGGCGTCTACAGTCCAGCTATTCGGAGCGGACGCGGTGTCTCTCCCCTAACGATGGTAGCTACCTGATGCACGCTGCTCTCCCCGCGACGCTTCTCGACCCGATTGTTCTACTCCCTGGATCCGGTACAGCAAGGTGGTTCAACTTGCTCAGTCACGATTCCCGGTCATGGCTATCATGGATATATATGGCGCCAGCTCGCTCCCATTACCGAATCTTCCTTTCCTCCTATTTCCTCAAAACGAAGAAACTACGAGCAAGGACCTGCAAATCTATGCTTGCTCGCTCATTCACAACGACCACGATCCTCACGACTGCTACCACTGCCGACAATGCTCAGCCCACTCGCCTTCCTGGGGCTCGGAGAGCGCATGCTCTTCTTTCTGCTCTTCCGCTTCCCCCTCATCCCTTTCGTGATGCTCATCCTGGGCATCCTCGACTTCATCCTCGCCCTCTTCTGCGTGATTCTCATCCTCGTTCAGGACAACCTCCGGCGACTCTACGGTCGCATCCCTGGAATGGTTGGCTTCTCACCGCAGCCCTCTACATCTGAGGTCTTTTCCGGCGAGGAGGTTGACGGAAGAGGAAGGGGCACCCACGGCCGCTTTCTCCTCTTCCTCTCCCGCTTCTTTGCGGTCCCCCCTCTCGTCCTCTTCCTAGTCGCCCTTGACTTCACCTTCACCATCCTTTGCCTGATTTCCATCATCCTTTACGACCATTTCCAGCAACTCTATGATTCAGCCAATGAAGTTGTTGGCTACTCGCGGGAGCCCTCCATGGGATGGGAAATCTTCTTTGACGAGGATGACGAAAGCGACGACAATGATGAAAAAGGCGACGACAACACTGAAGGCGACGACAACACTGAAGGCGACTAGGAGCTCGACCCTACCCTTGCCCTCGTCTACATGACCTTCATCCTCCTTCACGGCCATTTCCAACCAGCTGAGAATCACGTCTCTGAAATGGCTGGCTACTCGCCCGAGCCCTTCTCCTCGCCGAAGTCCTTCACGTCAGAGGCCTTCCCCGGTGAGGAGGAGGATGATGATTTCCTCCCCAATTACTACTAATTGCCCAAGCCATAGTTTGGAACTCTATCCCCTTATCCCTTTACGGAACAGCTCAGCCAGAAGCCGAGTCGCGGCCTTGATCGAGGGGAGCCGCCGAACCGCCCCTGTGCCTCATGGCCTTGCCCGGCACTCTCATTGTAGAGCGACGCCTAAAGCAGCCCTCCCCTGGTCAACACGATGGCCGCGCCCATACTGTACTGGTAAGCTGATCCCCTAGGTAGCCCCCCAGGTAGCATTTAGTCACACTATTCAGAGTAGCGCACCGGAATATTATCCATCTTTCCCCCTAAACTTGACCACACATGATGCTTGCCTGCCCAGTGACTCCCCATGTCCTCAACGAACATCTCGACCAGACGCCTATTTGAAACTTGCCATCTGTTCATACCTGGCGCTCGGAACCCTAATACAAGAGCTTTGTTCGTGTCCGCCCCGAAACAAAGCCAAAGCAATAGCGTGGATACGTGTTTCAAGCTCTCGCAACATGAACTGTCGGATGTACATATCAGCTATTGTGCACCTACATCCACAGGCAACCGTGTTCAAAGACAGACTAACCCAAAATCCCGTCTATATCATTTATCTGTCCGTAAGCAGCAGTAGCACTAAAGATAACAAGTGTATAAAGATAAAGTCTTGCGCGAAACCCGGCCCCGTAGACAGACGCATGATCCGCCCGGATATTACACATTTACCGTCACAGCTAAGAGATAACAAAGGAATGGGAGCAGCTGTACAGGATCCCACACAAAGGGCCGACCATAATGTAATCATCTTAAGCCGACCAATGCCCATGAACCGCGCCAGAAACGCCGCCGCTTAATGCTTCGCAGTGACCGCCTGACCCGTCACCTTCTCCACATAAGTTTTTGCCCTGGATGAAGATGTGTTGGTTAGCATCGACAGTTCTTGATTTGCGATCAGGAGTGAATTTGTAAAAGCGGGGCAAACATACATATCACCCATGGCAACCATGCACACCGTCTGCCAGACGCTGAGACCGATGCGGGGAGTAACGCCGCGGTACAGGCCCTTGATGCCGTTGGTCTCGTAGATGTATTTGAACGTGTTGCCGACTGTCATCTTCTTGGGACGGTTTGGGTCGTCCTTTTTGCTCTGCATCTCGACCCGGATCACCTCGATCGGCTGATTCCACGCCGAGAGACCGCCGCCAAGGGCCGAGGCGAGAATCTTCTCATAGGCGCTAAGCTTCTCGCCGTGCTCCTTGCCCGTGACCCTGCGGATGCCCTGCTCGGCGAGCCGGCTCAGACCGAACCGCGATCCCCAGTTGGTCATCTGGCGAATAGCGACGGCGTTGACGCCCTTGTTGATGCCGCGGATGCCCTCGCGGCGGTAGATATCCATGAAAGTAGCCCAGGTGCCGGGCGCCTTCTGGCCTGCAGCCGCCATCTTGTGCTTGGTAATTTCGACCGTCTTCATGCACGTGCAGAAGCCCATGGTCGCGTACGCCTGAGCAACACCGCCCGTCATGCCGCCAATGATGCCGCCGCCAAACTCGCTGGCCCCAAAGCTGCGGGCATAGTACTCGGCCTCGGAGGCGACGAAGAGCAGAACGGCGCCCTTGGTCGAAGCTTCAATCCAGGCCCAAGGAATTAGACCCTGGTAGACTATGGCACCCGAAGTCAGCAACCCGCATGTTAGAGGAAAGGAGGTGCATTGTGCCGTGAAGGCCGGGGAAAATGGGTGGGGATGGTGGTTTGTAACCTACAGCCGAGGACACCACCGCGGTTCCAGATCCGGCCCAGGGCACTTGTAAAACCGTCCCCGCGGTGAGCCGCCATGGTGGTCTTGACAACCTCCAGGGGCTGACCGAGGGTGGTAACCTCAAACATGTTGAGGCCGGCGCCCAGGAGCAAGTTGGAGAACTTGATCGGCTTCTTCTCCAGCTTGGGCGGCTGGGCAGCCGGGACCGAGGCGACGGCGGCGGTCATGACTAGGCGATGTTGCTATGGAAGGGGCCCTGACCAAGGGAAGTTAGGGTGCTTCGTCGCAGGATGGGAGACCGAAGAGTCTGGCTTGGGAACGCCGGGCTGGAGGTTCGGATATTTTGTTGCTCGAATGATTACGGTCCTAACAGCCGGTGAGAAACGGACGAAGCAACCAGAACGCAATTGGCGGAGGAACAGCGAGGCGTGGTCCAAGACTGTGCGACGGAAAGCGCGAAAACAATGATTGCTGACGGCTCGCTAGACAGAACTCGCCAAGAACCCTGAAATGCACGTGTTACCGACACGGCCCTCAGTAACTGTGGGTTCCCAATGAGGAGAGCTCCGAAACAAGCTTTGTGCTGTCTTGTACCCGCGGTGATGTTGAAGAAGCACAAAGGAGAATCTCCACTTACAATCAAGATCCCCTCCGATTGCGGTCTGGACGCAAGTAGCAATGGTTGCGGATGGGTCGAAGTCGCTGACGGTAACAATGCGAATGGTTCGGGAATCGAGTGAAGCAGTTCGGGAATCGTCAAGAAGGAATGAAAAATCCAAACACGGCTGATTAAGGTAGGAAGGCTCGGCCACCGAACCCTGGCGGTGGTCGGTGGCCGGGGCGCGGTGTATTTGTTTGTTACAGCACCGCGAATACAATACGGACCGTGACTTGTAGTTACAATACGGAGTACCTCGATCAAGGTAATCGGGCCAATCTCAACATTTGGACCAATTGGGAATAAACTCTATCTCAACGGCGCCTCAACGCAATCCGGCTGGGGCAATCCTCACGGACCGGGTTATGGGGTAAAGACTTGGAGTCCCCGACATTCAGCATACGGAGATTTTCGGTGCTGCTCGACCGACCGAACGGCCGCTTCATCAACAACCTTCTAGCAGCTTGCACACGATTCAAACCTCAATTGATCTTCATACAACAAAACTAGGCAGGTGCGGTAGGTTCTTATATGTGCCGGAGGTTAAATATACCGTTTGTGCCATGCCTCCCGAAACCCTCCGAAATCTTGCTGGGCTCCGTCCTCCTCAAAGCAGTGCATGTGCACAGGCCGACCCCTCCGGCCAAACATTGCTGACCACCCGGCCGCCGGAAATGTATACTGTACTGTACATACAATAAGAGCTTTTGGGTCCCTTGCTAGTCCGAAGGCAAAATACGGAATCTGTATATTATCGTACATACGTAATGGATAGCCATCCGCCCAGTCTATCATCAACCTTTCCGGGCTGCAGAAACCGACGACTTCCCATACATTCTATGCTAAGTGACCGTAAAAGAACCATTCGCGCCGCGCCCAACTACCTAACCCGAGCTTAGAATTACAACTTGTTGCAGATCTCGATCCACTTCTCGGTGGAGAAGCTCTTGGGCCTGCAAGCGCGAGTTAGCAACAGCCGCCATGCATCGGGTTGTCTTGGCGCATATGCTTGCTTACCTCTCAATCGGAGCGCCAACAGCGCGGTCAATGATCAGCTGGGGCAGCACACCGATAGCGCGGGAGACTCCAAAGAGCACAGTGTAGTAGTTGGCCTCGGTCAGGCCGTAGTACTGCAGGAGAACACCAGAGTGGGCATCGACATTGGGATAGGGGTTCTTGGTCTTGCCGTGCTCGGTAAGAACCTTGGGCGCAATCTTGTAGACCTGGCTGACCAGCTTGAACATGGGGTCCTCGGGCATGTGCTCTGCAATGTGCGGTTAGCGCTATGCGGTAAGCGGTGTAAAGGTACAGAAAGTCTCGGCTTACGCTGAGCGAATTGGCGCTGGGCAGTGTAGCGCGGGTCAGTCTTGCGCAGAACAGCGTGGCCATAGCCGGGAACGACGCGGCCAGCATTGAGAGTGTCCCAAAGGTACTTGGTGATGGCCTCATCACTCAGGTCATCGCCAATAACCTTCTTCATCTCGGTGAGCCAGTTCAGCACCTCCTGGTTAGCAAGGCCGTGCAGGGGGCCGGCAAGACCATTCAGACCAGCAGCCAGGGACAGGAAGGGAGAGCTGAGGGCGCTGCCGACCAGATGGGTGGTGTGGGCGCTGACATTGCCACCCTCGTGGTCGGTGTGGATGGTAAGATAAAGCCGGAGGAGCTCGACAAAGTCAGCGTTGTTGCCGAAGCCGAGCTGGTTGGCGAAGTTGAACGAGTAGTCCTTGTCCTTCTGAACGGGCGCAACCTTGCCACCCTTGAACACGTTCTGGTAGATGCGAGCAGCAATGGTAGGGAGCTTGGCAATGAGGTCCATCGAGTCCTCAAAAGTGTAGCCCCAGTAGTCCTTCTTGTGAACTCCCTTGGCGTAGGCACGGGCAAACGCAGAGGTCTGCTCAAGAGCTGTGACGGCCATGGAGAACTGGGCCATCGGGTGGAGATCGGTCGGGCAACGGTCGATCAGCTCCTCGACAAACTTGGGAATCTCGGCCCGCGCAGCCCAGTCGGCTGAGAGGTCACGGACTTGCTGCTCTGTGGGAACCTCGCCGGTAAGGAGAAGCCAGAAGAGGCCTTCAGGCAGAGGCTCCTTGCCGCCGGGGGCCTTGGGAAGAAGCTCCTGGCATTCCGGAATTGTCTTGCCACGGAAGCGGATACCCTCCTCGGCGTCGAGAACCGAACCTTCCCACACAAGACACTTGATACCGCGAGCACCGCCGTATACTTGATCAAGTGTGACCTTGTCGACAACCTTGGAGCCGTGCTCCCTAATTTAGCGACCAAATGTCAGCAACGTAGCCCAGTTTCGACAAACTCGGTAAGGGGAATCGCACTTTCTGAGGGCCTTGATCTGCTCAATCTTCTCGGGCAGGAGTTCGGCGAAGCGCTCCTTCAATGTCTGAAGCAAAATGCACGGTCAATGGATGATGTCAGGCTGCAGATGGGGTCGCGAACGCGCTGTACCTGAGTCTTGGAGGAGTAGCATCTTGCGGCCGTGAAGGCAGTGTTTCTATAAACAAATGACGGTGCCCTCAGTGAGGCCCTCAAGGTTGAAGTGGCCAGGCGCAATGCGGGAGCCATGGTTATGTCTGATGTGTTGAGGCTGGGAGTTCTAAAGGTTGTGAGGAAGAGTAGGGGAAAAAAAAAGTTTCGGCGATCTCAGATAGCCAGACTGGAAAAAAAGCGCAGTTGGGGAATTGGCCGTTGGCCGGCTGCCGGACACATGGGGATTGGGGATAGCCGACCAGGGTTCGGGCCAAGGCACGACCTACCTCATCAACAATTCAACCAGTGATGAGCACCTGCCACATACTGTACCATACCTTTTAGCTACGTACCTTAGCGACTAGCGAAACGCCGAGCACCGCAGTCATTCCACCTGCAGTTTCCCGAACTGATCCGCTTGAGCGTATTCTCCAGCCACGGCGACACCATAGGTACCTTATGGCCGCGGGAAACCTATTTGGATTTGCGAGCTCGAATCTGTGCTACAGCCGTAATTACTTTGGATACAACAAGCGGCACCACCAACCTGAAAGTCATCCATCCTTTTGACGTTTCTTCCCCTGAAATCGCAGTGTGTCTTTGGATATTACGTCACGTTACGTCGCTGTACGAAGTACGGAGTACGCTTGCCTCGAAACTGACCCAACAAATACATCAGGTAGGTACTGTGCAGGTATTGTACCTAGCAGAGAATGAACCTCCCTGTTCCAGTTCTACCACGAAAAACACCGACAAGTCTGGCAGTGAGATGAATGGCACAGGCAGAGTGAGACCGATTGACTTTAGAATAAGATTCGGGGCATATCCCCAATCAACTATGTGATTTCTTGATGCTACTACGTAGTTGGGTGTAGATATGCATGAGCAGACGGCGGCGGACATGGCCGGCCCGTCCTCGGGCTCCTAGCTGGTTTTCTTTGCCCTGGAAGGGTTGGTCCGGCTGCTATTCTCGGCCAAACGCCGCAGGCGTTCGAAGCAGCTGACAAGGGGAAATTTGGCGGTCCGTCAGGAGTTTTACACTGAAAACGCTGCCACAGTGCCACAAAGCCCACAATCAAAATAGCAGCCTATACTTACATACGCTTAGTCATCATCTAAGGAATGTGGTGCATTGATGCTTTGCTCAGCAGGTTTTGGTTCGTGCCATAAAAAGCCACCAACCTTTCTTTTCAGACCATTCCTCCCCGCCTCTTTCTCCATCCCCCCCAAAAAAACGCACTTCATCTAGGTGCTTCAATACGACGGATATTCATCAATCTCCAGACTTTACAGTAGCCCCAGTTCCATTCTAGGCCGCCCGGTGCAACTGTGGCAGGTGGAAGGAAGACTTTCTGCGAGAATCTGCTGGTTCGATCGCAGGCCAGAGGCAGGAGTATCGTATTTCCAGTCCGGCTGGCTCTGGGAAGCCCTCCTCAATCCATCTCGCCGACCAGAGAAAGCAAAAACAAGAGATCACACCTCTCTGCTGCACAGGTTGGGTTTCGTCGCAATCGCGCACCTCGAAAGTGTCGTAATCTCGTTGATCGCGGCTTCTGAAAAGACAAGCACTTGGCGAAGAACGATTGGAGTCGTGTTGATCGACACGTCCACACTTTTGTGACACCGGAGAGCATGGTATAGACGTCTTCTGACAACTCCGCGCTCTTTTCGTATCGCAAAAGACCGGCATCGCCGATTCCATCATGGCATCTGCTGTAGCAGAGTTGGACGCCGGCCTCCAGGCAATGCTCGCGTTGAAGCCGCCTGGAGTTTCTGGCTCTCGGATCGCAAATATCACGGCGCTATGTGTCGCCAACGTCCAGGTAAGCAACACGCATGCGTCCTCATTGAAGGCTCTTCATGTATCCGTATTGTTGAGCTGACCACGTCTCCTCGGCAGTCCGAATCCGTCCTCATTCAGAAACTCTTCACCCATTTTAAGAAAACACCTGGCACACACAAACTGGGAGTACTCTACGTCGTAGACTCTGTAACGAGGAAGTGGCTGGACCAGGCCAAAGCCCATGGGCAGACCCCAAGCCTGACAGCGCCAGACGGAACATTCGCTGCAGGCGTGTATAGAGTAACTGAACTGATACCCATTCTGATGAACGACATCATCGCAACAGCGCCGGAAGATCAAAAGGTACGCAAAGATCGCACTGAATGCCACCTGATATCCATTACCCAGCATCATGTGAGGCGCGCCCACAAGAACCCCCAGTCCGACTGTGGACGGCGGTCGTACGTCGGTAAAGACTTTGGGACTCTGCTGCGAGCCCGCCTCGCTTGTGCTCTACGTACTCATACTTCTTCTTTTACTCTCATGTTGGATGCACACTCACAAGGATGGTACTCGTAGGAGAAGATAAAGAAGCTTGTCGATATCTGGGAGAAAGGCCAGACTTTCCCTGCTTCCATGGTCAACTCATTCAAGGAGAAACTGAATGCTCCGCGAGGCACGAGTATGTTCCCTCCCCAAAGCGCTAACGCCGTAACCCTCGATCTTCCTGTTCCTGCGCAGCTCAGTATGGCGAATGTCAGGCCGCACAAGGCTCTAACTGAACCTTGTTGGTAGATGAATCGACAACGCCTCCTGGCAGCCCTCCCCCGAACCTGATGGCCTCACTTGGTTCCAGCAGCAAGCCAACACCACAGCAAAACGCTGTTGTTCCGAACATCCTGGATACCTTAGCCAACATTGCACGCCAAAATGCGACATCAGCACAGAGTAATCCCAGCTTGGCAGCCCCGGCTCCGGCTCCGGTTCCGGCTCCAATCTCGGCCTCCACTCCGGCCTCTGCAAACCCCCTGTTCAGTACGTCTGGTGCTCCGCCTAGTAGTGGCGCAATGCAGCCTGCTCCGGTACCTATGCAAGCGCAGCCAAGTATGCCGTTCCTGCCAACATCTCAGCCGGCTGCCCAGCCCGTAAATGTGCCAGCCCTGCCGTTCGCGTTCCCGCCACCTGTGCCACCCGCACAGGTTCCGCCGGCAGCGCCGGCAGCTTCGGCACAAAGTAATCCGGCAGCTGCGACGGTGCAGCTTGTTGCTGCGCTGGCCGCCCAAGGTCTTCCGATTGACAAGATTGCCAGCGTGATTCAGATGATGGGCCAGGGCGGCGTTGTGCCCCCGGTACCTCCGCCGCAGGTGCCCCAGCCTGCTCAAACCGGGTTTACAGCCCCCCCACTAGGCGGCGCTGCCCCCGGTGCTGCTCCCTGGGAAGTCCCTCGACCTGATGATGCACGTGATCGCATAGGCTATCATGATGGCATGAAGTCCCCAATCCGCTCTCGGGGTAGATCCAGGTCCCGCTCTCCTCCTCGTTGGGACGGCCGAGGCTCCCCCCGGTCGCGGCCGAATGATCGTGGGTTTGACTATGGACGGCCCGGCTCCCCGCCCGGGCGCGGCCGCCCAGATGATAGAGATCGTGACCGTGGCCGGAGCTACCGCCAGCGATCGCCTCCCGGTCGCCACGCTGAGAGTCCTCCAGGTAGCAGGGAGCCGTCCCAGCAGGACAAATGGGTTGAATACGACAATAGTCTACCAAGTGGCTGCATCAAAGTGTACAGCCGTACCCTCTTTGTGGGTGGCGTAACGTAAGTCTCAGGCCTTTGTTTGCGGTCGGTCAGTGGCAGTGGGGAAGTAGCTAACTGGTAGCAGTTGCTCGGAGGGTGAACTGCGCGAGATCTTCAACCGTTTCGGCCAGGTGCAGACATGCATTGTTAACAAGGACAAGAGGCACGCTTTTGTCAAGATGTACTACCGCAAGGATGCAGAAAAGGCAAAGACTGCCATGGAGGAGACTCGCAACCTGGACTACCAACTTAGGGTAAGCATCTCCCTCCCTGTTAGTGCGAGATCTCTGCGCTGACAACTTCTTCTAGACAAGATGGGGTGTTGGCTTTGGCCCTCGGGATTGCAGTGACTACCAGAGCGGGATCAGCGTCATCCCCATCCACAAGCTCACCGAAGCTGACCGCAAGTGGATGCTCACCGCCCCTTATGGTGGCAGTGGCGGACGCCCAATTGTGAGTGGTCTGTGCGTTGAGGAACCAGACATTGAAATCGGTGCCGGGGTGTCGTCAAAGGCGATTAGCCGACGGATGCAAACCGACAAGGGGGGCAATCACGGCCCCAAATCGAGTCGGCGCGAGGATGAGCCTACGCACGGCCGATGGCGCAGCCGCGACAAGCAGCACCGGGGGAGCGACCACAAGCGTGACGACCGCAATGACAAGGGAGCCGCTAACGACGATCCCATTGTCATGGACCTGCCGGCGGGAATTACCATGGGCCCCAACGGCATCAATTACCCGCCGAATTTTGCTTTCGGCGCCACTACAGCGTCGAACCCTTAAGCTCGTCATGTCTCCTACAACCCCCAACCGAATGCTAGATTCGGCACCACATTAATTCTCTCTTTCGTTCATTACCATTATAACTTAGTTCTCGCGGCATGAATCCCGTAGCTTGGGAATGCATTGCGTACAGGACAGAATCAGAGGCCGTGGGGCGGGGTGAACTCGGGGTCGGTTTGGTGGTATGGTTCATTGATTCGTGGGCTTTCTCTCCTACTTTGGTGAACCTTGGGCAAGGTACTCTACAGCGGGCGGTTTCTAAGGCGGCTGGCGGGCGGGCGTTAGGGAAGCTCACGCAGGATGGAAAATGGGTTGACATTGATGCGTTTCTGGCTGATCATGACTGCTACGTAGGTAGTTGCAAGCACGCTCAGAGGAAATAATTTACGTAGAGAGACGGGCAGAACCACGTATCAGTCAACCGCTCTTGCTTATTTCGCAGGACTAGAAGCCAAAAAACATCGAGTGGGCGTTTAATCAAACACAGTT